CTTTCTCGGCAAAAAAAAAAATCGAAAAAAAAATTAAAAAAAAGAAAAATAAGGACTTATTATAACGGGTATCGTTGAGCTCTAATCGAACGTGAAGGGCTTCTCCTCGATACGGGAGATGAGAAACAACGCAACATTCCAAGCGGAAGAGAAAGAAGCGGGCACTCACCTCCGCTACGATCCCGGCTATTGCTTCGACGAACGGTCTCACGGCATCCAGCATCCTCTGTTCTCTCGTTCGCTGGAGTAGCCTCTCCTGGTTCTTCTCTCCTTCTGTCTCTCTTCTTCCAAGTACGTAATCGGAAACGAAGAGCTGCAAGAAAGACGGCGATATTAAATTTAAAGCCACAGAAGGGCACTGTTCTGTGCCGGACATGTGCGTGCGTCATTATTTTAACTAACAGTTCTCGCAAATTACAACTTGCGCCTTTTCAACAAAAAAAAATATATATATATATGTATTATATACAGAGTATATATAAATAAGTGCGAAAAATTTTAAGAGATGATTCTTTGTCGAAAATTAAGAGGGGTTTCTTATATAAACATATACTCTTATATCCTTCCCTGAAGAGTTGTTATACTTTTTTAAAGAGGCAGGTAAAAATTAAGTTTTTATTTTTTTTTTCTCAAATTTCAGACAAATTAACATCAAAACTTGGTGGATTTTTATTTTTTTAATTTGTCTGAAATTTGAGAAAAAACAATTTAATTTTTACCTCTCTCTTTAGAAAAGTGTAACTCCTCAGAGAGAGGGATGTAAATCTTTTTATAAGAAACTCCCTATAATTTTTGACAAAGAATCATTTCCTAAAATTTTTCGCACTTATTTAGATACACCTTGTATATAGGCAAAGAGAAAGGAGATATTCGTGAAATAAATTTTTCAGAAATTGAGGAAATAAATACGCGTATATCGGAAAAGCTCGTTCATGAAATAAATGAAATTTTATATCGATATGCGAAATCGATAATAAAAGATTAAATTGCACAATAAAATATTTAAAATTAAATTACATCTCTCTCTCTCTCACTCTCTTTTTGTCTCTTTTCTCTCCCTCTTTCTACTATAATAAAAAAATATACTTTTAAATTATATTGAACAGTTATGTCAGAAAAAATTCAAGTCAAATATTTAAGATACAAAATATTGAAAAAATTACTAGCGAAAGATTTGATGTGCTCCAGAAGCCTTTCGTTTCCTTCATCAGTGCTACAGTAATGCGCATGATAATGTATAAACTTTTAAATTTGTTTAAACTTCAGAGCGCATTCCAGCGCGTGACAATTTGATTCGTCCACGACTAAGAATTGCATTTGCATAATTTTCTCCTTACGAGCATCTTTTTTTTTCTGATCTTCTGACCTTTTTCTATGTCACGTCGGTACCAATGACGTGGCAAAAATGCCGGAATCCGCCCACAGCCGAAATATATCTATCTGCGTAGCTCTTTACCAGAATGCTTATGAATCACAAAAGCCATCGCAACATTTATTTTGTATTCTGACAGTCCGCGTTTTTAGTCACATCTTGTTAAAAACACAGAAAGAAGCGTCGTTTCTTTTCGCTTTCCGTATAACGAAAACCACTGTCTTACGTAATTACGAAAATTAGACACTGCTGTACTAATTACATTGATAACATATTTCTGTATAATCAGAGACAGGTTGTCATCCGCGAATCTAGCGCACAAAAAAAGAAGACAGAAATTGCATTACATTGTCATTAACGTCGATTTGTTTGAATTAATCTCGTTCGCTGTGTTTCAGACGCTGACGAAGAACATTTACGACAACCGGATAGATTTGTACGTCTATCATGGGCGGATTGATCAAGCTGTAATCATTGAAACTCACCGTCCTTGGTTTAAAATAACGAAGAAACGGACGCGTCCTCTGGAATGTGGTCGTCAGATCGACGTCTTTACCGATCGTGAAAGGTATAATCCACTATCTACTTTGTATGTCACTGCACTTACTTCATTCAATACGCACACTTCCCACGCGATTAATCTTTTTTTTTTTTTTTAGCGAACGCACTGAACTCTCTCTCTCGAATTGTCAATAAATCTCCTGTCAGCAACGAAGCTACATTTCTCGCTTCGTTCGCCAGATTTTTCGCAGCGATATCCAGAAGAGAAATAATAACGTAGATTTCGCAAACTCTTTGGAGGAAGCGATCATTGAAATTTAAGAAATGCCTTAGCCAACGTTTAAAAAGATCATCGTACATTCGAACAAATGGTCACGCGATCGATAATATATATCGATACTCCAAAAAATCGACGCGAAAACACGCGGCATTGTTTACCGCTGGTATTCGTTCAGAAGCAAAGACTCGTCGCCGATTTTCGGAAAAATGTTTCGAACAATGATCGGCGATGATGAAAACGCTCGAGAAAGCGCGCGCGGATACTCCGGATGACGCGTCGACGCGCGAGTCGAGAAGAGGAAGTTCTCTCGATGATCGTGATCGTACCTGGCGGCCACCCGAGGACAACTTTTTTTCCCGCATGTACGCGGCACGCGTTTTCCGCCGCGTTTTTTTCAATGAACACGCACACACGCACACCTGAGCGCGCGCGCGCGCGCGCCGCGAGAGCACACGAACCGCATAAGGACGAAACCGACACGATACTGGATGAGAACGGGCAACAGGTTCGTCGGCTTGCCCCCGAGGAACGCGACGAAGGTGAGGGGAAATGAAGAGAGGGGGATAGCGGCGAGCATAGCCAGCCAGGTAAGCCGCCATTGCTCCTGACGCAGCATCCAACCTGGCAGTGGCGTAATTAAAGGGAGAGCCGGAAAGCCTCGATCGATATCTTGGCCAAAAACGTGGGAACTAAAGATTTTTTTTAATGACAATTTTTTTATAAAAGTGCACAATATTCTGTTCCGAATGCAACATTGTCATTATTCAATAGTATAAATTACGCTGACAGAACGTTTCTCCTTTTTCAATTTCGAGTCTTTAATTGACTAACAATAAGAAATTTATAGTTACATTGAAATATTTATTCGTCTTTTTTATTAGAGAAAAAAATTCGAAATTTTCTCTTAGAATTTACCCTGAAAATCATGGTAATCGTGGGACAATATGGTGTTGGAAGAATATTATAAAAGTTTCTCTGATTAATATTTATCACAATAAAAAATATTAATATGTACATAGTAATATTAATCGAATATATTTCTTATGTGGTAAATATTAATCAGAGAAACTCTTATAAAATTCTTCCAATATTATATTGTCCCATGATTACCATGATTTTCAAGTATAAATTCTGAGAGAAATTTCTCTCTCTATGTATAGATATTATATAGAACATATCTTTAAAATAATTTCTCGTAATTTTTAAATATATAGTAACTTTAGAAACAATAAGATACCTTCAGTTTTAAATCCTTTTTAGAATTAAAAATATATAAATATACATCAATATTTATTACAATTCCAACTAGATAGAATTATTTCTTGTAAAATTTAAAATAATTAATTTTGACAAACTTTAACGTTATAGAAATTTTAATGCGACATATTTCAAATTAAATTTTACAACAGTTCAAGTCAAATAAAACAAAATGAAAATTTCATGATTCATAGTTAGAGAATTATTTACGTCTTGATGACGTTATAGAAATCGTATCTGATTTCCCAAGAAGTACGTAACTCCCTATATATTTATTCCCTGCTAATTCGAGGACGCTTTGTGCATCTAATCTGTAATCAACCGTGTCGTCTCTGACACGTAGCACCTCCAATAGGAAATCTCCGGTTACGCCACTGCGGCAACAGGTTGTTGCCAATGAGAGCTGCCATGAATGAGCGAGCGAGCTCATTTTGTGGCAGCACGATCTGCCCCTGCGTTAGGAAAACACGAATTTCCTTCCTAGCTGAATATGCGCCTCTTTCTCGTAATCTGTGGTCGCTCGAGATAAGCATGCAAAGTCGTGCACGCACTTTGTGTGTATGCACAATATTTGAGGATGCTCGTTCGTTCACTTTCTTGCTCTCTCTTTCTCTTTTTCTCTCTGTCTCTCTCTTTCGGCGGACGTCTTATCGGTGAAACGCCGATAAATTCTCATGATATAACGAAATATGATTAAAAAAAGGTTCCTCGCTCGCACAGAAGTGTTGAGTCATTATCAAACAATACGTTGGTAAATTATATTCAATATTTATTGAACCAAATTTTTTTCGAAAGTCATCACAAAAGAAATTTTCAATTGATTGACAAAATTTATTCACATTATCCTGTTGTAGCTATCAATATTTTGGGAAATTCAATGAAAAAAAAATTGTATCAATAATTTTGTTGTGTCATATCCTAATAAAATTATATATATATATAGATCGTCAATAATATAAAAATGTAAAATGAAAAAATGCATGCATGTATATATATATATATATGTATGTATGTATGTATACATATATTAGCCAAAAAATGCTATTAAAAAATATATGATTATATATGTGCAGGAATATTTTACGAAGATGCATATATACATACATGAATTTTTTCATTTTACCTTTTATAAAACTATATCTATATTAATGACATATATAAAGTATAGACCTACTCGAGTATCTCTAGTTTCTCTAATAAAGTTGTGCTTTACAGAATCCTATGTCCAAGGACATTCCCGCGCTTCATAACTCAAGTTATGGCGTCGTGCTTTCCGCACGAGCGAGAAAATAGATTGATGTTCGGAGAAGACAAGAAAGACGAGCAAGTAAAAATACGAATGAAGAAAAAAACGCGATATAAGAAGTAGGTACATACTCCTTTTTCTTCTTCTTCTTCTTCTTCCTCTATGAATTCCCATCCTCTTCGAGGACAAAGTACCACAGTTTAAACATAATTGCCGTCCACTACCGCGCCGGTTACAGAACTGTGACGACAGATCAAGCAAAGCGTGCGAACGACGCACGAAACGCCATCTAGCGGTCGTTCGCGGCGTTTTCGCGCGAAATCGCGATACTTCGCCGCCAGATGACAGCAGTGTCTCCGCAGCTGTTCGCAACTGTCAAAGATGTCAAAAGACGCGCACTCCCGTGTCACAGAAATACAGTCCACGGTTTTGGAATAAATAAACGTCAATCAACGTCGCAACGAGAGTGATAAGCAGTAGGCGGAGATACGTAGAACTCGATGCACCGATATCGCAGACTCCGTCCCTAAATGAGCATCGGGTTATGCTGTGTGAGTCCGGAGAGATCGCGCGATCTTACGCGGAGGGATAACCTCTCGGTCCCTGATTGTCGCGCGAAATCGCTTTGCCACGTATAAACGAACCGAGACCCCGCATCGGAACAATAATGGCGTGTCTGCTGTCGAACCAGGAAAACGTACGTTTGAAAATACCGTCGGTTGACACGGTGGACGGAGTCACGTATTACTCCATCGAGATCGGGATCGCGTCGATCAAATGGACTGTGAGACACAGGTAACACTGACAATTATTCATTTTTACTCGAAATTCTACGCGCTTTTTATTCTAATTAACGCAAGACTACAGAGAATGGTTGAGCGGAAAAAATATATAGCTCTCCTCTTGTGTTCAAGATACAATGAATTTGCGGAATTGCACGAGAAGCTCGTTTCAGAGCATTGCGTCGAAAAGGATATTTTACCGCCGAAGAAACTCATCGGTAACAAATGCGAAGCATTTGTGGAGAAGCGCAGGCAGAGTCTCGAGATATATCTCAATTGTGTTTATAATTATTTGAAGAAGGCAATGCCAAGAGAATTGGCTGTATTCTTAGACTTACACGTATATGATATATACTTTTTATTACAAAGTATGGCCTTGGAGTTCTTTACGAGTGGCGATGCTCTGCTACAGACTTCAAGCTATAAATTCAATCCTGTACAGGTGCTAAATATAGTCTATATAATTTTGAATTGGCACAAATTGTTATTATAAAGATACTAATGTTCCTATTTACTTTCAGCTGTATGCAATTAGCGAGAGATTAAAACAACCGTGTCCATCTATGGAAGTTGTGGATAAAAAATATGACTTTAGTCACGTTTTGGACTTTAATTCCCACTTGACTAGTCTCACAATTGAGGGAAGTTTGGAGCCTTATAAAACTAGTAATATTTATTCATCTGCATTGTCGATAGAATTATCCACCTTCAAAAATGTGCAATATCTGACGATTGATCGATATCCTGTGGATAATATCTATAATATGGGAAATCTTCGAGATACCGTGACTACACTAAAAGTTACTAATACCAAGCTAAGAAACATTGTGGAATTGGCCATGTGCGAAGAGGTTCATAAAAATATCATAAATGCTAATGATTCTCATGTGTGGTTAAAAGTGACACATTTGGATCTCAGTGATAATCGCATAGAAGTCATAGATGAAGCGATTAAATTGTTGCCGCATATAGAATGTCTGACTTTAAACAACAATCACTTGTCCGAGATTTCCAACGTTACGTTATTGCCGAGATTGTCTCAAGTGTACCTAGCATCGAATAACTTTACCAATCTGCCGGATGATCTTCACACAAGACTCGGCTATATCGTGTACATCGACTTGTCGCAGAACAAATTAACATCACTCGCTAGCTTCTCAAAGTTGTACTCATTGGAGGGATTGGACGTAAGCTGCAATCGCATCGAGAAGATCGAGGAGGTAAAACACATCGGCCATCTACCTTGTCTGGAGCATCTAAGATTGACAGGTAATCCAGTATCGACGATAGTGGATTATAGAGTCAAAGTTTTGGAACCGTTTGGTAAGAGAGCTGCCGATATCTGTCTTGATAACGAGAAACCGAATCAAAAGGAACTCGACACCGTGTCGGTTCATCAAGCGTTGCGCATCGCGAGAGAAGGTAAATCGCCAACGTTTACCGCATCGGACGCGCCACTATTTTCCGCCGAAGTCCCGAGTATATAAAAATTTTAACCGTGCTTTTCTTTTATCACATGATAAACATGTTACGTGAATGCTAGTTAGATACAAACCTAACAAAAATATGTTTTATATTGCAACATGTAATTTTATCAATATATGAGACTGACCCCTTTCTATCGCAGCAAAGTCGCGTAATATATATAGTTTTTCCAGTCTCAATTTATTGTACGTTATTTACTAAACTTTTGTTGGTACGTTTTTTATCGATAAGTAGATAACGTAAGAATAACATGTTTTTTATCACTTTTACCATAATTCGAAAAAAGCCAAAATGATAAAAGATAATACGTTTTTTCGTATTATAATCTTGTATATAAATCTAAGAGATAAAATACGTTTTTATCAAGCAGAAACAAAAAACTATAGATCCATGACAATTGTATGATATATATATATATATATATATATATATATATATATATATATATATATATATCATACAATTGATATATTGACATATGATATATATATATATATATATATATATATATATATATATATATATATATATCTTGTACAATTCATGAACATTTTTAAATTTCTGCTATTTTATACATACATCATACGTGTCGATATAATCACATATAGATTCATATCGATTATAATAATGAACAGATTGCCTATCGTAAAAATTTTATATATATATGATTATATTTAATATTTTTTTATCGTTAAATACTCTTTTTTCCTAGAGATAATGTGAATACAAAAGTCAATCGTGTAATATTATTTATTCTCAAATATGTTTAAATTCTCTTATATTTTAAGCAACAATGTAAACATTTGTGCAACAATTTTATAATAATTTAACGTAAGAGATTTAAATATATATATATAAAAAAATATTTTGTTAATAAAGATGCATTAAAAATGTATGATAATATATATCTTGTTATCAATGTCCAATCGAAATACTATTGTTAACTAAAATTTAACAATAGTACACTCTAAATTGTTACAAATTTCTCTTATATGCATATTTCTACTCACTTCATATTTATTGTTTGGTGAAGGATATGGAATGTTTTTTTGGATATTCCTCTTTGTTCGGGAAATATAAATTGTATGTAAATTTTCTCATTGATTTTTATTTAAACTTGTGTCTGCCTTTAAATATTATGCGCAAATATTTCGAAAATATTAAAATATTCATAAATAATATCAATATATAATGCTTATGTATATACACACACTAAGCATTGTGTTATAGTCTTTTTAACGTACACCTAAACTAACATATATAAGTTAACCATTACAAACAATCGCCTTTCCATGAATTTGTAATAGTTTTGATTCGTTGATGCGCGGTGCACAAGTAAGCACAGTATATAGCTCACAGCTTCTCGCAAAAAAAAAAAAAAAAAAAATAACTAAAATATATTTTTCCAAAAAAGGCAATGCACATCTTTCTGAAAAAGTTACGTCATTTCTCTACGAGGGAAGATGAAATACCATGTGTATCAAAGGAATAAAGCTGCTCGTATGAAAAAGGAAAATATTTTATATCAAACATTATCTGAATATTTATCTTTATAGCACTTTACATTGATCTCTACGTTTGATTTTCTTTTTTTTTTTTTTAGACTAATGAAAATCGCATTACTTGACGCGGTTATTCTTAGTTAAAATTGGTCAAACTTTCTCGCGCGTAATACCATAAATCGACTCGTATCTCTATAACAATAGGTAAGTTTGATACTGTAGGGAATTGTAAAAGAAAAGGATATGAAAAAGAAAAACTTACGGAAAAGGTCCACAGGTTGGGTAAGTTGAATGGTAGTTGGAACGGGAAGAGTTCGAGACAGGAAATGAGAAATCGATTTTCGTTGCACGAGTTTACTGATGCGCGATCGGGATTAACTTCTCGCCCGCTCCGATCGCTGGTAAAGGCGCCTCCACGGTAAGGACACCGTCCTTACTCAAGGAAGACTTAATGCTCTCGGGATTGGTTCCTTTCGGCAGCAAGAATTCCCGATTGTATTCTCTGTATACTGATTTGCTCTCCGTCTTCTCCTCGTGTTTAGCGTGGACCTGAAACAAAAATTGCATTGTGTTATCAGAGACGTTGTTAGAGTACACGATAGATCTGAATCTTATTATTTCATCGCTATTCATATTAATTCAGTTCCCTGAGAAATTGACGCAATTGTATGCAATGCTTCTGCAGAAAAAGTTACATAACTTTACTCCGATCGAGAATTATCAATTTTAATTAAATAAGGCTGGATTTAGTAAATTTTTTTATTCTTTTTGTGATCTTTTGTAGATCTAGATACACATTCAATATTTATAGACAACAAAAACAATTTTTTCCTATAAAAATAAACTCTATATAAAAACACGCAAGATGTTGCAACCGGATTTTTAACGTGACCGCTTTTACTAAAATACGCCTTGAAACTAAAATATATTATGGCTAGTAGCCAAATTACGCCGTAATTTTACAGTCTAACTAATTGTAAGATAATTTATTTTTTAGTATTAGATTATTATTAATGTTAACAAGCAATAATATTCCATCCACGATTCACCCATAGTATGTATGCGCGTACACGCGCTTGCTGATGTAAATTTACAAGTTCTCGTTAATTATTCGCCTCGCGTGTGTCGAACATCAAAATACGTGTCGCGATTGATTTATAATTATAAACGTACTGTCGCTCTTTTCTTCGTACGCGATGTTTTTCACACGTAAAAAGAAATACTAGCAGTAAAGAATTAGGACCAAATCTTCGCGAGTAATGATAATGTAAAACGATATAATGAATACTTTAAGTGTCCTTCGTGATGTTTGACGGGCAATTTCCCTGAAGGGTCTAGAAATGTAGGGTAACGAGGGTATATTCACGTAATGGTGACCGTATTGACTCATTCATTCGACCCATGAGTCACGCCCGTTCCGTTTGACCAAGCGTAGGTTTCATCTCCTTAGTAGACGCTATATACCTTGGTATAACATATCAGACATCGCTCTCATTTTTCTGAACACGAAGTATGCATACGCATTATGTTACAGATGCACGTGAGATATGTATATAATTACGTTTTCGCGAAACGAAACTTGTGCAAAAAAATACGGCATATTTATGGAAATCCATATTTCCATTTTCTTCAGTTTTCTAAAATGTGTTAAACTGTTGTAATTTTTCAATTTATATAGCAGAGATTTGTATGATAACATTCCATGCATGTTTTCGAAGTAAAATTTTTCTTATTTGTAGACTTGCATCTTGCATATTCTAATAATAATACAAATAATAATATGATTATGGCCTATTGCCAGTTTCTCATGAAAACTCATTGAGATAGGACGGAAGATGAGACGAGGATCTCCTCGTAATAGAACAGCGAAAGTGGGTTACGAGAGCGGCGACATAATCGGGACATCCTCTCCTTTTTATGTTTTACGAGAGCTCTATGTCGAAGAAAAATCGAAATGTATGCAGCAGGACGAAGGACAAGACGGAGAAGATGGCGGTACCGCTATCTCTTCCAACATCAGGTCGACGCAAATCAATATTTTAAAGGGTGGTCGCTTTCTTGCGAGTCATCATTTTGCTCGACCTCGTTTTTCGCGCAAAATATACAATCCTCTATTTTATTTTTGTATGAAAAGGCATGCGCTCGCAGAATGTTTATTTTTCTTGGATATTTTATGCCTTTTGCAACAAGGTTTTATGGGGCGAGAATGTTTTGTTAATTCGACGCGATCGATAAGAATTTTATCGCAAAGTGATCCGACCGCTCCTATGTCCACGGACTTTATTTAGACCTCGCGTCCTAATTTTTTTCAAATCTAACTCGTCGCGTGACACGTCACGACCCATTTTTCATCGTGAAATAATTGGTCTAGACTCGGGAAAAAAGCGATGAAACGTGCGATCGATTTATAACTTGTGTAAACTCGAGCTTACTTTCAAGCTCTTACATCTATATTCTTTTCTATATCTGCCTGTGCAATTTTATTCGTAAAATATATACGTATGTTTCGCAACAATTTGATGTATTTTTCGAAATAAATTTCCACTAGAAACTAGTTTGAAAGTAAACATTGCACACGCGGTAGCATTATGCTGCCGTGTGAAGATGCGCAAATATTATTACGCGACTCGCAGATAGTATCGTCGAGGAGTTTTGTGTAAACGAGTGTTGTTACGACGAAGATATTACATCATGTTAATGATGCGTTCGATCAGCGACGTATTTAGAAATCGCGGCTTTTACGAGAGCGACTTGCCTTGAGGATCAGTGGTAAAGCGAGGATGCCGAGTGTTGACTCACGCGATCAAACAAGAGTGCTATACTTTTATAACGTGCGAGTACAAAGTATCTTGATTGATTTGTCGAGCCACAATCTCAAGAAAAATGATTCGTGATATTAAAAATCTCAAAAAATAAGTCGTATTACATTTTTTACATTTATACAACCAAAGAGTCGGTGCGATACATTTTTATTATAGTATCATTTTCATCGAACGAATCTTGGATTTTAGAGTATTCAAGCGAATATTAAAGATACAAGGTGTTTCAGGAGGAAAATAGTCAATATTTTAGGACATGATTGTACACGTCATTTTAAGCAAGAAAGTTCGTATAAACATGTGTCCTATTGTGGACAGTTATAAAGATGCAACATGTTCAATCTTATAAGAACGAATACATTTAACTGGTTGTTTTAGATTGTTTAGATTGATTTAGAATCAAATATTATAAAACAATTACATTAAATTTTTGCCAATTCTTTTTACCATAGATACGAATGTAAACATTAGATCACGTTTGATAAGTCCAGTGTTACTTTGAAATTTCTGGTTTCTGTGCTATAATTAAAATGCCTTATATTCACTTATGCCAAAATATTATTATTAATTGACATTATTGTTTATTAATTAATATTAAATATTCAAATTTATTGTAAGCTTAAAAATATAACGTAATTGTTTCATAGAAATTTGATTATATTAAATTATAAATGTATTCGTTCTTAAGACTGAACACGCTATATCTTTATAACCGTCCAGAATAGGACACATGTTTATACGAATTTTTTTTGCTTAAAATGATGTGTACAATCATGTCGTAAAATACTGACCATTCCTCCTGAAACATCATGTATAAACAGAGACGAAAAGACGAGAATAAAGGGGAGGAAATAGCACAGTAGGAAAATTTGTTTTCTTGTTAAAATTGATCCCCATTAAAATTGTTGTGTTAAATATTTAACATATTCATGTGTTAATTTAACATATTGCTGTTATATTAATTAAACTTAAATGTTAAATTATTAAAACAACTAAAAAGAGATGTAAAAATAACAGAATATGCATCTATTTTTAATGTTACACAATAAATATGTTGTTTTATTAGTGACAAGATTTATCTGTTAAAATTTACAGAAAAAATGTTGAGTTTTTATTTTTTATATATATATATATTTTATTATTTTTTACATTAAAGTATGTTAATTTTACACAAAATTTAAGTTTGCATTTATTTTGCGTTAAAATATTAATACAGTATTTGTGTCTCCATTTAACATATATCCATATTACGTTAAATTAACACAAAAATTTATGTGGGCCGTTTGGGGCGTGTGAGATCTGTGAAATTTAACCAGAAAATTTGTCAACTGTGAGGGATTACTATTTATTGACGGTCGCTACCAGCTGTAAATCAATGATCCTGGTGACTTAAGCCACGCACTGTCTGTCTCTCGTCGCCAATCGCGATATTTCTTCAAGCGTGTCTCGATAGCTTTGTCGCGCGCGAAAAAAATGCAGGTGCAGGATACACAGCCGCGCCCATTAGAGCGGCAAACATATCAAAGACGGAGCCGCGAACGGTAGGCGAGGCCTGCTAATTGCATTACGTAAAAGCTGTTAATGAGCGAACCGATTCGCTTCTCAAACGTCTTCCGATGACATCGCGTCGTCGAGAGAAGACACCTATTCGTCGTCGTCCGCGGATACGTGCCAACGAACGAAATAAGCTGGTCTTAACCTTGCGCCATGAGAAGAAATTAGACTGTCAATGCTTGAATCGCATCTTTAGCGTTTCTTCTCTTTATTTATTGTTGATTATAAGACCGCTCATTTCATATTTGATTTCAAGGTGGTATACGCGCTACACCTTGCATAATTTTCTGCAGAAATTCCTTGGCACAGCTTCCCGATAGCATAGTAAATGACAGTAAAAGTACCCGAGATAACAAGGACAGCCGATATAATTAATTCGCTTAATTTTTTATTAATGCTTTGTCGCTTCAATCGTTTTATGTCTCTTTGAGAATTTTATCTTCTTGCAAATAACTAAAAGAAGAGAAAAACAAAAATTCGTCACTTTATCATTAATAATATATGTCGATTTTCTCATAATAGAATATTTATTTTATATGTATCTGAAAAAGTTTCCTTTTATAAGATTTGATGAAAAAAAGTTTCTAATTAATTAACAGTCCGTGTCGAAATATCCTTGACAAGATGAACTATTTAATGCAAGATGATGTCAAAAGCTTGTTTTTCTAACAAAAGCCACGAATTGATTTTGCCATCATGCAACAGTCATCAAATCGCTAATGCAATTTTCGTGTTGTACTGCATTCCTGTACTACATTCTTCTTGAGATATCGATCGTGTCGACGGTAAAAAATGAAAACTACCACGCAGAGAAAAGTATTGTGAGTAATACAATACCAAGAGGGAAAGAAAACGAAGAAAAAGGCGAAAAGGAAAGAGACGTCGTGAATTATAGTAACTCAACTCTTCGTAAGATCTAAGTTTTCGCGACGGATATCGTCTTACGAGAGGCCAACTTTGTGCAATCTTAGCAGTTGTGACCACTATTCATCGAAGTGACTGATTTGCCAAACTTTAGCATCCCCGACTTGCTATACGATAATGAAATGTGGGTTACGGTAAACATGACGATATCATAACGATTCTATCAATAGTATTGACTTTCAAATATTTCGAAAGCTTAAACGCATCTAAAAATTTTATAAAAAATTAAATATATGTATATATAATTATCGCACTCTCTTTCACTCTTTAAAAATATAATTATTATATTATATTATATTTATCTTTAAAAATATGATTATTATATTTTTAAAATTAATTTTATAACACAATCATGAAACATAGATAATTTTAATTTCTATTCGTTTCTTAAATCTTGTTTGTGTAACAAAATATATTTTGCATAAAATTTTCAATATTAATTTACTTATCCGATATTCGGTATCGCGATTTCAAAAATAACGTAAGCCTGGCAGCTGACTCAGAAACTAAATATAATTATGAATTTTGACGTTACTATTTCCATTTCTGCTTTTGCGCGTATAATTATAAAACAGACTCGAAGATTTACAATTAGGTTGATTAAAAACGCCCATAATATGAGATGTAATATGAGATAGAAGCTTTTCCAACACAGGAAAAAATGAGAAATCCGAAACAAACAAAACTCAACAATTAATCGATATATGCAGGATTGTTTGTCGCCGTGAATACTTTAACTTTAAAATTTAAAATTATCAGCTAGGATTTGACGAAACTATAGTCTCTCTCGCAGCTTTTCAACTACCGATATTAAATATACATTTAAGAGTTTAAGCCATCGATTAAATTTCTATCAAACTCAACCTAACTATAATTATGTGCTATAAAAAAATACGAAAAAGAATTCAAGGATGTATGTCTTTTCATCGCTTCTGCGATGACGTCAAGTGGCCGTAAACTCGCGAGAAATGTTCTATACTTTCATATTCAATTCACACGCCGTTTCGAGCCCGGACCGTTCGTCTTTCGGAGCATCGTCCTTGATCAAGCCCTTTAAGGTCCGTTTGCGGCGCACAACCGACCTAAATTCATCAGACCCTGACCACAATATACGACAAACAGTTTCGAGTTCTTTTTTGCGCCGTCAGGTTCCGTCTGGCGAATTCGTTTATGGAAGATTACTTGTGTTCCCGCGCGACATTTTATAAAAAGGAGGATCTTTGTCGTAAAAATAAAAAAAACGAGCGATGCGCCGTTCTGAATAAAATTATCTTGGATTTACATAAATTATTTTCGCGTGCAAGAAAAGAGAAGAAAAAGAAAAAGACAAAAAAAAGATGAAAGGAAAAAGTAGATTACACGTACATAGCAAAGAATTTTAAAGAATTTAAAAAAGATTATGAAAATAGAAAATAAAAGTATAAAATAAATCGATTAGAGAAATTATTTGAATTAATTTTTATGTATTGATGATCTCTCAAGGAAGATAAAACCAAGGACAAATGGAAATAAATCGAAAATAAAAACGTACTCTAGATTGACATATCAAACAGACATGCGGGATGTTTTGACAGCCGCCATTCAATTTCCACTGAACTACTATAAACTACTTGAAGTTGATACTAAGGAAATCAATGTTTCTTTTTCCACCTAGATCAATAATACTGTGACACCATATGACATCGCAAATTAAAGGATTATCAGATTTTTATGAAAATTTGATAAGTAAAAAATAAAACATTCTGTACAAAGATAATAAATAATAAAATATTCTGTGCAAAAATAAGCTGACACTCTTTCGATTTAAACAAACAGCGGAAAAGATCTTTTAAACATCTTTTATAAAATCTCTGTCTGTCTCGTTATGATCTTCAAGAGGCCGTGAAATTGGAATAAAAAATATTCGAATTGACCAATCATTTATCGAATAAATCATTATTAGAATAATATATTGCATTAAAATAATATATGCTTTCTTCGTCAACGAATCTTTCATTATAATCTTCCTTTCATCGCGATCAAGAACAAAAGTATAATGGTCCAATGACCTCAAGCACCCATGCATAACGGTAGAAGAATTTTTGCCAATACCTATTTGCTCGAGAAAGAGCGAAAGACTATATCCATCTAATTTCTACAATTTTATTACCTTTCTTATTGAAATAAATAAACATTTTTATGATTATTAGCACATATTACGTAAACAAAACGTCGCATATCAACAAATAAAATGACTTTTAGAAGCACAATAAATTTCATATTATTTCTGTCGCGTAATAACCAATAAGATTAAAGATTCTCCAACTAAATCTTTTTTCTATATAAAAATGTCTATAACAAAATGTATTAAATTAACTACAGATAACGTTTTTATTTCATATTATAATATAATTACGTATATATAGTTAAGTTGCCCTATTAACAAAGTGCAGTTAAACGAAAAATATATATGGTATTTTGTGTAATTCATAAGCATAATCGCGTCGTCTCGCATTTCGACTTCGGCTCGTTTGTTCACAATGGTCGAACATTATTCCAATCCGCCGGTATGACGACTGGCATGAATTTATTTTCGGCGTCAGTTATTTTCGTCCAGGTCGACGCGAGAGCATTAGAGGAGCTCGAAGACGCGCGATATATAGAGAGATTCCACAACTTTCATATTTTACTTCGTGCATAAAATTCTTATTTTCGAAAGGGTAATCGGGCGAAAAAAAGATAAAGGTATCCATAAATTTACTAAATTTAAATATATATAAATTGGCCGGCCAAGAAAAATAAAATTGCGTTTCAGAATCGTTCAAAAGAACCAATCATCGAACTAAATGCTAAATGAAATGACCGTCTCTCGTGTAAATTTGGTCGATGAAGCCAACTTCCCAGGCAGGAAGTGACGTAATGCGAACAATTACGACGTTCTACATATGCAGTTCGAATAAGGATTCGCAAAAAATACACTGCATTTCACGCTACTAATTACTTCCCGTGTTCCAGGGTGGAATTTAAATGCACATTTTTCGGAAGAATAGAACATATCATCTTCATATTTAATTTAACAGTTTACGTTTCCGAATCTTAAATTTTTCATTTAGCATATAGAACTGATATTTTAAAGATATATAAAAATAATCTATAGCAACTACATTAAAAAAAATTATTAAATGAATAAATATTTCTTTCAATACTGCCTAATAAATCATTTATTTGAAACAAATAAATTATATTTCACGTGAAATATTAATATTATTAGTTTGAAATAAATGATATTTATTAGACGGTATATTAAAATAAATATTTATTTGAATTCAATAATTTTTTAGTGTAATATCTCTGACGAAGACAAACTAGAGGTTAATCTAGAGAAAATTATACGAGTCCGCAACTCGCGTAATTAACTTCGCCACTGTTATGACGATGTGTTATGCATGGACCGGCAGCTTTGCGTCGCGCCAATCCTCGCCAATTGCGCAAAAACTCGAACCCGATTTGCATCTTGCCAAGTTGTGCAAGAGACCGTGTACCGGCGAGAGTATCGTGTGCGATGAGTCAACCGTGTAATAATTTCGGGTTTCCTGCGTTTGCCAGATGAATTAGGCAGAAGCAATAAATTGGAACACTCGCGGAGCGATAAATTGGAGCACTCGGTGATATTCTGAGTAATCTATTGTTCGAGTAAATTAATTTATACGCGAGGCAGAGAGAGAGAGCGATGTCTAAAGATAGACTTTAGTCACTATAAATATCAGGAGAAAAACTTGATCGAAAATCTTATTTGAATATTTCGATGTATAAAACATTTTTTTTAATTTTTTGAATTCTTTTTCCAAAGTTAAATGAATGTTTAAAATAAATAATTAAGACATCTCTCTCGCTAAGAGAACTTAAATAGAGAAGTTTCACTCACCAAGAGCTTGTTATCCACGGTTTTGACGACGATCTCCTCAGGCGTGTATTGAGAAACGTCAAAGCGCAACTTCAGCATCTTGTTGTCACCCTCGTCCTGGATGAGGGGACTGTTGAGGCCATCCAACCAAGTATGATCATGCTGAGGACTCAGGGAACTGCTATTTTGAGTGCTCTGTTGCGTGGTGGTACTGTAATTGAAAATGAAAACTTGGGTTATCGCCGATGATCATCGCTCGCGTGTAAAATCTAAATGAAACGTTGAGCACATTGATAACGATGATGAGCGGAGATGTTGAAAATCCATGATACATTAACGTAAAACCTGCTGACTATTCTACGATAGATGCGATAATCCGAAACCCCATACCTATGGTGGCAATGCGACATACAAGTAACATAAATCCACACACAAAGAATTACATTGACTCAAAATCGTGCATAAACAATGTTAACGCTAAACAGACCGGCGTATAAATTTCTAAATATTGTATTTCATGTAGCAATATCTTTTATTATTAAAAATAAGAACAAGAGAAAATGGCATAAATTGTAAAGAATATGTCACTTATTTAAATTTCAATTAGTAATTGAAATACTCGCCTTGGCCTTTTTAGCGTTAAATGAAGGTGTTACTCGGGCTTGACTTTTGTACTACACTATAATCTATGCGGAATCGTGAGGAACATGAGATATGAACTGTGTCAAGAAGGTAACAATGGTCAACGTTCCCGAGTGCGAGGTCACAGAACGTGCAGACATTTGTTTGGTCGTTGCACTCGCTTTCTAGCGCGATTACAACTATATTAACCCTTCGTAGAAAAAAATGTAACGCTGCGGCATTATTTATTGCTAAGACTTGTTATTTTTCCTTTACATGTTCCTTTAACATTTATGTATATTAATGTATATTAATGTAACAAATATCAATAATGTATTAGTATACAAGAACATCTGATTATGCAACAATAAAGTTTTTAATTTATAAATATTTTTTTCCGTATATACATATACTATAATAATTAAATGATTAATATTAATTATATTAAATGTTTATAAAAATTTTCAAAAGCTTCTTGCCTAATTACGTCCGATTTATCAAATTATTCATTAATCCTTACTTTTCATTCTACAAAGGGTTAAAGACTGATGAGAAATAAACGGTAATGTGCAGAATGCATACTGCGGTTGGGAGATTAAAAAAAGAATTTATTGAAAGGTGCGGACAATAAAAATTTGTTATCACTATTCCAGAACAAAGCGATCTACTTGGTTCTCTGGCAAGCTTTCATTAAATCGAGGGTACGCACCCTCGCGGTAACATTTTTCCGATCCTATAGATTGTCTCTATATCGATCGACTCTTTTTCTCGTACTTTCTTTTTTCTCATTTTTTTTGCTCTAACGATAGCATCACCTTTTGAAGCTGTCGAACGCGGATCGCTTCGACGGTGCTGTAGGGTCGATCTTGTCCCAACCTTCGCTCTTCTCGGTCGTCGACGTGCGATGCTCACTGGTACTCGTATGATGCCGACTTCATAGTTAGTCATCAACGTGCCAATGCAGAGCCAATTGGTAATCGAGCGCAGGAAGAGGGGTTATTATTATACGGTTAACTTTCGGTGGTTACAGAAATTGCGTGAATTTCACATTAATCCACGCGGTCACGCTGTCTTCGCTGTGTTTCTTGGCTCAAGTAAGTCTACACGCGGGATTAATCTCGACTTTGTTTTCAGACTAGGTTTCATCAGATGAACAGTTATTCGATTAAATCTCTCTTAATCCTAACTCTCTAATTTCATTAATAAAAACGACAAATAATTCCTGTTTGAGCTACATTTGTTGTAACTTTACCAACGTCGATTGTTTCTGACAAAACGTAGAAATGATTTATAATCAACTTTAGTAATATACTCTTATTATTATCGTAATCAACGAATAATTGTTTTGAATTTATTTGTCATTGATGAAACCCATCTTTGTTCGAATTGTTCAATTGAGTTCTTTTAAATTGCTATTTAATATCAGTATCCTGTATTTCCGATGTTAAATTTTGACAAAGAAATATAACTTTGAATTTGTTTTATATCAGCAATCAATCGATCAAGTATGTCTGATTTTAAAAACAATAAGAGTTTTCTTGCACCAAGAAACAATGAGCGAATGACATTTCAAGCGCGGAGGTATATTATCATTTAATTCTCTTATATCTTTTTTTAATTTGCTATTATCTTATTTAAATTTAAAATATCATATTTTATATTATATTTAATTAATTAAAAAACGCTAAAAACAATTCTCTTAAAAAAATGCTGAAAGTTGAATTACAAAAAAATAGTTTTCTAAAGTTTATCATATTTTTTATTCGAAATAGTTTATGTATAATTTGATTGTACTAAAAAAAATAGAAAAATAAATAGAAATAAATTAAGCGCTAAATTTTGACTCAATAAAAATCTTATTGCGTACACATAAAAAAATATAATTTTACCTATTACTAGCAAATTCACTTACATGCACTAATGCACTACCGGTGCGCATTCACTCGGTTTTCTGTAGTAAATTGATATTAAAAAACAATACAGAAAAATAAGTGAGTACGCACTGGTGCGCACCAAGTGCATCCAAGCGAATTTACAACTCTATCGCAAACCTAAAATATTCTCGAATGCTGGCAAATTCACTTCAAACAAGAACAATGTACAAAAAGCAGTAAGACAATCGACACACGTCACACGCAGCAAATTAATCGTAAAAGCTATATACAAATTATTCGTATAACTAAAGAAAATAATAAGCGTACTCGGCAAATATACATACATAATAAGTCTTATTCGATTTTTTTTTTAATTATTTCGCACGATACATCGACATTTTTCAAATCAGTACCTGCATTTATCTGAGTGACCTTTCTTCACGGAAATCATTTCTAAACTAATTACTTTACCGCTAATAATAGATGCTAATTTTATTAATGGTCTCTAGAGAAAACCGATCGATCGTAAGCACTTATCTAAAGATAAGAATAAAGCTATTTGCAGCTCTGAAATGAAATAAAACGGATACCGATAACCGGAAATCTTGCTTCTTATCTTCTCATCTAAAAGGTCATCGACTCTCATTAAGAATACTAAAGTAATACGTAATAACGTTGTCACAATCATACTTACCATATAGCAAAGATAAACGTGATTTCTCAAGTGTATCTATATTTACCTTTCTTAACTCGTTCCTCTCGGAATTGTTTCATTTTGATTTAACCTTATAAAAGAATTTTATAATCTGCTATTTTTCAATCTCATTTATCATTTTCCGAAACGCAAGTTTGAAAAAATTCAAGTATCTACACATTAATTATTTTGTACGTTATAATTATTAGTAATATGTATAGGTGGCATATGTATAAGTAGATAATTTTGTTCTAACAATGTTCTAACAAGATTTTCGTGAAAACTGCAAAAAATTTTTTTAGTATTACTACACATTTAAAAAAATATTTTAATCTTCTGAAGTTTTTTTATCTATAAAAAAAGAGGGCATCAATTTATTTTCTAATAAAATATTTGTTCTTTTATAGGAGCAAAAATTATATTTTATTACAATAAACCCCAATGGGAAATAATTTGACAGAACTGCGACATCGTGCGTGTTTCGTGACAGTCGAATAAATTCCAGTAAAAGGATTCTCAGAACGAAATGTCACTATATTCCGTCACGCAACGTAACGTGTTTAACAGTAATAACGACTATTTTCTACGTTTTATTTCCTTTATACAATGTAAGTTGAACGAAGACAAAAGAAGGAAAAAGAGAGAAAAAAAAGATTGCCGTCTGTCGTCGCTGATAATAAATACCTATATTTCTATCAGCTATGTTATTTTTCAACGAATCTATCTCAGGAACGTGAATGCGTTTTTACTTTTTCTCGTGATATATATTTCCACTGAATATTTTGATGGAATCTAAATTAGAAATATCACATAACATGTTAATAGAAATAAAAGGGTTGAAGTAAAACTACATAGGAAAGCTGTGTGGGAAGAATGCGGTAGAGAACAATTATGCTAGACAAGAGAAAGGTCGGATCTCGTCTCGTGAAATCACGAGAGGTCAACCATAGCAAGCAAGCTCTCACAAAACTTGACTCGGAACGAAAAGGCCAAACAAGACGAATCACGACGGAATATATAGCTTCTAATTCAATCCAATCGCATTATTTTGCGCTACTACTGATTCCTTATATCGTGGAAATAAAATTCCTAAATGGCCATTTGTCGAGCGAAACAGTAGATGTGTCTTAGGAAATTACACGACAAAGATAAATAGCGTATAAAAATGATTCATGGTATTGATAACGATTATCATTCATCAATCAAATATGGTTTCCTCAGTGAACAAGAAAGATAATCATCTATGTATGTCGCAAGTCATATCTAATTAAGGAAGTTTATCGAATAAAATAATAGCTACGAAAGAACATATGTTTCGACGGAATCGTATTTAGTCATTACGTAATGTAAATGATTGGAAATCAATGAATCTAGTTGATAGTAGTTATACATTGTCCGACATTAAGAAACGGAAAGACTATAGTTGTAGACGAGACAAAAACCGGATATACCTATACGTGAAATTAAATTAATCTCCCTTTGGCATGTGCACCGAGTTCCTCGAATCTTTGATCGCAAAAGGCCGTGACTTCCGACAGCACGTCAGTTGTATTCGCGAAAGTTCAAGCATAAAGTTTAACGTAGTTCGCCAAAGTCAACTAACAAGCTATTGACCTGCCTATAAGAGGCAATTTCATGTTGCTGCTCGAGTCTCGCGTTGTCTGTCTGCCTGTCTATCTACAAAAGCATTACAAATTTGTCTGCACGCGATACGTCGCAACTATCAAATTCTATTTTGTACACCTCTATTTAAAAGTAAATATGAGTTTCGAAGTGACATCCAATCAAGATACGTATCACTATAAGTCTCCTACAATAAAGTAAAAAATCTGGATAAAAGAGGAAGAGATTTTTCTATTTAGTGCTTAATATAAAAATAATTAATTAAATTTATTTTTGTACTTATCGATTGGCTCTAAAATCGTGTTTAACACTCTCGTGGTTATTTCAAGAAAAGAACAAAGAACTGCAAAATATTTTTGTTATGATTCTAAATTAATGAGCAACTTCGAAGCCGTTATAATCCGATTGCATCAAAATGAATTCAAATATATAATGTAATGGAAATAAAGATACTAGATAGATTCGTAGTGTATGCGTCAGAAAATATTTTCGTCGAAACCTCTTTCCGCACGCGCATATGATGTGCCATCTTACATCAATACACTTGTCTATTTGCGGTAAACGTCCCTGAACACTAACATTACGTCAGGAACACGTGATGATTCGGACTTCGTAATGGACCATACTCACCTCCTACGAATCCATCGAGAATGTATCGATCGATATCGAGCCATTTTTACCATGGCGCATATATTTATAGACAGAATGTTTTATATGTCAATATAGCAGCACATGTGTTTCTCAAAAAAGATCTCGTTATGATTTATTTATGACGAGAGTAAATTTTCTAACTATATATATACATACATAAGACGATAAATGACTTAAATTGCGGATAATTAAATTTTGATCTATTAAATTAAACGACCAGCGTATTTTTAATCTATAATGCATCGCAGATTATTACTATTATTAAGTTCGATAAGACATATATCTCGAAGACAATGATAAATTGATAAAAAAAATTAATTGCGCAATAAAATTATATATATTGTTACTTGTCAAAATTGTGACAAACAACTAATCTTGTCGAGACATGATACGAACAAAAAATACACGTGATGTCAATGTGAGTGAGCGAATTTGGAGAAGCTTGCGCAGTCAATGCGTAACGTACCGAAATTTGACCACCGTTTTATGCCTGGGCGGATAAAGATCCTCATCCAAGATCATCGTGGATCCGGTAGAGAAGCAAGTCGATACTCTCGTGTTACAAAAGCTGAACGCGCTTGATTTTAATACGCGAAACCGCGTGCGATCGCCTCGATGTCGCAGAAATTACTGCGTAAAATGGCTTGTAGGCTTCCTGCAAGCTCCTCACCTTTCTTGCATCACGATTTAGTGCTTGATTCCAGTGCCCTCGTAGTGGGGACCATTCGCGAACGAGCAACGCGGCAATGTCAAGGTCATCATATGTTGACGTAATAACGAGATGCACCGAAAACTTGTGTATTTTTCATCTGTCACTTTTCTTCGGTTTACATAAATATAACATTAGAACGAGAACGATGGTATTATTTTAAGAAATGTACGCAGAGAGAATTTTCTCTTAAAAATCTTGGAAATTCATGATAATCGTGGGACGATATGATATTGGAAGATTTTTAATTAATATTTACCACAATAAGAATATTAATATCTACCACAATAAAATATAAAATATGTTCGATTAATTTTACATGTACATATTATAATATTTTTTTGTGTTAAATATTAATCAGAGAAACTTATAAAATTCTTCTAATACCATATTTATGTTCCACGATTATCATGATTTTCAGGGTAATTTCTAAGAGAAAATTCCGTGTACGTTTAATATAACTCAATATTTTTTTCTTTGTATAATAAAAGACGAGTAAATATTTTTAAATAATTTATAAATTTCTTATTGTTAGTTAAAAACTCGAAAAAGGAGAAACGTTCTATCAGTATGTAATTTACTTTTCTCGCGTTTTTATCCTGCTTTTTCGAACTGTTGAACAATAATAATGTTGCATTCAGAGCCATGCCACCGAATGTGTGTATATCAGTGTAAACATCAAAACTGCAGTGAACAAGTTCGTTCATCTAACGAGCACATCCAACGAGATGCATCCGACGTAATTATGTAACAGACATCGTTTGTAATTCCGCGAACAACACGTATAGAGCCTCACGCATTTCCCACAAGAATGTATTTAATTATACATGTCGGATTTAACATGAGCGTGTCATCACATAACGAAATAATTACTACTTAGCGTGTAAAATTTTATTGTATATATGAATACTTGACTGCTGATATATAAAAGATGGATATAAAAATATATAAAAATAAATTTGAGGCTCTAACTTTCACTAAAGATTTTTTTTACGAAAGAATAATTGTTCAAAAAAAATTTTTGTAAAATTATTTTACGCAAAAAGAAAACGAAATGCAAAATGATTTGAAAAATATCGTGCGAACGACCGTATAACGCAACTTGAGCAAACATTCGCGTTATCACGCAAATCACGATAAAGTTCGCGCAATTGGTTAGATGTTTGTGCGTATGCAAATTTCCGCATATACACCCCGAGATTATTCACGATGGTCGCGCGGCTCGAAACGCTAAAGAGAAGAGCTGCTTCTGGTCTGTGAGTATAGTGACGGAATCTCTATAAATAGCAGGTATACGAAATGCGCGTGAAACGAGGATATCGATGCAAAAATATCGTGGTAATCCGTGAACCACCGTAAACGGCGATTGAATCATGCTATCCGTTGGAAAAATCTAAGATACAATTCGACTTTTGCATGCACTGATATGACATTTTACGATAATGAAAAAATATTATAATATATAATGAATTTTTCTACGATTAATCTATTCTATGTCCTATATGTCATTAATGACATTTAATGCTATTATTGTTATTATTAATATATATTGTATATAAAATTGAAATATAATACATTCTCTAATATTATACGTAAAATTACGTAATAATTATCGCGCAAATTAATTTGTGTCAGATTTTTATCGTAATAAATTATCCATATTTATATATTGTATCGCACTTTTTTTATCAATGTCAAGAAAGATTAATTTTTTTAATGTTTAATGGATGTGTACCAGATATTATATTTATATTTTCTATATTTTATAAATCAAATATAAATAATCGCTTTAAAAAATTAATTTGCTGTTCTATAAAAGTGCTTACGATCGATCGGTAGATGATTTTCCTATCATTCTAAAAACAGAATTTATAAGTATGAAAGATCGAGAAATTGTAAACCTTCATATTGTAAAAGAAAAAGAAAAGATTTGTTTCAAATACATCACAAATTGTATACGTTTATACTCTGTTAGAAATCGTCAATAATCATTGAATAGACTGAATATTTGTAATCGTCAGTAATTTCAATGCGCGACACGCGTCGTCGCGCGATTAAAGAAAACGAAGTACGTCAAAGTTACGAAGCATATTAAAACCTGACGCATATCAATCAATCGAGCGGAAATGATAAAAAAATTTGCAAAAAAAAAAACGTATAAAATATGAATACTGAAACAAAGATCGCTTTCAAGTTCTCTGATCTTTTTGTCGCAATCTGCGACAAATTACATTACACTGTTCGTGCGTTTTGAAGCACGGAAAAATCAATACTTTCAGTGTCAACTGTATTATTCAGTTGTGACGTACAATTTTTATCGATCCTTTCCTCTCTCTCTCTTTTTCTTTTATATACATATATAAGAAAACGCAGTAACTTTATTTTTCTCGCGTTATGATTATAACCTCGATACATATACACCATCGTATTGAGCGCGTAAACATAACATCAATGTAAACAAACATTCAATAGCTTCAAGTTACATACATCATAACTGAAAGAAAAATACTTTCGCAAAATGGAATAAAATATTACGCGTACGAATTCATTGCAACGAAGTGCGTAAAAAAGAGAAATGGAAAGAGAGGAAGAGAATGATATAATAAATAACATAACCGCGACCTTTCGAATTAGAGGTTAGGCGTTTTCGCGACCTCTCATACGCATACCTGGTGGTGCTCTTGAAGAAATTGTTGCTCTCGCGGTTCATCAACTCGCTACGGAACCGCGACATCTCGTCCTCCATCTTTCTCATCTCGGCGTCGAAGCGTTCGCGTATGTTGGAGAACTCGGTGTCGATCACGCTGAAGTCGCCGAGCTTGATGGGAATGTTGCGCTTGATACCACTATCAGCCATGTTTTCCGCACACTGTCTCCTGTCACTGTATATCACTTAGAACGAGGGATCCGCGTTCGACGAAAAACGCGATTCACAACTCCTTACTCGCGAAAAGATGCGCGCGTATCTAGTCCCGCCTGAGGAATGAGCGCTGCTCGCCGGCAGCTCCTTAAATAGCCGGCGAGGTCGCTCGTGGGAGTTCGGCCGCGCTCGGCTTCTCTCGGCGCGACGCACGCGGTCGCTCGTACCGAACATTCGCGCAAAACTTGACGCGCTCGATGACGATGACGGTTCTTTTGGTTTAATTAGACATTAATGCGGCCGAAAGTCGAAGCGTCATTAATGACGAATGATCGAGAGACAAAATGGAGAAGCGTCTCGCCGCCTACGTTATTTTGTGTACGATGAAAGAGCGCGTTTGTTTTGCCATTTATGGATATATCACACTTTATACGCAATATTTCGTATGTATCTGTTTTTTGAAAAATTTAAAGAGGAAATCGATTTTAAATTATTTCAAATATATATTATTGAAGCAAATGATTGAATGACATATTTGATTATACTAAAAAAATACTTAAATTAAATATATAACATTAAATCTAACAAAACATCTATATATATATATATATATATATATAACTAAATTTCGACGCTAGATTAATTGTCAAATTAAAAATAATTATTCTAAATATAGAGAAAAAACTTGAGATTAATAAATTAATTTTTTGAAAGATATAGCGATTGAATTTTTTTTCGTATTTAAAACGAATAATTTGTCAAATATGAAAATGAGCTCTCCGAATTTGTTCATATAAAGATTATGCGTAGGCGACACACGCGATCTCAGAAAAGATACAAAACGAATCATCATTGCCCACAACAGAGCATGACTAATAAACTTGCATGATCGTTTCCTTATGAACGACCCCCGCGAAAGAACAATCTCGTAAATTCCTACACACGTGTCACGGTGAAATTATTCATATTTCTAATGAAAAGACGGAAATAAAAGGCACTATTATTATAATAATAGTTAGTAGAATAATAATTAATGTTCATCATAATTTTTACCATATAAAATTGTTTTGAAAATATTATATTAAATATTAAATTCTCTGTCACATGTTTTACGTAGATTAAACCGAACATCAAAAAATGCGAATTGAAAATAAAAACAGTCTAGAAATGACACGTGTAAGACACGAGAGTTAACGAGTTGCAATAAATGAAGATATAATTTTTACGATACTGATTGATTAATTAGTATGACGAATTGAAAGGTCTCTGTTAAGTCAATAACGCTCATCGTAAGATCGACGAGGTCTATTCATAAAAGTCCGTAATAGTCTGTCAACAAAAATTATAATGAAGAAAGTAATTTTAAAAGTTTACAACCTTATTAAAATAGCAATTTAAATTGATATCGTTATTTTAGAAATTAATTGTGTAAATATCGTTACCGCGTTATCGTCTAATCTGATTGTCAGCCTATTATATTAATAATATTTTGCATTATTTGTATCAGACAAATACGAATCGCGCAATCTATTATAAAAGATATGATTTCAAGCCGATTGTATATCTTTGAAAAAATCAACAAAATTTGGGTGCAAAATTGAGAACGCATTCCTCTTGTATTGCGTCTGGCAAAAATTGGCAGTGGCGTCGAGATGCGTCAACAAGTCGGGAATGTTAAAAGAATGTTTACGTCGTCACGAGAAAATTCTTTTACGGTATTGTGAAACTGAGTCGTGTGAGTGACGCCGACGCTATTTCGGCGTTTTGCGTCGTCACGAGTTGCGTTCGACTGACAATGAATGGAGGAACGGCACGTCATTCTTTACGCCCCCTCATTTCTCATATACAGTCCGAACATTCTTCAAGGATACGTTCACATGAATCAGAACACCATCGAAAAGTCTGCTCACGTCGAACTAATTGAATAAATCTAAGAAACAATTGACCAAACAGATGCACTCGCTAATCCTGAGCTTGACGAGGAGGAATAAACCAAAATTATATATTAAAAGCGAAAAGTACCAAGTATGACACAAAGCTGCGAGAATGATTAAAATATATACTTGCATTAAATAATTCAGATTAAATAAGTTCTTATAATAACGCAGCTTTTTTTTCAAAATAAAGTTTTATTCGTGATATATACAGGGTGTACCTAAATAAATGCGAAAAATTTGAGGAGACGAGTCTTTGTCGAAAATTGAGATAAACATATATATGCTCTTATATTCCTTCCTGAGGAGTTTATATTAAAAAACTTATAAAACTTATATAAAGTGAAAAAACTTGATATATTCCGTTTCATTTTTTTAATGTGTCTGAAATTTGAGAAAAAAATAAAAATTTAATATTTACCTCTCTCTTTAGAAAAGTGTAACTCTTCAGGAAAGGAGATATAAAAACCTCCCTTAATTTTCAACAAAGAATCATCTAAAATTTTTCACACTTATTTAGACGCACTCTCTATACAAATAAAAAAATATTCCTAAATTTTCTAAATTCTAACTTTTTCATTATTTTTTATAATTATTATGTGTAACGGGGAATATACTATATTGCGATGTTATACAAAGCGCGTAATAGCAATGAAAGGATAAAAGATATCAGATCACGACCATCGAGATCATCGAGGTTGAAGCCAAAGTATGTCAATGTCGGTGCGTTCCTTATATTTCCAGTACAAGATTTTTTACGAGACAGCTGACTTCCTCTCCCTTGTTTGAAACGTTCACGACCAGGTATGTTGACTGGAGAGTGTGACGTCACCTTCGTGGGGGTTTCACCGATCGATAAAAGGCGTCCTAATATGGATCGAAGATAAGGTCACCGGTATATTACATATATGTAGCTCCCAAAAAGATCGCTACGAAAATTATATCACCCATCTCAAAATATCGCAGATCTCAAAATCACCTAAAATCGAAATTTATCCCACACAATAATTTTTTATCGATCACTTCCTCTTTTGTATCATTATTTTTAATTTTGACTCCTTAATTTTAACGAAGAAATACCTTTATCTTAAATATTATAAATTTAGACAAGAAATAATTTAATAAAATTTCTATAATTTATATTTTCCATTTTTTTTTAATTAATTTATCTCAAAATTTAATCTTACATAGATCTAATCATGGATTTGATTATGATGTCATTGAATGATGCCATGGCACGTTAACCTCAAGTTCCATTCGTGGTTTGTAACGCGGTGTCATTATATATGTATATGACCAGTGATGACCTCTCGGCATTTATAGGTCGTTCCGAAGATCGCTTACTACATCCACGTAATTAAAATTTAAAAAAAGACGCGATAAAGTCTTATTCTATAAGGGCAAAGTTTATATTCGATCGATATTATTTAAAAAAAAATGTATGATAAAAAAGTATATATAAATATATTTTTGATTTCGCGTAACATGAATGCGGAAAGCGGAATAAATTGCCGAGCTATTTCTTGATCGTATCCTCGACATTGAATTACGAAAGGAACGACGATCGAAATAATCGAACTCTCGAAGAATCTCCTTCGAGCGGATCTGGCCTCGGATACTATGGCTCTCTCGGATTTTGTCAGCTAATAATAACTTGGTAGCACATACCAAAGAGCTACTATCTTTTCAACAACGTCAGTTTGCTTGTTTTCTCCAATTATATATCGAGCTATGAATAATTATTGTTCGATCTCTTATAAATGAAGCTTGTTTCGAAGCGGAGAATCGAGCAATGCAAAGATAGAAATTTAATTTAGCGAGAATATCACAAGAAAGAGAAAGCATATAATTTATAGAAAAATTAAAGAGTATTAAAAATACAATTTTATACATTTTTCGGAATATTCTATAAAATTATTGTTTAATATATACTTATTCAATTTCTTTTTAATTTCGTAAAATTTTAAATGTAAATATAATACGATCATGAAATTGTGTATATCACGAAATTGTGTATATCATTAATAAAAAATGTAAATGACATATATACATAATTGATCACACGATACTATTTAACTTCTGATCTAATGTGAATTGTGTTCGCATCTATTATAAATTGCGCACAGTTTATAAATTAATTATCAATATGTCACCGCCACGAATAAATTTACACGTAACACGATGACAAATGGCCATAAATATAAAATCTGCGTATATAATTATTATACTACTCTCTTTTATCATTTTGCTAATCATTCTTTATTTTTTAATGTTTTATTAATTAATAATTAATTATTTTTAAAAAATGACTGACAAAAATTGTGTAATTTTTTTATAATAAAATAATTTCTTAATAAAAAAAATTGTAATTATGTTATAATTGCAACATAATTTTGATATATTTCTTTCTCTCGTAGATAAAATAGGTAACTATATTTTCCTGTTATCATACGTAAAAGATTTCCTTTGACTCTCTGCTTTATATTTTAGCCACACATTACCGAGGGCGTTAATGTACGTGTTGTAATGTTGAGACACATGGACATTTTCATCAATATTATAAAATGAAAAATATTAAAAATAAGAAGCCTGCGAAAGAGGGAGACGATAAAAAGGAAAAAGTTGAGAAGAAATTTGACAAAAAGAAATACAGACTCCAAAAATATAGCAATAAGTATAAAAGTATGTATATGACATACATCAAATAGGTTAATTTACTATTTCTTTAATATTTTGTCTTCTGTGTATCAGTTGATCAGTGGGAAGAAAAGAGAAAGAAAGCCGTGTTGCGTGGATTTTACAAGGAACTTGCAAAGGATCAGCAGAATTCACAATCGTCATCTTTAAATAAACCCAAGAATACAAATGAGATAAGGTACGCACACTGTTCAACATTTCACTTTTAAATCCGACATAAATTTTAATATAACTAAATGTATTTACATCCGTACAGCAACTCAAAAAGTAAAAGCTATGCCTTTTACAAGGCCAAACAAGAGTACAAACGCAAGCAAGAAGATAAGAAGAGAAGGATAGAAGATGCCATTCGTGTAAAAGCAGAGCGAGAAGAAGCCTTGAGAAAATATAAGGAAAAGAAATTGCAAAATTTTAGGGTGTTATCGAGGAAAACGAGGAAAGGACAACCTGTTATGAAAGGCAGAATAGAGATGTTGCTTGAAAAGATACAGCAAAGTGTAAAGTAACTTATAATTTCCTCTTAGGAGAAAGTATAATTTATTCCTTGCATTGTTACTTAGCTACATTGATTTCATTCATAGCGAATAGCATAAAAGTGCATTGTACATTGTAATACATATAATCATAATATATCATCTAGAAAAGCAGTTGTTTGTTTCTTTATGAAATATATTATTGCATAAACTTTATATATATATATATATATATAGGATAGCCTAACAATTTCTTTTTAAACTTTATTAAATTTTTGCTAAGATTAAAATCCAATTTATCGAAGAAAATGTGCTTGATATTTTTCTCTTTTTGCATATGCGTAGACTTAAATAATATTGAAAAATTATTTGTTTATTGCACTACTAAAATTTTTGTTGAAAAGCAATTTTTAATGAAACAGTTTGTTGTTTTACGTGTAATGATGTATTACTTATTTATCAGCGGAACATTTTTCTTATATTACCCTTTGCTAATTTTCAATGCTATTTTGCTTGCATCATTTCAAGGGGATCAATAAATATCAATAAAATATCTAAATACATAATGATAAAACTTGATAATAGAAGCCTCTGATTCAAATTTTACTAAAATGTCAAAGCCAAAATTAGGTAAAGTGACGTGTTATCTAAATCTCTTTTGAATCTCTCGTAAATGGTAAAGATATATCAACGACATATCATTTCGTCGAATTCCACAACTCGTGTGAGATAAATGCGCACAAATTCTCTCTTCTCTCCACAAAGTTTTACATATATTTAATATTAAAACTGTACCTGATTGCAAAACTGGTATACGAGAGACAGTCTCTGCGATGGCCCGATGAAAGAACGAAGAAACAGACGAAAGAACTAAGACACTCCGCGTCGAATATATATCTATCGCACCATATTAGCGGCAATCAACGATCAATCAACCGTCGAGCTCAAAATACGAACGTTTTCATCTGACCGATTAGTCAGCAAAACTGTTCCCACTCCTCGAGATAATAATTTCCAGTAATCTCGCGAAAGTAAATGCCGATCGAAATAAACGAAACTTTCCCTCGAGCTGTAAATTTTGATAAAAGTGCGAGGGAGAAAAAAAATAGATTTTCCACTTCCGGTTCGTTCCGGTAAATTGAAAATCCGTTCCCTCCTTCAGACGACGCGAGAACGCGCGGGAAAGCGAGAGATACTCGCGTGCTAAATTTATAGCCGGTTCCTTTCGTCGCTGGGTCTCCGTCGCGCTTTCCTCTCGACTCGTGTTCGCGAACGGAGAACGGAGACGCCCGCCTTTTCGCGGCGATCAATCGAAAGCGGGAGGTAGCGGCGAGTCGCGGCGTTCGAAATACGAAAAGTCCACGCGCCAGCGCGAACGGCGCGTGCGCGCTGGCATTTTGACGGGTAGAGCCCGTCGTCCGTCAGAGAGCCAGTCGACGGTTGCAAATGGCGACAGCCACGAAGTCTCTGGCACGGGTCCGCGAATAGTTCCACGCCTACCGTGCGCCCGAGCCTGTGCGTGAACGCACAATCCCCTAGCCCAGACCGGTACGTAGACCAATTCAACGAAAATTTCGTGGAGAAATCGCCGGGAAATTTCGCCCCGAGACGGAGAGGAAAATCCGGCGAGACGCGACAGCTCCTTCTCGCGCGAAGAGAAGAAGACTCGAGGAAAACGAAAGCGCTCCCTCGTCGCTTCTTCTCGCGTTTCTCCTTCTCGCGGAATGCTCCGATCGATCGCGCTTTGCATTTTTCGCATCGTCAATCCGTCTCGCCGATTTTCGACGATCGCGCGTTCCTTTTTCTTCCGGGAAAGAGAGACCGAACTCTCCCGGCTGCTACTGTCAAAGATCATCGTCGTCACTGCTCCGATGTGTCAGGCCGCGCCGGCTCCGAGCGATCATCGAGACGGTCAATTATCGCCGATTCGCGGACGATCGTGTTCGCGAATGCTTGAAAGCTCCGAAAGAGAGCCGGAGCAGCCGAATTTTACTCCGTCGTGTGGATAACACGTTTTTCCGATAATCATATCTGGTGGGGAAAGAAAGGAAGGAAGAGAAATAGTTTTGTGATTATAGAAACGATAGGAGCGATAGAGAAAAATATGATAAGAGTGACCACGCGTCTCGTTTAAACCGTTGCGTCATGCTATTCTTAGTGCGCGAAACAAATACCAATTACAGTATATTTACGCTGGAGCACGTCTCAGATTGAAGGGGACGAACGTTCAAGTATCTTTATAACTCGATCTCATTCACAGGTAGTTTTAAGCAAACGAGGCAGAATGCCGGCCGTCAGAGGAGATGGCATGCGTGGATTGGCAGTGTTCATATCGGATATCAGAAATTGTAAGTAGTTTGACATTTGTTATTTATTTATCCTTAATATTAATATCTTCTTTATTTTTCTAATGTGCAGTTTGTGCAAATACTGATATTGCAAATCATTGTACTCGACCATTTATACACTATTCTTCCTGTAAATTTATATTTATGTCCCTTTTATATTTTAAACTTAACGGAATGTCATTCATCGAGTGATAGCGTGCCATTGAAATAGCATGTAAAGTGTCACTGAGAAAGGGAGAGCAGGAGAAAGGGGGCGGAGTTCTGATACAGGCCTATCTTCCTGATAGAGCTTGACTCTCAAATATCAATCTGTGACACATTGGCATCATTAGTTGAAGTTAAAAAAATATATATATAAATGCAATCTTTTCTTAATATATTTATTAAGTAAAGAGCATTATATAATTTATATGTAATTTATTTATAAGTATCTTTATTGACAATTTTGATTATGCACTGTATGTTAATGTACAACTGTATATAGATAAAAGTATTTGTCCTTGGTGCAGTAAGCCAGTTGGCATATCGCCATTAATTCTTCTGTTACATATTTCTATTGATATATTACTGCCAATTATATTTGCATAAAAATATAATAAAATATACATGGAAAAAGAAAGAAAATTTGCTCTTCTCTTAATGTACACTTTATTTTTAAATAGACATTTTTATTAATAATTATAATTCTGTAATCTTATTTTGTAAAGAAAAAAAGAGTGTTCTTCATTTTCTTCAAATAATATTACAATAATATAAACAATATTTACTAGGTAAAAGTAAAGAGGCAGAGATTAAAAGAATTAACAAGGAATTAGCAAACATTCGCAGCAAGTTTAAAGGGGATAAAACACTTGACGGATACCAGAAAAAGAAATATGTTTGCAAGTTGCTGTTCATCTTCCTTCTTGGTCATGATATTGACTTTGGACATATGGAAGCTGTCAATTTACTTTCATCAAACAAGTATTCGGAGAAACAAATTGTAAGTATAATTGTTGGTGCCATCAGTGATGCAGACACAATATACAATTATTCAATTCTAGGGTTACCTTTTCATATCAGTCTTGGTGAATACCAACAGTGATTTAATCAAATTAATCATACAAAGTATAAAAAATGATCTCGGCTCGCGCAATCCAATTCACGTCAACTTGGCATTGCAATGTATCGCCAATATTGGTAGCAAGGAAATGGCAGAAGCCTTTGGCAATGAAATTCCAAAACTGCTTGTCTCAGGGTATGAAGTAGTACATTTATCAACATATAAAATTTCTATTAGTAGTATTTGCAACTACTAAATATTAGATTAGATTTTCATTCAATTTTAAAAAGTAATATTTGTTCCCTAGAGATACTATGGACGTTGTGAAACAAAGTGCAGCATTATGCCTCTTACGATTACTACGCACCGCGCCCGACGTTGTACCCGGCGGTGAATGGACGTCGCGCATAGTTCATCTGTTAAATGATCAACATCTGGGTGTTGTAACGGCCGCGGCATCGCTCATAGATGCTCTCGTAAAACGAAATCCAGATGAATACAAAGGCTGCGTTAGTCTCGCAGTTTCGAGATTAAGTAGAGTACGTTGACAATGATTGATCTATACATGTAAAAATGGGAATATTATTATTTGACATTTCTTTTATAATTATAGATTGTTACATCGAGTTACACAGATCTACAGGATTATACGTATTATTTTGTACCAGCTCCATGGTTATCCGTCAAATTGTTACGCTTGTTGCAAAACTATACACCACCAGGTATTTAATTTATATATATGGGATACATTTTATTTAAAAGCACAATGGATTGCAGAATATAACTGCATTTAAATTTTATATCGCTACAGCTGAAGATCCAGGTGTGAGGGGCAGACTAAATGAGTGTCTAGAAACAATATTAAACAAAGCTCAAGAACCACCAAAGTCAAAGAAGGTTCAGCATTCAAACGCGAAAAATGCTGTGCTCTTCGAGGCCATTAGTTTAATTATTCACAACGACAGTGAGCCGAATCTTTTAGTACGAGCATGCAACCAACTCGGACAATTTTTATCGAACCGCGAGACTAATTTGCGATATTTGGCACTGGAGTCTATGTGCCATTTGGCTACCTCGGAATTTTCGCATGAAGCCGTAAAGAAACATCAAGAAGTTGTCATATTATCGATGAAAATGGAAAAAGATGTTTCCGTGAGACAACAGGCGGTAGATCTGTTATATGCCATGTGTGATAAGAGTAATGCCGAAGAAATAGTTCAGGAAATGCTAAATTATTTGGAAACAGCCGACTATTCGATTAGAGAGGAGATGGTCCTTAAGGTAGCGATTCTAGCCGAAAAATATGCGACTGATTACACTTGGTACGTCGATGTTATTCTAAACTTAATTAGGATAGCAGGCGATTATGTTTCCGAGGAAGTTTGGTATCGTGTTATCCAAATCGTTATCAATCGAGATGATGTACAGGGTTATGCTGCAAAAACCGTCTTCGAGGTAAGATATACATTTATCGTTTTGCTAAAATTTTATTCAATCTATTTTAGATACAAACATTATGTGTATTGTTGTAGGCATTGCAAGCACCAGCTTGTCACGAAAATATGGTTAAAGTTGGTGGTTACATACTTGGAGAATTTGGTAATCTCATTGCTGGTGACCAACGGTCTTCTCCAGCTGTCCAGTTCCAGCTCTTACATTCCAAAGTAAGTGTTTGTTCTAATGTTTAACAAAATAATATATGTATGTATTACTAAGAATTTGTATCTAACAAATCTATTTTCTCTTTTGCACAGTATCATTTATGCTCTCCTATGACCCGAGCATTACTGCTTTCGACATACATAAAGTTTGTCAATCTGTTCCCTGAAATTCGAAGTCAGATTCAAGATGTCTTCAGACAACACAGTAATCTACGTAGTGCAGATGCTGAGTTGCAACAGCGAGCATCGGAATACTTACAATTGAGCATCATTGCCTCAACCGATGTTTTGGTACGCAATATACGCGATACATGTATTATATTGTGAAAGATATGTATGTGAGATTAGTATAATCAAATATTTATCTGAATTTTTATAGGCTACCGTGCTGGAAGAAATGCCGGCATTCCCCGAGAGGGAGTCCTCCATCCTTGCAGTTTTAAAGAAGAAAAAACCGGGTCGAGTACCGGAGAATGAAATTAGAGAAAGCAAAAGTCCAGCACCAAATACTAACCACCATGCTGAAGCCACTCCTGTTACTGTTGCAGCAGTTAACAATTCTTCCGCCGATCTATTAGGACTGTCAACCCCACCTTCCTCTCAGCCATCTAGTAACACAGGTGTATTACTCGATGTTTTGGGTGATATCTACAATATGCCAAATAAAGTTGGTGCTACCAATGGCACCCAAAATACATACAATCCTAAGAAGTAAGATACATGCACAATTAAATCTATATCTTTATATAATTTAAATATTGAAATATATATATGTATATCTGTATATTAATTATATTAAATTTATTTTCCAGATTTGTTTGTAAGAATAATGGTGTCTTGTTCGAGAGCGACTTGATACAAATTGGTGTAAAATCAGAGTTTAGGCAAAATCTTGGGCGCATAGGCCTTTTCTATGGAAACAAAACACAATACGCATTACACAGTTTTCAACCACAGCTATCTTGGTCAGAGGAGAATCAAGCAAAATTAGCTGTACAAGTAAAACCTGTTGATCCTATATTGGAGGCTGGCGCGCAAATCCAACAAATGATCAATGCTGAATGTATCGATGACTATAATGGTATGTTACTTTGACATTTTTGTAGATCTCTATTAAGTCTATTATTATATGTATTCATATTTTTATTCACAGATTCGCCGAGTATGCTTATTTCTTTCATTTATAATAACGTGCCACAAAAAATCACAATGAAGTTACCATTAACAATTAACAAGTTTTTCGAACCGACGGAAATGAACGGGGAATCATTCTTCGCAAGATGGAAAAATCTCGGCGGGTATGAAATATAAGTAGAATATACTTGATTAAGAAAGAAGTGAAATTGATTTAGATTGATTTATCGAAAATCGTTAAATCTGTTTTTAGAGCGAATCAACAACGATCGCAAAAGATTTTCAAAGCGCAGCAACCGATGGATTTAACACAAGTACGTACAAAATTACAAGGTTTTGGGATGCAACTGCTTGATGGTATCGATCCAAATCCTGATAACTTTGTCTGCGCCGGTATCGTTCATATGAGGGCGCAGCAAGTGGGTTGCCTGTTGCGTCTTGAACCAAATAAGCAAGCCCAGGTAATTTGTCAACTTCCTGAAAGATTTAACAAAAGAGAAATTGTGTATGTATATGACAGTTTTAATTAATTGCATTTACTTGTAGATGTTTCGTTTAACGGTACGTTCAAGTAAAGAATCGATGTCGGTAGAGATCTGTGACCTGCTGGTGGACCAATTTTAAACGGCCTAGCAGGCGTAAATGTCATCGATAAATTAGTACTACGTTGTGAGAGGATATATCATTATGAAGGAGGATGTCATCTCGCACGTCGTTGAAAAGGATACTGATGACTACTTGTTAAGACATATTTGCGTTGTACCCAAGCTTACACTCTTAACGCTCTTGTACGAAATCTATATCTTCGTGTAGGTAGTTTTGTGTCACTATATCGTTTTATCGAAGAGACATAGATTTGAATCAGATGATCGAAATCAATCACGTACAGAAAGAAAAAACATATGTATAAGCTGGCTATGATAGACAGTATTAACTCGTAATTGAAGATATTGTGTAGATTTGTTTTATATGGATTTACATCTTATATTACAATCTATACAATTTATGCAGATGAAACGAGAATGAGAGAAACAGAAAAAACTAGATATTTTATAGCTATTATATATATATTATAGAATCACTCGAGCCACATAATAGCAACAAATATGTGTTTTTTTTTAATTTAGTTTTATAATACAAATTTACCTCTGTATCGTTACGATTTATATAACTCTCAACATCAGCGAGTCATCAAGATCAGATCCCTAGAGTTGGAAGATCTCTCTGTATGTGAACGTCTCTTTGTTATATCATTTCGTACCAATGCGTCATTTGGAGTCACGGATTATTCGTATCGATATTTCGCCATGAGATTGTCGCGTGAGCGAGAGTAGATTTGGGCACAATGACAGTAGTTGTATAATATTAGCTGTTTATCACATAGATATATCCTTATATTTAACAGAGCTGCAAATTAATTATTATATAATTAGTAGAGTTTATATTTAATTGCGCCTTATTCTAATCTTGATTTTGAACAATATCCTAGTTTTTCTATATTATTGATATTGATGTATGATAAATCCATGGCTGGTCACTCTTGTGTTTATAAAATTCCAGCGAAAGGTATATTATAATCTTAGTATATCGTTAATTGAAATCTAAATCACACAGAATAATGATTTGTAATTGTAGAAGTATGTTTGATTATTTTCAGAATTTTACGTAAGATGTATATTTGAAATAGAGTGTATACTCTGTACAGGTAATAATTGAAGTGTGTTTTGGGAAACGCGTTTTATAATATTAACAATGGAAAGAGCAGCTCTAAATATGATTTAAATATCGCTTTACAACGATCAGTGACATATTACTGATCTTTGTAAAGCTTTATACAATTGTACATATAAAATTTGAATTAATTACAAATGGCTATAACATTTACGAGAGATACACAGGTTGCACTATTTGTAGCCATACCAAGCTCAAATTTTTTTCTTAAGCTCCATTTATATCTTATTTTTTCAGGGAAGTAAGATGTATATTTTTCATATTCATATGTAGTGTAACTCCCTTCCTTCCCCTTTTCTCCTCTTTCTAAATCCTTATTATATTCCTCCTTTTTTTATAGATTATATATATATAATATTATTATATTATATATATATATATATATATATATATATATATACATATATTAGTCACATATTTGACTAGGATTGGTCGAGAGAACACGACGCTATCAGTTTTTATTTTTTGATTTATTGTGCATGATAGAATTTTATTATTGTTATCTTTTTTCGCTTTTCTACAATTATTACTATTTTACGATACACGACAAGATTTAGATATTTTACTGTTAGATTTTTTATTGTACAATCGTTACTGAATCATAAGTACTGTAAAAAAAGCATGGGCGTTTTGTAATTTCACTCCTTTCTGGTGATTAATATTTCAAGAGATGTGATAAAAATATAATGTTTTTCTTAATCTAAACTATATAATATGTACTTTGCTACAAAATTTAATCAGCGTTCAGGCACACGGGGATATTGAATCATGTGAAAATATAATCTATAAAAATGATTAAATATATAAAGTTAAATAATAAATTATTGTCGATGTAAAAATTCATTATACGGTATCGTTAACAGATCTGTCTTTTTTTTAAATGTACGTGTAATATATGCAAATTTTGTAATTTATATGTATGCCTATGATGTATATTTTTCATTCATAGTTTTTTATATAATGTTATCAATATAATATTTATACATACACATATACATATATTTATATATGTGTATATAATTAGTATATATACTAATTATAAGACGTTTTATAATTTTTATTAATCTTCATATATTGCACGCAACTTTTTTCAATGAATCTCAATAGTGTATAAGTTGATCATTTTATCGAGCTTTATTCTTCCAAAAATTATAGAATAAAAAAATAAATAAACTGATTGACGTGAACCCTCGACCATCACTATCGATCACCAGTCATGGATTTGCAAGGAAGATTATATAATGTTCGGCAAAATTATGTTTTAAGACACCAACGAGATTTATATAATAATGATATCCCTTTATCTTCGCGTTTATGCTCGTTTATTATAATATAGAAATGAAAACCGCGTGTTGCGCTTAGATTTAAAGACCTGTACACGATTCAACGTTTCACGTGGCAAAAGATTATTGCGAATCAAGTTGAAGCTGTTGGCGATGTTAAAATCAAATCACATGTTAGATAAATATGCGAAAAATTTGCGTGAATCGATGAATCGTGGACGGGCCGTTTTACATTCAAATGAAAGTTACGTTAATATATATGCAATATATATATTATATATATATACATACCTTCACATATATTATAAATACACGGATTATATGTTAAGAGAGAAATGTGTGTGGCGAGATACACAAGTTGTTAGACTATTATGCGGCGATCGAAGCAGTCAATGTCTGTACGATTCGATATTCGAATGCAACATACAATCGAATATTCGTAATTCGAATATCTCGAATGGTACTAACTCGTGTAATTTTCATTGTTACGCCTACTGTAGAATTTATGAGATTAGTCAACGAACCGAATACTCGCAAAGTCAGATGCAGAAAGCAACGTAATATGAAAAACTTCCTATAAGCCTTTATGCGCGTTTTATTATGCATTGAATTGCTGTGGAGTCCTATCTCCCTTCTTCTATTTCAGGATTATTTCACGATATATATATCATCGGGATATTCCAACATTCGGATATTCGAACGTATAGTACCTTAAGAATATTTCTCCGATCGCGTGAGAACAATTCAAACAAGTGTCTGTCGCGTCCCAAGTAGCAAACTGACTTCACGTCATTAGACGTCAATATGTGACATTTGCTTGCTACCTGGGCTGCTCCACGGGATATCTTTTCGCGTTGTCATCCTGTGTCGTTGTCCCCTCTTCATTACGGTCTAATCGTGTACAGATTTAAGGGAGAAATTTAAACAAATTGTAGGAATTTAACAGTAGGCCCTCTGTATTGTGAGCCAACTCCTCCCTCTTCTCCACAAAAGAAAAAAAAAAGAAAAAAATTAGTGAAAAAGAGCTATTATATGCGGGCCGAATGTATCGTATGATGATATTCGTGATAGATTTCGATTTTTCGTCTCTTTACAATTATCGAGATTGTATTGATTTCTTCACGTAGCGTATGTGCATGAGTTGTACCGTGTTGTTGTTGGCTCCTGACCGCCGTGGCTTTAACGTCGAATTAGAATTAATGGACGTACATTGGTCTCCTGATCTCCAGCTAAGTTTGGCTGTTATTTCTCTTGGCGTTCATCTCGCAGCGAATCTTGTGTAACGGACTTTTGTTTTGTTCTAGCTATATACATTGTTCGAATACATTCACTTTTTCTTTATTACGAATTCACCCGTCGATCCCTCACAATAAATCCCGAGCTTTAAAGAAAGCTCCAAGGAAAGCTTTAACAAAGTTTGAAAATCGTATTTCCACATTCAGTCTTTTACGCGAAAGCAATCTTTAGTCTCTCCCGTAGCGCATGCATTTCTTTACATCTTTCTTTCTCTTCCAAATATATGTAATTCTAGCGATTCCTAAAATAGATCCTACAAACGTTTTTTCTTCTCTCCGAAGGTGAGGGAAAAATGCCGATTTATTTTATATCTATTTGTATATGTATATGTTTGGGAAACACATCGTTGATTTATATCATGAAAAACTAAATTTCCTTGGGACAAAAGTATGTCTACTTTGCTCAACTCTCAATTCTCTCGTTATTCCAATTACGACAATTTTTATCTTCATTTATTCAGACACGTTCGATAATGTCGCCTCGTCAAAGTTGTTGCGAATGTTGATTCGTTGTGACCATGCAGTCTGTAACATGAAAGTACAAGCAATTGTATTTTAAAGGGGCCACAATCTCTGTTTAAGAGACGCGTCCTATGTTTGTAGTTTATTGAATGCGCACTTTTCCAAAGTTATGTCCCTGAAAAATGTATCTCTGCATAAACGTAAAAATTTAATATACGATAAAGGATCGAAATGGTACGATGAATAAAACAATAGAAATGATAGATTAGATCATATTTCATTATATGGCATATTTACAACAACTTATTCTTAAAGTATAGAGAGTATATCGAGATAAATTAATAGTACCTATTATTTGATACATTTCTTTCATAGCGCAAAAATTTGCCGCATCTGACTCTGATCTGTCTGAGTGCATGTAATTTGGCGTTTAATTATTATAATTACGCATACCTGTGTTTCACTATGAAATTTGCAAATATATATGAAATAACAAACGTATCGTGATTCGAGAGACGCAATCAACACACAAAATATTTGATTAGATCCAGCAATGGATATGATATAGATATCAATGATATTCGAGTATTTTCTGTGATATCGGACAATGTATCGTTTCGTATATATAGGCAAAATAAACCGCGTGTAAATTATCTTAAATGATCTAACGTATCTAGATTTAGACAATAATAATAAGCCATGTTTTGGCTCGTATAATCTCATTTATATTTGTCGCCGCACTAGATGTTAGATACAATCGTCTCTAGTCGCAGTTTCACATTTATGTATAAAAACGAAAATACATATATAGAGATAAAATGGAATCAGGATTAACTTTAAATGCACGTTAAGAATACAAATCATTGTATAACGATATCAGAGTGGACAAGTGGCTCGACTCGCCGAATTACTCATCTTATCAAGTTATCAGTCGCGCGACACGTGAGAGAATTAATTGAACATCGGATTGCTTAACCATATATAAAATAGACAAAAAAAGCGATATATATCTGGTTTCAAAAATATATTTGTTCGCAAAACATTTATTGGAGTGTCTCGCGTATGCGAATGAATAGATGATTTATTTGTAATTTCCTCTTATTTGTTTTATCTTCAATTTAAATATTACATTGCTACATGGATTGTGTGGACCAATCGTAACGTACCATTAAAAGAGGCTGAAAGTCAAAACATAAATATACTTTGCCTTCTTTATTTTTGATAAGTGGCCCACAGCTCGTTCTCATTTTGAGAGAAAATAATTTTCGGAAGCTTGACGCGCGCTGCTCCAGAACCAATATAACATTATTCAGTGAAACCAAATGAGGACACGTGTCGATGAAACTTTCACCTTGAACGTATCAAACTTGGCGCATTCTCGTTTATCGATACCGAGCCATTGATTTCGCGCAATTATAGTTCCGTCGAGCAAAAAAAAGTCGTACATGCAACGAGGCAATCCCGATCCATCCTCGAAATTGGAGTACACGTGTATATCGATTAGAAAGATATGCATATTATCAAACGAAATAAGAGCAAAAAATGATATCGAAAAAAATCTTTGGAAATGTGTTGAAGTAACATTCAAGTTTGTTATTCGCTGTAAGTTTGTGTGTAATATACAGAGATCCATATCCGCGTAAACAGAACTGTATATGTACAAATGCATATGTACACAAAATAACGTTAAAAACTGTAAATGGCCATATTGATCTAGCAACATTAGGATGTTACAATTTGCATTAGAATTTGCAACGCTCGTTTATGGTGACACTTATATATCTTTAGACCGCATTTGCTCGCATTTGGGAGATCGACTCAAAAAGCATGCCGAATTATTTGTGGCTGGAATATCGGATTCGTAACCACGGACATCAAAATGCTTTTCGATAAAGTGGAAAATAGCAGTCAAGAACTAAATGCGACTTGACATCTGCCATTACGCGTCGCACTAATCCCAAATGAAATTTGAAAGACCGCATTTCGACGTGGATTCGAATATATCGATTAGTTGTAAGCGTACGAGCTTCTCTCGTCAATCTATGATAGCAGCGAGTTTAATCTACGCAATGACATATGCAATATTCATATATTCAAATGCACGTGAAAATTGTATCGCGAAAATTTTCATAAAAATACATATTAAAATTCAAGAATGGCTGTACATGTAAAAATTCGATTCTGCGAAATAATTTGTAGAAACCACACACACACATAGATAACACGATTATTGAATTACGCTAAATATTCATCTCATTAACGACGTGTAATTTTTATTGATATATAAATCTAAATGAGTGTTGTACAATTGTTTATTTGTACACAAGAGAAATGATTTTTTTATGCTAATTAGACTTAGCATATAGAGAACGTTTTCCATTTGTGTTGCATCGTAATGCAAAGTGATCGAAATTCTCTCATGTGTGTATGTGTGTGTGTGTGTGTGTGTGTGTGTGATGAACAAGAGAGAAAAAATAAATAAATTTCCATTCCGATGCAAACCGAAAATTGTACCGGGATTATACGCTACTTCTCTCAGTCAAATATTAGCTCTCTTAAATATTAATTGACTAGTATTAAAAGATCGATCAATATATCGAACATACATACATTATTCCTCTAATTCTATTCTCGAATCTACCAAATTTTATATTTTGCGTTTTAACTAAATTTCTTGCGTATTCTACGTTCGACTTTCCGAAAATCTTACAACAAATTGAGTAAAATTGTTGCGAAAATTATATACAGGCTGTATCTAAATAAGTTTGAAAATTTTAGGAGATGATTCTTTGTAGAAAATTAAGAAGGGTTTCTTATATCTTCCTCCCTAAAGAGTTCAACTTTTCTAATCAGGATAATAATCAAGTTTTTATTTTTCTTAATATTAATAAAGATCTCCGCCAAGTTTCATTTTTTAAATTTATTCAAAATTTGAGAAAAAAATTAAAAAGCTAATTTTTCACCCTCTCTAATTTTCGACAAAGATTCATCTCCCAAAATGTGTCGCCCTTATTTAGATACATCCCGTATACTTTCCGTTTCCGTCTTGTCCGTGAAAGACGGAGAGACTACGTGTATACTCTAACATATTGAACGAGGGTGAGAGTATCGTTTCATACGGTGATTAGATCCTCGATAGATCCTCCGAGCGAGTGGCCGACTTGTCCCTCAGGATGGCCTCGACGTCTCTCTCGAGTATCTGGTCCCGGTCGTTGAGCTGGAAACGGTAGGCCGGCTCGTTCACCAGGACGCTCTCCTCGGCGGTGCTTTGCGCGTCCTCGGGGGCGAGAAAGAATGTCGCGCGACCCTCGCACTTGCGCCGATAGTCGGGGTTGTCCGGCGTCGGGCGATGACAGGAGTCGCAGACGGTGTCGCTGCGCGAGGTGCACGGATGCGCTTCGTAGAGACCCGGGCCGCATCTGGCGCAGTTCCAGCAGCGCTGCGTGCCGTGGTGCGGGCTGTACGTGCCGGCCGGACACTTTCCGCACACGGTGTCGCGGCCGCGGGCGCAGCGCCTGATCACGCCCCAACCTGGACCGCATCTGCTGCAGTGCACGCCGTCCCGGTGGTGCCTGATGTGAGGCCTGCCCTCACTGGTCTGGAATCGTACACAAGAGCGGCAGATGGTTAGTAGAGCGTAGGCCCCGAGTCTCTCTCTCTCTCTCTCTCTCGATTGTGACAGACGTGCAGAAAAAGGCTTGTAATCTTTCAGATTCGGATTCCAGAAACGATTCCGGGGAAAGCGTTCCCGGTTGCACGCGATCGAGCCCCCGGACACGGGGAAATAATATTCAGTGGACAACCGAAGACGCACATTCTCAGCTAATTGATCAATTCTTGATATACAGGAAACGTGCGCTTACGTAAATTGTCTATTGTAAAAAAATTGGTTGATTTAGCGCTTTATTTTATTTTGTATCTCTTTGATGAAGAAAGTTTTTTGTTTATAAAATCGATTAAGATTGTATTTTAACATTTTGGAAATTTGGAATCACTCTAGAGAAATCAGATTCTGAAATTACAGCGCGTCGACCTATAATTAGTAGCCCCATATAACGTTTTAATTCGGAATATCTTCTTAGGCATCTCAGGAAGCGAAAAGCCAAGATATCCTGCATATACAATCAAGAGTTGAACGACCAGTCTAAAATTGTACAATTATCGCTTAATTGCGCATAATTAATAAAAGTTACCGCTAAACGTGACAGGTAGTCAAAGGCCAACCATCGTGCGATCAAGTTATATTCTTTTATCAAGCGGTTTTATTAATATACTCGTATATATAGTCACTCAATTTATTTTTGCGTATTATAATGTATAATCTCTGAATGGTATAAAGCTACACGGACGACGTGTGTCTTTTTCTGCAAGTCAATATTGTCAATTATACACTACGTATCATCGACTTCCGACCATCATCTTTCTGCCCTTCTAATCAAACTTGATGAAATGCAGGTTTGACCATCCAACAACCCAACAGGTGCACAGAAGAAGGCGGCCACCTGACTGCGAGAGAACACCTTGCGCCTTTCTTCTGCCTACTTTGGCCAGATCCAGACGCGATATATGAACTCCCGTACTCTCTCACGCATAAAATGCTGCTCTTAATACGTTAAAATATATCCCGCTATACTTTCGCCGACTAATTTTCCCGAAATAAGTAACATTGTCTGTCTCGATCTATGCATTTTTTCAATTCATTTATTTTTTCTCTTTCTACATATAAATATATTGAACAATATTATTAAAATGTTTTCTATTTAATCCATATAATTAAATACCTAATATAATTTATCTTTTTAACAATTTAACATTAACTAATTTTAATATAAATCTATACAGTCTTGTTTTTTTATATAGAGAAATTTTATCGATTCACAATCGAGAAATTAAAAAAGCGCATAATGAAAGTTTGATTCCTTAAGTTCTATCATCTTTGCATCCAACGCTTCAGAAGAGATAAAGATCCTAATTATAGGCAAGATTTAAAAAAGTTTTGCCTCATTTAAAAAATATTTCTGTGTTATATACAGACATATACATATTGTATATTCCAAGAAACTAACGCGTTGTCGCTCGACCACAAAAGCGGCAGGTAAAAAGTAAGGAGACCAAAGAAGCGATCCCTTTCTAGAGAGCAGCTGTTGGCAGCTGCTTCGTGCGGCACGCGCCGACAGTCACTACGCATCATGCGAATCATTAGCATCGGACCTTAATTCAAAACCCTTTAGCTTGTCCTTCTTCCGTACACATGCCATCTGCGGGCATCATCAAACTTGAAGTAGTCGTAGACTCTTAGCCCATAGAATATAATATATTTCATTTCAATATTACGTACACAAAGAGAATTTTTTCTTTGTATTTATCCTGACAATCGTATGAAAATGGTATCGTGGGACAATATAAAAAAATTTATAAGTGACTCTATACTTAATATTTACCACAAAAATATTAATATCTACCACAATAAAAAATATTAAATATCTACTACAATAACATATAAAAATTAATTTTACATATTGATATTTTTTATTGTGGTAAATATTAATCAAAGAAATTCTAAGAGAACATTTTCTCCGTGTGTGCATCCTTCGACATCCTTGTACATTATTTGTTTTACAAATCTACAATTTTACAGAAAAAATAATTTTATCAGAGACTTTTTTTCATGACTAAAGTAAAATCTTGTTTTATGCAACTTTTGATTTTTTTCATTCAAATTAAAGGTATCGTCTATTTTTTATACATGTCTTTTTCGCGATTGAGAATGTAAAACTGCTTTCGTGGAAGCTATATGCATTCATTATTTTCCCAACAGTTCAATAAAGTGCCCGTCATCTCATCTTATTGTTAGACGTAATACGAGCCGCCACGTTCACATGTAAGGATGCCTACTGTTTCAATTTACAGTTATGGCGAACCTAGTTAAGGGTTACGACCCTTTGAAGCCGATCATTGCTTTATTAAGTTAGCGAATTGAATAATAATAAGTTGTTGAATATCAAGCAGCTCTCAACAAATTAATCTTTGGAAATATGAAAGAATACGAATAAAAGTAAATGTAGATGAAAAACGTCGTTTGAAATTTTGGCTTAATAGAATCTTAATACATGGAAAATTGCATTCACAGTACCGAAGTGAGTTATGAACCGAGCAACTATATTTGACGTTAAATTTGCGGCGAGAATACTTCGAGAATAGCATCAACGAGGCAAAGAATATCGATCTCCGGAGCTTCTTCGAGGTAATTGCTCCAAGTGGGAGGTACGTCACATTCTTCGACGAAGATATATATCCTCGAACGTCTCTCGCAGCAATTGTGAAGACACGATTTTGCCTGAACAAGATTTATCGATCAAAAAAAAAAATTGTTCACGAAAACCGCAGAATGTTCTTGTATGCGGGACGAGTTGTCGCCTTTGGAACATCGCACGCTCGAAGGATATAATATGAAGAGAGAAAAAGAAAGAGTGAAAGAGAAAAGATCTGCGTCACGTTAAGAACACCTTTGGACGTTAAAAATCACCTTTGGCAATTTCCAATCCTTTTCTCGTCGATTGTCTGCCAATCGCAGACACGAACGTTGTAAACCAACGATTATGTAACCGTAGAAATGCGGGCTTCGTAAAGAATCCGCGGTATGTCGACATTGGAATTTTTCGTGGGACTAAATAAAAAAATATGAAAAAAAAAATAACGAAGAATTCGCTTCCTTCATGTATAACACAAAGATATTTTTCGTGGTACAGCGTTCCGCGATGCATCGATTCGATCTGATGAAAAATCGGACGGTGGTGTCGACAAACGATCCGTAACGGTGATGACGGAAGTAATGTTGCGTTCACGGTATGAATAGAAACTTCCGGAATGGAAGAACGAAACGGAAATGGTAATTGCCGTCCCTTTTGTGTTCCACTTTTGTTTCCCTTTTTTCTTGTTTTTTTCAGAGGCACATTGACGCCGATAAATTTCAATGCTGATCGATGAATGCATGTGCGACGACATAAAACTCGAATGATTTAATGGACGATGGAATGTCGGTCTTCGATTGTGGCAATTTTTATTACCATTTACAAAATATAAATAAAATTTTTAAACATTGATTCAATTAAATAGCAACAAAAATAACAAAATTGTCATCAATAATGTTCGAAAACAACTTTGGAAATCGTCTCCGCTAAATTTACAAGTAATTAGCGATAATCATAGATACTTTGCATGTCTACGGCCATGAGGATAATTGGCTACAAAGAAAATTTCTTTTTCCATTTAATATGAAAAGACACGCGTACATATTATATTATGTGTGTAAAGCCGCGTCAGGGTTGGATTTTCATCGTCGCCGACTCACCTGAGGGAACGTGGCCCACTTACATTTGTCACCGGAAGAGGCGGATAGCTCGCGCACGAGAGAAAAATTGCAGTAATTTGAAAGCCGAACAGAGACACGTTCCAAACGTTATTATAGGATAAGATATTTCATTCAAAGCCGTCGTCGATGCGCTTACCACGCGATGGATTGAATCTTTCCGATTTCCGTTTCACTAATATTGAACATGAAATATTTATTAAATTCTCCTTAAATATTCTTACATTTATCAAAAATAACGTAGACAATATAAGACTATACGTTAATAGTTAGAAAATTGATCAATAATTAAATGTACGGAAAAGATATATAATATTCGGTAAATTTTGAAATATAATGTACATTAATAACATTTATACTTAATAATTTATTATATAAATATACTCAATCAAGAATTGTCAAAGATTGAAAATATGTACGCTGAAAAATTATTAAATTAATAAATATTTATTTCAATACTACCTTATAAATAATTTATTTGAAACAATAAATTTTTCACATCAATATTATTAGTTTCAAATAAATGATTTGTAAGGCAGTATTGAAATAAATATTTGTTTGAATTGAATTAGTTATTTTTCAGTGTATATCATATTCCATTATATTCTATCATATATGTATTCATAGTTTTTTGTACGTTTACTACTTTCTTGCGTTATTTCCGACAGGAAGCTTTCAACAAACTCGACCGAACCGCAAGGCCTCCCGAGATATTCGGAGGAGGGTACCGCCAAAGTTGCAACAGGCTGCAACCCGCGGAGTCACGCCAGACTGGGTTCTCCCCTTCGTATGTATGTGTACCTGACTTCCTCGGTCGAGCACACACAGCGGCCGGTTCTACTTCCCGGAGGAAGACACCGGGGTTACCCTGAGGGTGAACCCACAGTTGCAGCTGCCTTGAGAACCGCGATAATTATCTTTGGCCACTACGCACCCTATTGTTCCACGAACACCCTGCCCTCGGCGTATATATATATGTATATATTCCATGGGTCGTCGAAGGTTACCAAGCACCTGGACGAGGGAGAGGTAAGAGCACTCTTGTAAACTGCTCAAGTGCGCATCGCAGGTATTGTCAAACAAGATGCCTTTGATTTTTTTTTATCATCCAAATAAAAATGAAATAAATACCGAATATCGCGTAGATGATGATGGTTCAAGGCCGATTTTTCTAGCTTTTTGGTAAATTTTACATGACAGCATATTTTCAAAAAAGGTCTAAAAAGAGAGACAAAGATGTGCCAAAAGTTGGAACAACCGGCCCTACAAGGTACAATTGCGCGACTATTGGTGCTTTCCATTTAGCAACACAAGCATCATTCTATCTTTATTCTTATAGAATGTAGAACAAAGATAGAATGACGTTTGTGTCGTTTTGTGTTGCTAAATGGAAATCACCATATATCGTTAATTACATTCGTTATTCGAATGTCTCTCATATTCATCGAAACCTAGCCGGCAAATATCTTCAATATGCGACAGTTGTACCGCAAAGGAAACCGTCGAGTTCTTTTACGATGCTAATGAGATCCGGACTCTTCGAGACCCCATTGCACCGATCACCCGCGTAAACAAGCTACCTTTCAGCCAGTTTGTAGCGCGCCAAGGCGCCACTCGGACAAACAACTCCTTCCACATCAATAATTCAGAACGACGCAAAAATGCATGTGCGAAACTTTAGTTAGAACTTTAGATCCTTCCTCTGAAACTCTGCGTTTACAATCAAGCGTGTATGTGTGTGTTGTTCTGTTCTCCTCCCGACATTCCCTTTCCTTTATGTCTTTCCTTTATGTCTCATCTCGCGCAATTCAACTTGCGGCGCGGATACACTCTTCTCATGAAACTACATTACATACAAAGTACCGTTTCGATAAATACATACTTTCGTTTTATTCTCACCTGTTAGACCGCGCCACACCAAGTCGATACCGTAATTTACCGATATAATACGCAAATTGCCGATACATAGCGTATCGTATTCGAGATAATTGTACGTGGCGTTACGTTGGCGCGTCGTAACAACGCTATTTTTCTTGGCGTTGCGATACCCTTGTGTGTCTCTATGTATATACGGAGAGAATTTTCTCTTAGAATTTACCCTGAAAATCGTGGTAATCGTGGGACAATATGATATCGGAAGAATTTTATAAAGGTACCTTTTCATGCTGCAGCAGCAAATCAGACACATTTTATATATTTGATTGCGATATTAATATTTTCTATTGTGGTAAGTATTTAATCAAACTCATAAAATTCTTTCAATATATCATAATGTCCCACGATTATCGTAATTTTCAATTCTAAGCGACCATTCTTTCTGTGTATGTATGCGTATGTACACGTGCGCGACCCTCTGTTTCAAATAATGCATAGTACATGAACGTTTCTTGCGAGGGCGCAGAAGAGCGCCAAGTCAGGGCCAACGAATCGCGAAAATCGCACCGCCAGCGGAACCGCCGTCTCCGGGTTCCCATGGCATACTAATGAGCCTCATAAAGCACGGCGTACCCCAGTGAACCGAATAACTCGCCGACTAACATGCCCTGGACGAATGCGTGCTGTGCTGTATAATGCAGCATGAGACCCCCGACACACAAACACAACTTGCAAACGACATATGCACTTTGCTCGTGCTTTGTGCTCGTGCGTTCAACTCTTTGAATACGTATGCATATGTATATATATATATGCGAGTATATTTTACAGTCCGATGCGAAATACGCGATAAACGATATACGCACGTTTGCGATAAAATGTAAAAAATGTCGTCGATCGAGTGCTCTCCCATACAGTACTCCTCATCAAACGTGAATGATGCTTTTTTATTGAGGATGATAAGAGAATGTTATGTTGAATTTCATTGTCAAGTGTCGATTAATCAAAATTAAAATGATCAATCTTTATAATAAGTTTCGTAAGTGCAGCTGACCATTATTTATTTTTAAATTAATTAAATTTTTTTATTTTTATTAAATAATAAAATTTTTTAAATCTTTATAAAGTCTAATATAATAGAGAATTATAATTCATAAGATTCAGAATCTGATAAATCAAAATTTTTATTAAATAATAAATTTTAATTTTTATGTTTAATTCTAGAATATTTCAACGTGAAACACATTTGTGTTTCTCTCATAAGCACAAGTAAAGACAAAAGATAAAATATGTAATTTTGATAATCGTACAATTCTCGATTGCCATAAATCATACTTTGTTCGTACGTTCATCGTCTAAATGTTCCAACGACTTTGATGTTTCCGGTTCAACCCTCGCGCAAGAGGCTCCCTCAACTACATTACCACCTTATCTATGTATATAGTGTATTCTATACGTTACAAGGATACGTTTCACATGCTTCAAAAGGAATCAAATAATAATATTATTGTAGTAAAATCGTAATTCTCATAGTCAGTAATGATTATTTAAAATTTAAAAATTATATAAATATATTGTAATATATTTAAATATATATTTAATTAAATATATTAAATAAATTTATATATTTAAAAATTATATAAATATATAAAAATTTAAAATTATATGAATTTATTTAGATATTCTTCCATTTTGTACACAGAGAGAATTTCTCTTAAAATTTACTCTGAAAAGTATGGTGACCGGATGGGACAATATATTATATTAAATGAATTTTATAAGAATTTCTCTGATTAATATTTACCACAATAAAAAATATTAATATCTATCGCAATAAGATATAAAATATATTCGATTAATTTTACTATGTACATATAAGTATTTTTATTGTGATACATAGATATTAATCAGAGACTCTTATTCCAATACCGCATATTGTCCCACAATTATCATGATTTTCAGGGTAAATAAAAAAAATTTTCGCCGTGTATCAATATATAAATTGCTTCAAATCAAAACAATTAAATAAGCGTTACGAAAAAAAATATGTGCGCACATACCTTGATAAATACCAACATACACGCGATGATAGCAATCGTCAGCATCACGCACAATCGACTGCAAATCGACTTTCTGCGATTATTCATTATTCTTAAAGCTATCTATTCTTGTGCCGAACTTTTACCACTCCGATTACAATCACTTCTCTTGAAAATTACGTATTCATAATTTTCTATTGCATTGACATATAACGTGGAGAACGATTTCGCACTATATAATGATTTCAAATAGAATAATCTCTACGACGTTCCAAATTATTAAAGTATTGTACGAACGTAGGATTTTACCGTGCACAGAGAATTTAAACAGAATATTTTCGAACACTCGAGTAATACGCTTTACTGATTTGATCTCTACAGTGTTACTTCGACGAAGGTTCAACGTGAATTGAAAGGGAGTGCATCGGTGCAGCTGTTACTGTTGAACACGCGCTCGGTCACGTGGCTCCTCGTATATCCTCCCTCTCTCGCATTTACGGCGCTCTGATCAAGCGCACAAATGTTTGAATCTTTCTATAGATAGACCTTTGTGGACCTTTATACGAATAAACTAGCTAGATTGTACAATATATTCGAACACAGAAAGAATTTTCTCTTAGAATTTACCTTGAAAATCGTGGTAATCGTAGGACAATTAATGGCATTGGAAGAATTTTATAAGTTTCTCCATGATTAATATTTATCACAATAAGATAAAATATGTATAAAATATGTTCGATTAATTTTACTGTGTACATGATAAAATTATATTAATTTGTATTGTGGTAAGTGGTAAGTATTAATCAGAGAAACTCTTCCAGTACCATATATATTATATACTGTTTCAAGAGTACGATGATTTCCATAGAATAAATTCTAAGCGAAAATTCTTTCCGCGAAAGCCTTACAATATTAAATGTGTGAATTTTTTTAAATGACATTTAGAGAGAAAGAGAGCAAATTTATAAATCGATAAATCGTATATGTACAAGCAAATTCTACAGTATATCCTTTAGCATTGCTTAATTTGTTATCATCTATAAAAAAAAATTACATAAATATTATATCTTATCGTATAACATGTTTGATAATTAATATCTTTTTATTCCTTATTATAACATAATAAGCAATCAAAAGATATTAATTATCAAATGTATATACTCTTCACTTATTATATAAATCTAATATTTTTTCATAAAGAAAAAACTTCAGAATAAAATTGTTTCAAGCATTTAAAGTTTCTTAAAATAAAGAGATTCATCGATATAATTCTATTAAATATAATGTCAAATAAAATAATTAATACATTAATATATTTTTTAATGACAGTTTCAACTTTCGACGAAATATTGGTTTCAGAATCAGTTGCGTATAAATTAATGCCGCAAAATGTTTCACACAATAGATTTGAAAGACAATGTTTTTTTATATAAAATAGCGATTTTAAAATACATCTTACTTTCTCACGATATTACAGGTAAAAGCACCTTAAAAAATTGATGTTCAAGTAGTTGATAGTATAAATAATTAAAAAAACTTATTACGCGAAAGTAATAATTCCATGGTAATATCACGCGTTCGATTTCTGTCTGTGACCCAATAGTTATCTCAGCTGCAGCACAGCTGAACGCGTCATGGTATATTATGTACCCATTGCATATTCAAACGAGCAGCTTCTGTGAAGCAGGTGCTCGTTTCTTTGCAACGCGACAGCAGGCATTCAGGATTCGCCGAAAAAATTTGACCCATGTATATAAGAGATAATGACAAACACGCAAGCTGAGAAAAATAACGTTCAAAAATAACGTAATAAAATAGAATTAATATAAGCAATTTCGTCATATTAATTAAGCTAGGTAATTAAAATAACCAGTTTTATAGTAAACGGCCTTTCTCGCCTTAAAGTCTTTCTCAGTTATACGTTGTTTCTAACTCGCTATAGAAGTATTGAAAAAAGAAGCCATACTGACTTTTCTTCAACGCGAGGAAGATCTTTTCACAGCTTTTCACATATAAAAATTTAGTTCAATACGCGGATTTATTATTCTCGGCGACGTGCTCCTCGACGTGAATAGCAAGGATTTCTCATGTAGTTTTCAAGGTAACTGAACTGTCCAATAGAAAATATCCTAACAATGCTGTTAAAGATGCTTTCATAATAAATATTTTAATAAATTTAAAACGGAGAATCCTCTTTTTATTCAATCTCAAAATTGTATATAGAAATTTTGCGTTAACGTTTAACAACTATATATTTAAACTAGTAAACAAATGTGTTTTTAAAGATAACAAGTGTATTTTAAAATATGTATACATATTTTATATATCAGATATTAAATAGAAAACAAAGTTACCTATTATGATTTCATAATAGTTTATAATATTTTATACATATTTTATATAGCAGATATTAAGTAGAAAATAAAGTTAACTATTATATTATATTTCATAATAGTTTATAAAACACAAATAGGTCAGTATTATAAACTTTGATATATGATATCTTGTTACGAAATATATCAGATATTCGAAAACAGAAATCTAAAGAATGCGCACATAAATTACAATCCTTTTACACTTAATATTTCATATGATAAAATAATTCCGAAATAGATAATTATATAGAAAAAGATGGCATTTTATGAAATAATTTAAAGCAATTATTAAAAGCTCTTAATAATCGTTAGAACATGATGAATGTATGACTATTGACACAGATTGAATATTAAAGAAACGAAGAATATAAAGAAAAATATAAATTAATTAAATTTATTGAAAATATCATCTCAATAAACGCATTTAATGTTGCCATTTCTTAAATATTATTTATATTTATTATATTTTATTTATTCCGTAGTTGAAAAGATATTATTATGTAACTTTTTTAAAATTTTATTGTTGTATATATGTAGGAAAATATTATGTATGTAATACAGAATGTAAAGAATTATACGTCGCAATTTTTTCGAATAAGTTTCCGTATTTTGTCCAATGAATATATTTTAAAAAAACGTGCTAAAATTAATCTTGAAATTCAAAACATAAGATGTTTCTCTTCAAAAGACAATATATTTTTTAAATTACTAATTCTTTTAATATCTGTCGAATCAAAATTTTTGAATGAAAATTTCTATATAGACAATAGTTCCATATTTCAATCATATATGTGAGTAGTAATGCAGAAAGGTGATTTTTTTTGTAACATATAATATTTACATTCACTTATATTTTTTGATAACAATATAATACTGCAAGGCTCCTTGGTCCTCGTCGACCATGTCGGATTTGTGACGTCAGAAGCGAGAAAATATACGCTGAAAAATTTTTGTGCCATTTTTATAGATAAAAAGATATTTCAATGGAACAACACTAGACAATTTTTTGGAAAAGTAATATATATATATATATATTACTGACTGGTATAATCTTTCTGAATAATTGTGGTAAAAATTATATTTTAAAATGTAATATCACAAACATGCAGAATTATATTACAAAAAGGTGTGGTAAACATAATCTCTGCAATGTGAATTTCATATTTCTATTTGTAACAATACAAACGCGTGAACTATTAAGTTCACATTTTGTGCATTTACACTCTGTTGTGTAAATTTAATATTTGTTTAATAATACAATTGTAAAAAATATTTTTACATTACCGTTTTATAATTTTACATATATATTGTGAATTTACTTCTGCAATCAGCTCAATTACAAATGAAGAAATTAATTTTACTTCTACATTGCAAATTTACAAACGCGTGGAAATTTACAACTATTATAGTGGGTCCTATTATTACCCACTATAATAGTTGTAATTTTACACAAAATTTTTTTACAGTGCATATATTGTATAAAGACGTCAGAATATCCATATCCAAGCTGTGCTTATAAATATTAACATTTTTAATTTCGAAATCCCACCATTAATCGATATACTATAGATACGTCATAAATGTGCAGGAGTTAAATTCATTAATTATGTATCCTGATGTTCTCTCGAAGTCGCGACTCATTAGAAAATATATAGTGGCACAAACAAGAACGGCGATTCAGGATTCTTACCACGGCAGTGATTGCAACAACATTTCGTTTGTAGGTCAAAATGCTGTTCCAGTATAATGTAAGTTCAATTTTTTATTTTATTTAAAAAAAATCAAAACTCATGCGTAAGTACAAGTTACCAAACGTATTTCTTGCGAGTTTCTACTGATAAAAGATATAAATAGGTGAAAATATATGTGTAACTACACACACACGCACACACACACATACACGCACACACACATATATATACAGGGTTTACCAAAAGTGTGGCAACCCCTAAATATCTCGGAAAATATACGTAGCAAAAGCAAAGACCCAACTGACTGGATCCACGACCGATCTTGTCCTAGTTGGCTGGATCCACGACCGATCTTGCCTTATAGTTGACTGGATCACACACACAACAGATGCAAATCCGAGCGAGTAACCTCCATGTGGTATACCTTGAATAACGTTAAACCCTCATAACTCGCAAAGTACGTAATAAAAATGAACATTATTATAGTGCTTTGGAAAGCTCTTGAATTAAGCTATAAGAATATGCAATCAAATGTAGGGGGTGCCATTTAAAAAAATCAACGTGACCTTGACCTGACCTTGACGACGCCATCCAAGGTCAATCTGATAGAATCAGTATGTGGATCTTTTTAAACCCTACAACTTTTGTTGGAAACACTTTTCTGTAAAACGTATATTTTCCGAGATATTTAGGGGTTGCCACACTTTTGGTAAACCCTGTATATATATATATACAATAAATATATATATACAGGGTGTCCGGTAACTAACGGACCAACGATTACAAATGGATTCTCTGGTCAATTTGGGAACGATTTTTCCTCAGCGAAAATATCGAAAAAGGTCATCATTTTTTACAACTTTCCAATATTTGTCATTATGTATCTTTATAACTAAGCCTCAAATGAAAATTTTATTATAGTAAACTCTACCTGAAATTAACTGAAGAATGTAATTATGTTAGACTTTTAACTCCAAAACGTTTAATTTTCAAAAAACCCATTTTTTCAATCGCTCATAACTCGAAAATTATTGACTTGTCAACATTTTTGCTAAGGAAAAATCGTCTCCAAATTGGCCAGAGAATCCGCCCTTAATCATTGGTCCGTTAGTTACCGGACACCCTGTATATATATATATATATATATATTATTATGCAGAATTTGCATATTTTATCAAAATACTGATTTTTTTTCATTTACATGAGGAGCAGTTATTCTATTAATTATGATATTAATAGTAGTACACGTTTTTTCGATTTTGGAAACTATATAACCAAATATAAAAATTCAGGTAGGAATCCTTTCTTTGGATTATCTTTAGCAGAGCAATTGGCAGAGTATCTACTCCAATCTTGTAAAACAATTCCCTGAGAATGCCCTGATTTTTCAAGTTTTTCGTTTAAAATTCCAAGTAAAATAAGAAAATTTATATAAATAAAAATAGATCTTGATATTAAAAAAAAATATTAAAAGAAATTCGCTTAATAAAAATTTTAATATTGCAAAAATATATTAGACATACACAGTTTGTCATAAAAGTAAGTGTACTAATAAAACATGAAATACAAGAAGATAATTTATTATTCTTGATTTTTTTTTTAATATATTTCTTCTAAATCTATATAATGTTGAAAGGGGTAATAAAATTTTTCAAAACACTTCTGAAACTTGTTCCCGTAATCGCATTTACAATATCGGTCGAAACTTTTTGTATGTTTGGTATCGTGGTGATAACGTTCTTTTTCGTGACTATATTTAGTTTAAGAATAACCAAAAGTTAAATATGACAAATATGAAGGATTATTATATTATTAGTTATTATATACGAACATTACAATGCCTTTCTTAGTCAGAAAATCGCACAATTCTTTATTTGTACGCCGGAACATTATCGGAGCAGCAGCGACCAACATCTTGCTCTCATTGTCAGTATTTTAGCCGAACTCTACGAATCTTGCCCCCACAAACAGTTGGAAATCCGATTTTGTAGTCAGCGTTTATTGCGTCATGATTTTTTCCCGACGCGTATACATAAGATACCATTAGACTTATTTCTAATTAGACTTATCTTATTTCTATTTGCTTGATATAAAATAATTAATATAGCTAGATAAAGGTCCAAAACTTCAAAATGTATATATATGCACTCATAAGTGACGCTTATTATAAAAAAGAAAAAATCTCGTACACTTACTTTTATGACAGACTGTATGTTTCTTAAAATTGAAAATTATTTACTAATACTCTTAATATGCTATGAATAACAATAAAAAAGTTAAATAAACAAAAATTTTCTTAAAATTTTATTTAAACTTGAATAGAAGAAATTTATGTTCGCTAGAACTACTGATTTTCTCTTTCTTTATAAATATCGCATGATAAACAACAATACGAATGTATCAATATTCGAATTTGACGAGAAGTATCCGTTTCAATTCTTGATTTAATAATAAATAAATAATTTAACATATAAATGTGGCAACATTATATTCTGCAGTTTCGTATCAAAGTTAATAATATCACTTTATATGAAAAATTTCATTGATTATTGAATATTATTGCATATCACGTACATTTTTTATTAAACTGGACAACACAGGCGCGCGCTTCTAATTTCTAATATAATTTTCAATTGAATTAATGTTTATAAATAATTTCTAAAACCTTTACAAAAAAAATAAAACTAAACATATTGATTTTTAGGTGTCTGCACTTATTGCAAACAAAATAGACAAGTGAAAAGTAATAATTTTAAAAACTAATAAGTATTAATTTTTATTAACATAAAACATTTATAACACATTTAATAATCTCATATTATAAACATTTTTTTATATATGAAATTATTAAATAAGTTATGTTGTTAAAAGTTATTTATAAATATTAATTAATTGTGAATATTATAAATAAATTAATACAAATTGTCCGCTCGTATATTGAAAACAAAGTGATAAATCTAAGGCCAACTTATCGAGCTGAATATTCGAGATGTTCAGTCAACTACCATTTATTACATGTATAAATTATAAAACTACAGTCATTAGATATTAAAACTAACGCAAATTACAATCATTCTACAAACGTTTCGACCGCACGCGGTCTTCTTCAGTATAATTATTGAAATATAAATTCATACAACTTCACATAATATCGAAATTTAATTATAGTTATTCAGAATCGAGAGTTTTTGAGTAATTAACGCGTGTTCTAATCCGTCATGTCCAACAATGTTCGCCTCGATATGATCTCTGATTTTGCTCAGATCTCGGATAGTTTCATCGTTAATATGCGAGAAATTAACCTGTTCCGTAGGCGCTGCGATTAATAAAAAATTAACGATTAACGTATGTCGAAATTATAATATATATCCCCTACAATTGGTAATATGCTTACCTATCATCGTCCTTCTTGACAATTTTGCTACTTATTAACAGTTATTAAGGATGACACATAACAAACCAACAATACAGAAAGACAGTTCATTTTAAACTCTACTTGATCGGAGAGCGTGCGTGTTTATATATGATCTAATATCTATGTTTGACTCGTTAATGTCCTATTTGTCCTATTATTATTTATTGTTCGTTAATATATCCAAAATATCAAAATACGACTCGCTAAGTAACTCAGTATCTTTGTTTAAATTTAGTCCATTTTTTTGTTCCTTGATATGTAGCATCTCAGAAATGAGTCTTTTAATAATTATTTTCGTTGTCCATGATCTTAACATTGTCCCAATTAAAAGTATGATGTTCATTTCTTATGTGTTCAGAAATTACTGAATGTCATGAATGACATTTACCAATTGTAGGGGATATATATTATAATTTCGACATACGTTAATCGTTAATTTTTATTAATCGCAGCGCCTACGGAACGGGTTAATTTCTCGCATATTAACGATGAAACTATCCGAGATCTGAGCAAAATCAGAGATCATATCGAGGCGAACATTGTTGGACATGACGGATTAGAACACGCGTTAATTGCTCAAAAATTCTCGATTCTGAATAACTATAATTAAATTTCGATATTATGTGAAGTTGTATGAATTTATATTTCAATAATTATACTGAAGAAGACCGCGTGCGGTCGAAACGTTTGTAGAATGATTGTAATTTGCGTTAGTTTTAATATCTAATGACTGTAGTTTTATAATTTATACATGTAATAAATGGTAGTTAACTGAACATCTCGAATATTCAGCTCGATAAGTTGGCCTTAGATTTATCACTTTGTTGTGAATATTATATTAGAAATTATAGGCGTACGCTTGTGTTGACTATAGCTGTCATCGCGAAGGTTATCAATTTGACAGTTGTTCAAAACAGAATTAAATAAAATTAAAAATAAAATTACATGGAATCATTACGTAAAATCGATAAATTGTACATGCGAAGTGCACGCTTGTGTTGTCTAGTACAAAATTGCCAGATGTATTTTATCGTACTTTTTTACTGAAATCTGCTTTTAAATTTGATAATTAAATCAAGATGAAATTATCTAACAGTAATATTTGGTACGTGCAAAAATATTTTATCCGTTTTCTCTCTTATATTTTTATTTAAATATTTCATATGTCAATCTCTATGTTTCGTATAATTTAATCAGTATAATTATGCATCGAAGAGATAGAGTATAGTTGCCTTTAGTTGCCATCATTCGATTTAATATAATAATTTAAATTTTTATTAATTGTAATTTTGTTTTTAGTAATTTATTTTTGAACAATTGTAACAAATTATTAATTGATGACAGCTATTCAATGCTATAAATATAACGCACAACGCGAATCAAGACAGTTAATCTGCATCGTGGAATAACAAGGTCAATATTAATGATATCTTTAGAAAGACAAATAAAAAACTCATCAATTATTGATTAAAAACTGCATATCACGCAATACGTGCGTGCTTTTATATATCTAAGAGTGCCACAGCAAAGTGTGGCAGGGGAAACTAATATATGATATAAAAGAGGGGAAACAGCGAATATATATATATTCATTTCTCAATTTACAATGTAGTAATCTTATTGAGACGAAACTTGTATTATTTAATGAAGCTCTCATAGCACATGTGATTCGTTTACATCACGAAAAATTCTTTCTATAAAATATGACAACCAAAACTGTGACAGTTAAAAACACTAATAAAAATTCCAATATTAACGCGCAACATTCAAGTGAATATATAGCAGCGTTGAAAAATATATTAGATGAAAAATTATTTCCGACCAATTTCGATATGTGGCCTATACAAGAACAATCTACTTGGATAAGTAAAAATATCGCCAAACTCTTTCCGAATACGCCAAAGTCATTGCTAGACTTTATTCCAGCTTTGTATCGTCAATGTGATTACGGTCGATCGCAAGAAAAAAAACCCGAATGGTTAGATATGGATAAATATCGCCGAGGACAAAAATTTGTGCGTGATCATTATTTCTCGCTTATAATCTCTAAAATATTAGGCATTATGCATATTTATTCTTTCGACGATGCTCTTAAATCGATTATTATAAGTGGGCGCTCTCATACGCCATACTTGGGATTTAAAAGGTATCTGTTTTTTAATATTATTATATTAGTTTGAGTGAGAGATTGATGAAGGCATAATTATGAAACTACGAACAAAAACTATAAAAAGCTGGATCGTCCATGAAACTGCATTTTTTAAAATTATTCTTACTACCAACATTCTTATATTAAAACTTATAATTTTAATTAACTTGCATAAAAAATATACTATTATAAAATATTATAACGTTTGTAGATATTTCTGTATAAGCACTCTGATTAATATAGGCATTCTTATTTAAATTGGTTTAATAACTTGCAAGGTATTTGTCGACTATAAAACGGTTTCTTAATTTTTACAACGGAGAGCCTTGGGTTAAAGGAACGACCGCCTACAACGACATGCAATTTGCACGTAAAATGCATTTGATAACGAGACAAAAATTGTGCAAGCTCGATAATGAGCAAATCAACAATGCTTGCGAAATCGCAAAATCGTGGTCCCCGGATCACGAAACGCTTGCAAAAGATTTTGCCGCGACGTGTCCATTTGAGAAATCGGGACAACGTCCTTTTCTCTTATTAGACAAATCGCCCCATAGATACATAGGTTTAAATAGCGCAGATATAGCAGGCGCTCAGTGCGGCTTTGTAGCTTTATTTTTACTCTGTCCGCAAAATATCGGAGTGCACGACGCGACTGATGAAGATTTAGAGGCTTTCTGCCATATGTGGAGATGCTACGGATATTGTCTCGGAATGGAAGACGAGTATGCAGTACCTATATTCGTAAAATTTTTCTAATAGTTTTATAGATGTCTTATATATGTATAATATGGCTCTATATTATAAAATTTGTCAGGTACAATTTTTGCCGTGGTAGTCTGGAAGAAATAAAACAGCGTACGCGAGATCTATATCAATATTGGATACTACCCAATTTTAAAGATGTTACACCGGATTGGGAACATATGACGAGATGTCTTGTCGAACCAATGAATTTTTATCCTTTCTTATATATGCCGTATAAAGCAATGACATTAATTTCTACAGATATATTAAATCTAAATATGCCGAATTTATATACATCGCTCAATTACACAGAGTGGATTGCTTACAAAGTCTGGACGTGAGTAGTGTTTATAGCAACACATTTAATCTACCGATATTGTACTTTTTTGAACATCTGATAACAATTTTTATCAGATTATTAATAAATCGCGAAATGTACGGCATAAGTACATTTTAATGTATTTTTATCATTTCAATATAATTTCAGATTTATATTACAATATGCTCTGCAATTCTCCACTATACGAGCAATTTTTAATAGAATAACATGCAAAGCAGTTAATATAGCAATGAATTATAGTCCAGAGAAGCAAATAGAACTTCAAGAAAAATCAAGAAAGCTATTTTCCTGAATTGTTCTGATATATATTAATATAGTTTAAATGTTTAAATATTCAAAGTAAGTAAATAAATATATAAATTATACAAACGTCTCTGTTTTAATTTTTATATATATATATATGTTTCGGATAACAATTTAAAGTTTTTTTCTTTAAAAAAATAATTTATTTTCCGATTTAAAGACATTAAATACTTATGTATATGCAAAATATTATAATAATTATTATTCTGTTTTGAAAAAAAAGGTTTCAAAAATCTATAGCACGCAAAGAATTATGGAAAACTTCAATTTTTCTTGATTTTATAAAAATCCTGGAGTTCATAATAATTCATAATATAATCATATAAATTATAAATAATCCTACCTGATATTGCTGGATTCATTTCCATAAACTGCGCAGATATGAATCTAAAACAAAAAAGAAAAAATTTTAGGAGATAAGAAATGTCATATCAAAACGTATGTATTATATATCAAAGTTATTGCAATACATCAGAATTTCAAAATCGTAATTTATGATATATATTTTCATAAAATGGATACATATAGTATAATAAATATTATGGATTATCTTATAAAAATTGTATATATGCATTTCTATGTAAATAAAATTCATTAAACTACACACAACTCGATTGAATTTACAACAAAACTGCACGATAACATTAAGTTATAAATATTATATTTTAATATTTATGCAAGAGGGGACATGTGACCCCTTTTGGAATCAGTAAAAAAATTAAGCATTTGCTCTGCTTTTGAATAAACACTGGAATTTATTTGCATATATAATATAAAAAAATAAAAATAACAAAAAATAAATTTTAAAAATTAAGAAAGAATAAAAAATAAGACATATATAAAATTTTAATCGTTCCTAGAAAAAATCCTGTGAGATGAGAACGCCTACATATAATTAATGTATAGTAAATACAAGAAATATCAGAATATAAAAACGACAACATTAAACTTGTTTATATCGATAAAAAAGATTATATCAGAAAACATTATAAAAAATAAGTAAAGTAAGATGAACAAAAAATATCAAACCAAGCATAAAATTGCCAATCATGTTCTTAACCGGCGTTCCACGGAACATTAATATTCCGCAAACTTGTTACAAGTGTTCCGCAAAATTATGAAAGCGCGGCGTATTTATCTAGAAAAACTGCTATAATTTTTTTAATTTTATACAAGAAATATCAGAATATAAAAACGACAACATTAAACTTGTTTATATCGATAAAAAAATTATATGAGGAAACATTATAAAAAATAAATAAAGTAAGATGAACAAAAAATATCAAACCAAGCATAAAATTGCCAATCATGTTCTTAACCGGCGTTCCACGGAACATTAATGTTCCGCAAACTTGTTACAAGTGTTCCGCAAAATTATGAAAGCGCGGCGTACTTATCTAGAAAAACTACTATAATTTTTTTAATTTTATGAGTATTATTTTTTAAATTTCAATTTGTTTACTGTTATATAATCTGTACTTTATAATTTTTAATAGAAAGTATGTTTATGTATATTATTGTTATTAGTTTTATAACTTTAAAGATTTTGGTGTTCCGCAAATTTTTCTTATAATCAAAAGTGTTCCGTAACTTCAAGATAAACTACTAGTTAAAGGTTAAAGACAATATCTATATGATCTTTCTCCTTGACATTCATCGCACATCCTTTCTTTACTTTTTTTATTTTATTTATAATTTAACATTTGCAAAAACTAGTAAATTTTATAATAAAATTCTAAGATTTATTTATGATCGATTTCAGAATCCGGGGTAGTGGGTGTAATTAGACTTATCAATTTGATTTCAATATCAGAAATCAAACTGAAGTTCAAACATCAAAGTGATTGTTAAAAAAATTGAGTAGATAAATATTGAAATAAATAGAAAAATATCAAATATAAATTCACATAATTAAAGGGTACAGGTAATGCATATGACATATAATTATATCTCCTTATATATAATTATAACTAATATATATAAACATATTTGATATACAGTCATGTATTGTATAATTACATGTAATCATTTGTATGTAATTGTATACACAAAATTTTTTACCGGGAATTTTTTTATCATTTGATGTCAATCCCTATATGTAAATAAGTTTAATAATTGATTTATTATCATCTTATAACATCAAAATGTTTTTCTAGAATCGTTTTTTATTTGTAAGATGTCGTAGAGATGGACTAAAAAGAATTTATATTATAGCAAGTTAATCATTTACAATCTTATTGTAATTTAATTCTTATTGAAGAAAATTGTAAAAAATGAAGAAGATTATATATAACACTGACAACAAAGATAGTAAATCAGCTTGATAATGTATGGAAGTAAACTACTATTTCTTTTCATTCCAAAGTCTCTAAATCTTAGTTTTTCATAAAACTGAGTCTATGTATATAAATCGACGTAGTTATTATATTTATTTATATTTATATTTATTGTAGTCAAAAAGTTCTTTCGCGTAAAATATGATAGCTCTCTTCAAAAATTCGACTAAATAGGAATATGTAATTGTTATGTTACATAAAAACATATATATATATATATATGTATTTAGAATACACTAATAATAAATAAAAATAAAAATAATTTTTTGAATGAATTGGCTAATGAAAAAACAACGCGATTGGATAAATCGAAACATAGCAAAGTATTGAATAAAACATAATTTTATTCAATATACACAAATTGTAAGATATTCTTTAATCTATTCTTTAATCGTTTTCATTATTTTTTATTTCACAACACGTGTGGGTATTTCTCAATATAAAAATTGTTTTTCAGAGATAACAATATGTAGAATAATTAATAGAGCCATAAATTCTAAAAACCTTCACGAGGAATTCAAGAATAATTTAACGAATTCCTTTTATTGCGTTATTATATTCTATCTATTAACAGTGAGTAAAAAAACACTTATTGTCTGTTGAGAATATGTATGTATGTATATGAGCAGAATATATTACGAATACATAAATATTCGTTTTATTCAATATACACAAATTGTGAGATATTCTTTAATCTATTCTTTAATCGTTTTCATTATTCTTTATTTCACAACACGTGTGGATATTTCTCAATACAAAAATTGTTTTTCAGAGAACAATATGTAGAATATTTAATAGAGCCATAAATTCTAAAAATCTTTACGAGAAATTCACAAGAATAATTTAACAAATTCCTTTTATTGCTATTATATTCTATCTATTAACAGTGAGCAAAAAACTACTTTTTATAAGAACAAACATATACAATGATGCAAAAACGTATAAAAATTATTTCATTATTTGCTTAAGAGATTTCCACGAAGCTATTTTCTTTTTTATTCTCATCTCTTATTATCGTTCTGAGGTCTTTGAAATATGTATGTATATATGTATGTATATGTATATATATATATATATATATATATATATATATATGTACATAAGAATTAATATACAGGGTGTCTCACATAAAATGTTACAAGCTGTTTTTTTCGTCATTACTAGAAATATTAACTTAAATTTTTTTTTTTTTTTTTTTTTTTAATTTAAATAGGACAAGATGTCTAAAAATTTGATGGAGAAAAAAAATATTTAGAGGCCCCACTTATTTTTTCTTAGATGGAGTCACTTCATTCTTTTTGCATAAGTCGATTCCTCGCAATATTCTGCAAAAATGTTATAAAGGTAAGATGATCAAAAAATTAATAGTACTTACTTACGAGTATTTACGAGATATTTTGTGCTTTAATATGATATAGTTTTACGTAAACTATAAAATATTTCTTAAAACATTTTCGATGATTTTCTTAATACTTTTATGCACAAAATAATAAGAGAAATCAATTGATGTAAAAAAAAACAGTTGTTTTAAAAAAATGTAATTTGCAGCTATCAGCTACATATTTTTTCTTAAAAATAATTGTGATTTCTTTTTACATTAATTAATTCCTTTCATTATTTTGTACATTTAAATTGAGGTAAAGGCCCTCAACATTTTTTCTCCATCAAATCTTTAGACACCTTGTCCCATTTAATTAAAAAAATTTACAATTAATATCTCTGGCAGTGGCGTAGAAAACAGCTTGTAACACTTTATGTAAGACAACTTATATAAGTGATTATATATATCATCCTGCCGCTTATCATCGCTCCATTCAGTTCTCTAACGTAGATTAAATCCACTTGAACTTTATATCACTTCAGGGGCAATAAAAATACTGCTCCTACTTCTTGGCAGTCGTTGCTGCCAGTCATTTTCAGTAGCATATGCAATACTGAAAAGTTACGTACCGTTACGTATTAAAATATTATTTTATTATATATATGACGAGCATTAGTGATACAACATTGGAAAATTCAGCTACTCTTAATTCTGGCGATAAAACAACGACAATGCAAGCAAACAGAAAAGGAAATTCGGAAGAATATAAATTAATGTTATTTTTAAAGAATACGTTCGATAAAGGATTGTTTCATAAAGATTTCGATACATGGAAAACAGAAGAACAATACAGCTGGATAAAGGAGAATCTTTCAAAATTCTATCCAAATGTACCGGAGACTTTGCTGCAATATATACCAGCTTATTTTCGTCAACCCGATTTTGATCGGTCATCGGTGGACATGCCTGATTGGTTGGACATAAATAAGTATCGCAGAGGACAAAAATTTGTAAGCGAAAATTCTATCGCAATTATAATTAGCAATCTATTAGGGCTCATTCATGTGTATACATTCGAAGAAGCTCTAAAACCGATTATTATAGGAGGACATGGTCACACGATAGAATTAGGATTAAAAAGGTATTTTTTTAAACCTAACGTCTATATAATTTTTAAAATATTATTTAAAATATAATATATTATATTTACGTATTACAATATAAGATCTTAACATGTTTTATCTCGGACCATTTTGAATGATTTGCAAGATCTGAATATCAACACAGATATGTTTCAAGTATATAATATATGTAATCATTCACGTACAAAGTCCAAAAATATTTTTAAAAAATATATAAAATGTAATTTTTATAAATTGTATAATGTTTTTGATAATTATGCAACAGATTAAATTGTAAATCTTAACACTTATTATCTTACAGCAAGTTTATAATAAAAATTATACAGGGTGTTTCATAGGAAATTGCTGAAACTAATCAGCTGTCATTTTTTAATGCATGCAGTTATTGAGAAAATAAAAATTGTGTTGGACAGAGGAAAGTCTGCAATTTTTAATGGATATAAATAAAATGTTTGTATATCAGTTTATTTTATTGAAAAAAAGTAATAAAAAAAGTGCTAATAATCACATATGTAAACTAATGATAAATATTTTCGAAGTATGCACCATTTGAATTTGTACAAAATTCTGTTCTTTTACAAAAACTCGTAAAACTTTTTCTAACATGTCATTTTTAATGTTTTTGATGATTCTTTTAATAGCTGCTATTAAATCTGGCACTGTTGAAAATATTTATCATTAGTTTATGTAATTTTATATAATTATTAGCACTTTATTCATTATTTTTATCAATAAAAAAATTATATTATACAATTATTTTATTTATATCCATTAAAAACTACAGACTTTCCTCTGTCCAACACAATTTTTGTTTTCTCAATAACTGCATGCATTAAAAAATGACAGCTGATTAGTTTCAGCAATTTCCTATGGGACACCCTGTATATTATTAGCATTAATTATATGTTTATATTTGACATAATATTTTCTCTATGTATGCGTATGTGTCAAAAATACTGTAATATCTCTTTTATAATATATTACACATATGTATAATAAAATTAAATATATAATTATTAAAATTCTCTATACCAGTATACATATATAATTTACGACATGACTTGTACATATTATAAAAAAAATAAATAGCAATTAACTTATATTTTTTGTAAATGCTTCACGTAATCTCAAGATATGAATCGACTGGAAAGCGAATAATGAGCTGGTATCGCGGAGAACCGTGGGTTAAAGGGACGGAAGCCTACAAAAATATGCAGACTACGCATAAGCTACATTTAATGATGAGGAAAAAGTTGTGTCAGATGGATAATGAGCAAATCGATGCTGCAGCTAAAATCGCGGAACTATACCGCTCAGATCGTGAAATATTGCTCGAAGATTTTGCTACGGCATGTCCACTTGAAAAAATCGGACAACGGCCTTATATTGCGATAAGCGAATCGCCACATAAACCAAAGGGTATAAATAATATGGATCTAGCAGCTGTACAAGCGGGTTTCATAGGTTTGTTTTTGGTACGGCCTCAAGATATTGGAGTACACAATGCGACCGATCAAGATATAGAGGCCTTTTGTCACATGTGGAGATGCTACGGACATTATCTTGGATTGGAAGACGAGTATGTAGTAACATATCAAAAATGCACATATATGATGTATGTTCTATTAACGACGACGCGGAATGAACTCTATATATGTACATATATCTTTCTAAATAAAATTAAAAATTTAATTTTTTAAAACAATTTAAGAAATATAAATGTTGCATAATTGCTCAGGTACAACTTTTGCCGTGGAAGTTTCGAAGAAATAAAACAACGCGCACAAGATTTTTATAAATATTGGATAACGTCTAATTTCAAGAATGTTTCGCCCGAATGGGAGCATATGACAAGATGTGTTATTGAACCAATACATTTGCATACTTTTCTGTATATGCCTTATAAAACAATGTTATTAATTGCTTTAGACTTATTAGATCTAAACATGCCGCGTTTATATACATCTCTCAGTTATTCGGAATGGATCGCTTATAAAATTTATAAGTAAGTAAAATGTTTTTATTAGCAAAGAGAAAAAGTGAAATTTTTATTACAATAATAATTTACAAATATCTATTATATTCGACTTTTGTATATTATAAATTATGTTTTATACTTAATTACAGATTTATACTTCAATACGCTTTGAAATTATCCATCGTAAGAGACTTTTTTAACAATTTAATGAAGCGTGCAGAAAGTAAACAAAAACAATTATAGCTCGAAAAAAGAAGACAAATTTCAAGAAAAATAAAAAAACCTGTTAAGATTTAAACGAATTCACTATCTCCTGTATCTTAATATATATTAATATAACATTTTATATGTAAATTATAGAAAAAAAGTTTCGCCTTTCGCTTGTTATATATGTTTGTTAAAACTTTTTGTATTTTGTATTTGCTTCATATATGTATATACAATATATTATTTTTTAAGAAAATAATAAAATATGTAATAAGAATAAAAAAAGAATATAATTAAAAAATTAAATCTTGTGAGGAACATAATATGACAACCTGTGCCAAATATTCTTTCATTTATATTTGATGTGAGTAATAATGCATGATAATTCGTCACTTGTGCAATTTATATACGCAACAATGTGTTTTAAAATCAATAATCATTAACGACGAGTAGCAGCTCGAAATTTTTCAAATAATTCAAATCATTCAAGAGAACTTCAAGCTCAAAGTTTAAATTATATCTGTAAAAAAGAAATAGGAATTCTCTCTCTATCGGATTATTTAAATTTAAGAATATATATGAATAATTCAATCCTCAACTTACAATTATATAGATTAAATAATAAATTAAAGTTTAACGATGTATTTGAAGAAATCAAATAAAAGTTGATAATTTTTTTCATTTACAATAAATATAACCCTGTTTGCAAAATACATAAGCCCTTTCTTTAACATATAATCGTGTTTAAAATTAAGAAATATCAAAGATTCGACTATTATTTTCTTCTCAGAGATCAGGTCTAGCATAGGCCTGTGCTTAAACAAATCGAATCTTTAAATTTTTTTAGATAGACAGCGATAAGTCAATATACAATTTTAAACAAAATTTTAATACGAATTTTAATTATAAATTTTAAACACAATTTTAATAAGAAACAGAATAAATTAAAATCAAATAATAAAATGTTACCTAAATATATATATATATATTATAAAGTCTAAATTAAGCAGACATTAGATGCTGAATTCGAAATAATGCATCATGGTGATGTATGCAAAATAATTTTGAATGAATATTACATTATAAAAGGTACAAAATCCCCACCAAATACAGTACAATGTGAGATTATTTTATCAAACGATTAAAATAAACATTAGTTAATTCCACGCACGCAAAAAAATTGAAATCTTTCAAAGATATCTAATACTCCAAATTGTTAAATATTAATACATGGTCAGTATCAAATTCGGTAAAATATCCACAATAAAGTAGACTATGGAAAAAAATGATATAATTTTCGAGATCTACCTTTCTCGATTGAGTTCAACCGTACATATATATGATCGATTTTTGGCTTTTAAATGAAGGCTCACAAAACCCTAAATAGCAAAAAAATTATTTCAATATTTTTAAATCAAGTACTTTCAAAGAACATCAGATTGACTTTCCTAAAAAAAAAAAAAGGCCTCTTTTTCCTGTTTTACTTAAATCTCGTGTCTTATCTTTCAAAAACTACAATGTACTCATACATCTCTTATTTGTTCATAATGTGTGTTTGTTTCATATCATGTATTTATAAAATATTTTATAAATGATAGGAAATAAATACACATTATAAACAAGTAAGAGATGCATATATATATGTATAGTGTATTGTAAAATACGAAGCAGTTTGCCTGCGAATAAACATTGATATATATACACAGAAAAAAAAGAATCCTTGATTCAAGTATATTTTTATTCTTGAACGCTATTTGATTGATTTAAGCATAGAATGCTCTTTGTAATCACAAATTTTCATTTGCCTTAATAATAAATAAATTTGTGTAAAGTAAATTTTATCCTTAAGATATATTCTTGTTTTAAAAATCGTATATGGTAAAAACAAACTTAGTCACATTTGAACTAAGAATTATTATATTTATTTGAAAGTACCGCTTATATCCGATGCACACTTGTCACTTGTCCTTGCAATATTTATAAGTAAATTTCAGCTTCAACCAAGAATATTTTGCACTTTGTTTTAAGGATAAATTATCCTTTATCCAAAATTATTTATATTTGGTGCTATTATAAGGATAAAATATACTTAAATCAAGGCATATTTGCATTCTCTCAAGGATACTGTTTTTTCTGTGTATATATATATATATATATATATATATATATATATCGATGCGCGAAGCGGTATCAAATACGACTTGTAGCCGTTACAGAAAAACTGAAAAATATGACATTTGTACTTTTTTGACAAACGACCTCGAAGGAAGGAGACTTCCTAGCGAAAAGGGGAAAGTCGGCAGAGCCTTTTGAGCCGTCCAAGCGAACAGTGGCCGACGTATCACGATAACTGGAATAAAGAACGAGAACCAGTTTCTGAACATTAACGCGACTGAACTTAGCCGTTTGGGCGAGGTTCTCCAGTACGCGAATATTCACAGATAATAGAGTGAATTGAACCATTTATTCCTTTATTAATTGCTTGTATTAATTGTTCAAATAGATATTGTTTTTGTGGAAAAATAAAACGTTTACTTGTAGTGAGTTATCCGTGGACATCCTTCTCCTTCGGTCGATCGACCTATAAAAAATAACTTAAATTCGCCAAGAGGGTTATACTTACCTGGAAATTCACCTTTATTTATATATACATACAAATATATAATAGCGGCCAACCTTACAGTATGTAATATTCTCCGTACACAAAATAATAACATACAACTTTTAACAAAATTTTAATTATTTCGTATAGTATAGTGAGATTATTTTTGTTTAAAACAGATTGACTTGGCGAAGGTAATTATCATCAATCATCAAGTTATTAAAGGAAAATATATAAAAGATGGAAGTGATTCACATTCAGCAAATAAAACAAGCACAAAAATATCTGAATAACAATAACAAATCAGATAGCGCAAAATTAAAAAATATTACAAATGGAATTGCAGTAAAGTTTACAAATCGGAAGAATGACGATATCGACAACGATTACATGGACAATGAAACTAAACGCTATGAACTTGTAGAAGCGAAGAACGCGGTTAAATACATACAACATTTTGTACAGAAAATAAAATATATCGTTGATAAAAATCCTGCAAAACCAAAGGATTATGATGCGTGGACGAATGAAGAACAATATAAACATATAACGGAAAACATAAAAATTTATGTTCCAAATCTACCAAATTCTTTACATTTCTTCATATCAGCAGCGTTACATCGCGGCGATTGCGGTCGAAGTCCAACAGACAGACCGCCTTGGTTGGACATGGATAAATTTCGGAGAGGACAAAAATTTGCACGAGATTATATTTTCATAATTCTCTTTTCCAATATGATATCGCTGTTTGAATTATTCGTCTTCACGGACGGTCTTAAACCATTGATTTTCAGTCAACAATCTCATACACCGTACTTAGCTTTTAGAAGGTAAGTATATACATAAAATATCACGATGATTTTTCGGTAAGAATTCTACGAGTATCATTGGCAAATCAAATCATTTGCACAAATATTATATGCATATATAATGCAAATAATAAAAAATCTAACGTATATTAATGAGAGAGACGTACTTGTATTTGATATTACAAAGATCACCAATTATAAAGATCATTCTAATGTTTACATTATGGAATTAATATATTATTAGCAATGCAATTTGCTACATTGTATACAAAACAAAGTTTATCTTGCAAATTATTTTACATGAATAAACAGATATGAAGAAACTAAATATAGATCCATTAGATTATACACGCATATCTCAAAGATTTTTTTTTCAATTTTGATAACATAGTAAATCAAACGTTTGATATTCGGCCAATTACAAGAGAGCTTGATTTTTTCTTTGTATTAAAGATACTTATCCACGATTCGTCGTATAAGAAATTGGATGATGGGAGATATTTGGGAAAAGGACACGCAGGCTTACAAGGATATCCAAGCCGTGCGAAAAATGCATCGCGCGATACGATTGAAACTCTGCCAGCTCGATTACGACGAGATCGATGCGGCCACTAAGATCCAGGAACCGTGGTGTCCGGATAGAAAAACTATCCTAGACGACTTTTTTTCCTGCCCGTATCCAACCCCGGAAAACGGCTGTCTTCATCTGATAATTAGACCCAAAGGATTGAATCAAGCTGATATGGGCGCAACGCAATTTGCTTTCATGGGAATGATTGTGCTTTACCCGCAAAAATTGGGCATTAACGCATCCGACGAGGATATAACAGCCTATTGTCATTTTTGGAGATGTATTGGATACGCTCTCGGCATGCAGGACGAGTAAGTATATGAAAATCATTTTCGAAAAAAAATATTTCAGCCAAAAGTTGTAAAGTTAAAAAGGTCTAAACTTTTTCTTTCAAAAATTAAGGAGTTTTAACGCTTTTTGTACGCTTTGTGTGTAACGAGTATAGTGAAAAGTACACTACTTGTATACATTTCAACCTTTTCATTTTATCACATGTCAAAACTGCAACGTCGTAAGATAACGAGATCATTAAAATAAAAAAAATTTTCTCTATTTTCCGTTTTACGTATATATAAAATAAAGCGATATATTTTTATATTATCCAAAACTTAATTTTATTCAACGCGCACATTTGCATTTTTGCACAGAGATAATTTTCATACAATTATCATGAATTTCAGGATAAATTCTAAGATCTTCTCTGAAGAAAAATCTGAAGAAAAATCTTCTCTGTGTGTGGTTTATTTCTCGATTTATTATATTACTTTGAGATGTCATTTTTTGTTCTTCTAACTTCTGTTATATTCCGATATTTGACAAAAAAAACTTATATGCTTCTAGGTATAATTTTTGTCGCGGCAGTCTGGAAGAGATTAGACAACGAGGTCGAGACTTTACTAATGTTTGGGTGAAACCTTATTTGCGACAAATAACGCCCGAATGGGAACACATGATGAGATGCATCATGAGTATATACGATGAGGATAACATGTTCAAGCAATCATTACTGTTTATCACCGACTTATTAGACATCGATATGCCACGTCTACGAAGCACGCTTACATTCTCTCAACGATTGCAATTCATGTTACACCGGTAAATATAAAGTGCATATGAATTGTTTGATATGTATATATAATAAATTTAGGATATATATATATATACAGTATCCTCCATAAGTTTGGAAACACCTTACATTTGACAGTTAAGCAATCGTATGGCAGCGATCTGTGTAGATTTTTTGTATCATTATATCGTAAAATATTTAAATGACATTTTTATTTATGACGGATCGCGAAGAGGACAGTATGCAATAAAAAACAAATGTCCATTTATAAGACTGTTTTTTGTTATCACGATTAATAATATTCAAATAATATATTGATAAAAAATATTCCATTAAGTTTATATTCTTGCATGTTACGAATATCTAATTAAAGAATATTTCTTTAGAGAATTTCTTTTTAAATTAAGAAGATCCTTTTGACAGATCTGTGCAGATTTTTTGTATAAATAAATCATAAAATAAACATAAAATATTTAAATGACATTTTTTATTATAATAGATTGCTGCCATGCAATTCTTTAAATGTAAAATGTAAGGTGTTTCCAAACTTATGGAGGGTACTGTATATATATGAATATGTATATATATATATTAGAAATCCTAAATTTATTTAGTGTATATACAGCTTTTGATTTAAACTTGTACCTCTATAGCAATATTAATCTTATAGTATAATGATTATTTTTTATAATTACAGCTTTATATTTCGTTATGCCTTGAAAGTACGATTTATACGAGAATGTTTCAATAAAATATTTCTTCAGGTTCTCGAGAAATTTACTTCTAAAAAGTTGGGAACTCTTCCCAACAAATACAATATATAAATGTTATATACTTAAGCATGTTACATGTAACGTATATTTTAGTTGTAATTTCTTTAGTTTACATATGTGATTATTAGCACTTTTTTCATTACTTTTTATCAATAAAACAATTATATTATACAAATATTTTAGTTATATCCATTAAAAACTACAGACTTCCCTCTGTCCAACACAATTTTTGTTTTCTCAATAACTGCATGCATTAAAAAATGACAGCTGATTAGTTTCAGCAATTTCCTATGGGACACCCTGTATATTATTAGCATTAATTGTATGTTTATATTTGACATAATATTTTCTCTATGTATGCGTATGTGTCAAAAGTACTGTAATATCTCTTTTATAATATATTACACATATGTATAATAAAATTAAATATATAATTATTAAAATTCTCTATACCAGTATACATATATAATTTACAACATGACTTGTACATATTATAAAAAAAATAAATAGAAATTAACTTATATTTTTTGTAAATACTTCACGTAATCTCAAGATATGAATCGACTGGAAAGCGAATAATGAGCTGGTATCGCGGAGAACCGTGGGTTAAAGGGACGGAAGCCTACAAAAATATGCAGACTACGCATAAGCTACATTTAATGATGAGGAAAAAGTTGTGTCAGATGGATAATGAGCAAATCGATGCTGCAGCTAAAATCGCGGATTTATATCGCTCAGACCGTGAAATATTGCTCGAAGATTTTGATACGGCATGTCCACTTAAAAAAATCGGACAACGGCCTTATATTGCGATAAGCGAATCGCCACATAAACCAAAGAGCATAAATAATATGGATCTAGCAGCTGTACACAAGCGGGTTTCTTATAATAAAAGAATAAATATTCTTTCATTTATATTTGATGTGAGTAATAATGCATGATAATTCGTCAGTTGTGCAATTTATATACGCAACAATGTGTTTTGAAATTAATAATCATTAACGGCGAGTAGCAGCTCGAAATTTTCCAAATAATTCAAATCATTCAAGAGAACTTCAAGCTCAAAGTTTAAATTATATCTGTAAAAAAGAAATAGAAATTCTATCGAATTATTTTAATTTAAGAATATATATGAATAATTCAATCCTCAACTTACAATTAGATTAAATAATAAATTAAAGTTTAACGATGTATTTGAAGAAATCAAATAAAAGTTGATAATTTTTTTCATTTACAATAAATATAACCCTGTTTGCAAAATACATAAGCCCTTTCTTTAACATATAATCGTGTTTAAAATTAAGAAATATCAAAGATTCGACTATTATTTTCTTCTCAGAGATCAGGTCTAGCATAGGCCTGTGCTTAAACAAATCGAATCTTTAAATTTTTTTAGATAGACAGCGATAAGTCAATATACAATTTTAAACAAAATTTTAATACGAATTTTAATTATAAATTTTAAACACAATTTTAATAAGAAACAGAATAAATTAAAATCAAATAATAAAATGTTACCTAAATATATATATATATATTATAAAGTCTAAATTAAGCAGACATTAGATGCTGAATTCGAAATAATGCATCATGGTGATGTATGCAAAATAATTTTGAATGAATATTACATTATAAAAGGTACAAAATCCCCACCAAATACAATACAATGTGAGATTATTTTATTAAACGATTAAAATAAACATCAGTTAATTCCACGCACGCAAAAAAGTTGAAATCTTTCAAAGATATCTAATACTCCAAATTGTTAAATATTAATACATGGTCAGTATCAAATTCGGTAAAATATCCATAATAAAGTAAAACTATGGAAAAAAATGATATAATTTTCGAGATCTACCTTTCTCGATTGAGTTCAACCATACATATATATGATCGATTTTTGGCTTTTAAATGAAGGCTCACAAAACCCTAAATAGCAAAAAAATTATTTCAATATTTTTAAATCAAGTACTTTCAAAGAACATCAGATTGACTTTCCTAAAAAAAAAAAAAAGCCTCTTTTTCCTGTTTTACTTATAAATCTCGTGTCTTATCTTTCAAAAACTACAATGTACTCATACATCTCTTATTTGTTCATAATGTGTGTTTGTTTCCTATCATGTATTTATAAAATATTTTATAAGTTATAGGAAACAAATACACATTATAAACAAATAAGAGATGCATATATATATGTATAGTGTATTGTAAAATACGAAGCAGTTTGCCTGCGAATATATATATATATATATATATATATATATCGATGTTTATTCGCAGGCAAACTGCTTCGTATTTTACAGGAAAACTGAGGAATATGATTATATATATATATATAGTCATATTCCTCAGTTTTCCTGTAACGGCTACAAGTCAATACAATATATATATATATATATATATATATATATATATATATATATATATATCAATGCGCGAAGCGGTATCGAATACAACTTGTAGCCGTTACAGGAAAACTGCGGAATATGACTATTGTACTTGTTTGACAAACAACCTCGAAGGAAGGAGACTTCCTAGCAAAAAGGGGAAAGTCGGCAGAGCCTTTTGAGCCGTCAAAGCGAACGGTGGCAGACGTATCACGATAACTGGAATAAAGAACAGAACTTAGTTTCTGAACGATTAACGCGACTGAACTTAGCTGTTTGGGCGAGGCTCTCCAGTATGCGAATATTCACAGATAATAGAGTGAATTGAACCATTCATTCCTCTATTAATTGCTTGTATTAATTGTCCAAATAGATATAGTTTTTGTGGAAAAATAAAACGTTTACTTGTAGTGAGTTATCCGTGAGCATCCTTCTCCTTCGGTCGATCGGCCTATAAAAAATAACTTAAATTCGCCAAGAGGGTTATACTTATTTGGAAATCTACTTATATTTATATATACATATAAATATACATAATAGCGGCCAACCTTACAGTATATAATATTCTCCGTACACAAAATAATAACATACAACATTTAACAAAATTTTAATTATTTCGTATAGTATAGTGAGATTATTTTTGTTTAAAACAGATTGACTTGGCGAAGGTAATTATCATCAATCATCAAGTTATTAAAAGAAAATATATAAAAGATGGAAGTGATTCACATTCAGCAAATAAAACAAGCACAAAAATATCTGAATAACAATAACAAATCAGATAGCGCAAAATTAAAAAATATTACAAATGGAATTGCAGTAAAGTTTACAAATCGGAAGAATGACGATATCGACAACGATTACATGGACAATGAAACTAAACGCTATGAACTTGCAGAAGCAAAGAACGCCGTTAAATACATGGAACATTGTGTGCAGAAAATAAAATATATCGTTGATAAAAATCCTGCGAAACCAAAGGATTATGATGCGTGGACGAATGAAGAACAATATAAACATATAACGGAAAACATAAAAATTTATGTTCCAAATCTACCAAATTCTTTATATTACTTCGTATCAGCAGCGTTACATCGCGGGGATTGCGGTCGAAGTCCAACAGACAGACCGCCTTGGTTGGACATGGATAAATTCCGGAGAGGACAAAAATTTGCACGAGATTATATTTTCATAATTCTCTTTTCCAATATGATATCGCTGTTTGAATTATTCGCCTTCACGGACGATCTTAAACCATTGATTTTCAGTCAACAATCTCATACACCGTACTTAGCTTTTAGAAGGTAAGTATATACATAAAATATCGCGATAATTTTGCGGTAAGAAGAATTCTACGAGTATCATTGGCGAATCAAATCATTTGCACAAATATTATATGCAATGCAATTTGCTACATTGTATAAAAACAAAGTTTATCTTGCAAATTATTTTACATGAATAAACAGATATGAAGAAACTATAAATGTAGATCCATCCCATACAGCACCGTTAGATTGCAAAAACATTACAATCTTTTACCGCAATATTGCAATATTGCAAATTCACTGCAAAATGTTGCTACATCATTGCTGTTGAATTGCAGCAATGTTAAAATGTCCGCTTTTTAGAAGATAATAAAATTATTGATTATCGTTAACATCTTTTATTGTACAATATTGCAAAAAATTATTTTATTACAGTATACCCAGCAAATACCAAGTTACAGTTATATAATTGTTAGTTGTAATTTTCCACTCAACAATATAATTGTTATAATACACGTATTATATTTTTGAGTGGGAAATTACAACTAACAATTATATAGCTGTAACTTGGTGTTTGCTGGGTATATGTATATATATTACAATATATAAATTATAGAATTTGGATTACATGCAATATTTCCGAAATATTAATGTCATGTTGCTACAAGTGTGCTGGAATTTTGTGCACCTATATCTCTGCAATGTCTTTATAATGTTGCATTGCAACTTGCAACATTGCAACGTTGCTGCAATATAATTGCAATAATCTGTGCTGTATGGGATTAGATTATACACGCATATCTCAAAGATTTTTTTTTTCAATTTTGATAACATAGTAAATCAAACGTTTGATATTCGGCCAATTACAAGAGAGCTGAGAATTGATTTTTTTTTTGTATTAAAGATACTTATCCACGATTCGTCGTATAAGAAATTGGATGATGGGAGATATTTGGGAAAAGGACACGCAGGCTTACAAGGATATCCAAGCCGTGCGAAAAATGCATCGCGCGATACGATTGAAACTCTGCCAGCTCGATTACGACGAGATCGATGCGGCCACTAAGATCCAGGAACCATGGTGTCCGGATAGAAAAACTATCCTAGACGACTTTTTTTCCTGCCCGTATCCAACACCAGAGAACGGCTGTTTTCATTTGATAATTAGACCCAAAGGATTGAATCAAGCTGATATGAGCGCAACGCAATTTGCTTTCATGGGAATGATTGTGCTTTACCCGCAAAAATTGGGCATTAACGCATCCGACGAGGATATAACAGCCTATTGTCATTTTTGGAGATGTATTGGATACGCTCTCGGCATGCAGGACGAGTAAGTATATGAAAATCATTTTCGAAAAAAATATTTCAGCCAAAAGTTGTAAAGTTTAAAAAGGTCTCAACTTTTTCTTTCAAAAATTAAGGAGTTTTAACGCTTTTTGTACGCTTTGTGTGTGACAAATATAGTGAGAAGTATATATACTACTTGTATACATTTCAACCTTTTCATTTTATCACATGTCAAAACTGCAACGTCGTAAGATAACGAGATCATTAAAATGAAAAAAATTTTCTCTATTTTCCGTTTTACGTATATAAAATAAAGCGATATATTTTTATATTATCCAAAACTTAATTTTATTCAACGCACACATTTGCATTTCTGCACAGAGATAATTTTCATACAATTATCATGAATTTCAGGATAAATTCTAAGAGAAAATCTTCTCTATGTGTGATTTATTTCTCGATTTATTATATTACTTTGAGATGTTATTTTTTGTTCTTCTAAATTCTCTTATATTCCGATATTTGACAAAAAAACTTATATGCTTCTAGGTATAATTTTTGTCGCGGCAGTCTGGAAGAGATTAGACAACGAGGTCAAGACATTACTAATGTTTGGGTGAAACCTTATTTGCGACAAATAACGCCTGAATGGGAACACATGCTAAGATGCATCATGAGTATATGCGATGAGGATAACATGTTCAAGCAATCATTACTGTTTATCACCGACTTATTAGACATCGATATGCCACGTCTACGAAGCACGCTTACATTCTCTCAACGATTGCAATTCATGTTACACCGGTAAATATAAAGTGCATATGAATTGTTTGATATGTATATATATAATAAATTTAGGATTTATATATATATATATATATATATATATATATATATATAAAGAAATATTCTTTAATTAGATATTCGTAACATGCAAGAATATAAACTTAATGGAATGTTTTTTATCAATATATTATTTGAATATTATTAATCGTGATAACAAAAAACAGTCTTATAAATGGACATTTGTTATTTATTGCATACTGTCCTTTTCACAAGTTTGGAAACACTTTACATTTTACAGTTAAACAACCGCATGGCAACGATCTATCATAAATAAAAATGTCATTTAAATATTTTACGATTTATTGATACAAAAAATCTACACAGCAGCGATCTGTGTAGATTTTTTGTATCAATAAATCGTAAAATATTTAAATGACATTTTTATTTATGACAGATCGTTGCCATGCGGTTGTTTAACTGTAAAATGTAAAGTGTTTCCAAACTTGTGAAGAGGACAGTATGCAATAAATAACAAATGTCCATTTATAAGACTGTTTTTTGTTATCACGATTAATAATATTCAAATAATATATTGATAAAAAACATTCCATTAAGTTTATATTCTTGCATGTTACGAATATCTAATTAAAGAATATTTCTTTAGAGAATTTTTCTCTTAAATTAAGAAGATCCTTTTGACAGATCTGTGCAGATTTTTTGTATAAATAAATCATAAAATAAACATAAAATATTTAAATGAGATTTTAATTTATAATAGATCGCTGCCATGCAATTCTTTAAATGTAAAATGTAAGGTGTTTCCAAACTTATGAAGGGTACCGTATATATATATATGTATATATATATATATATATATATATATATATATATATATATATTAGAAATCCTAAATTTATTTAGCGTATATACAGCTTTTGATTTAAACTTGTACCTCTATAGCAATATTAATCTTATAGTATAATGATTATTTTTTATAATTTCAGCTTTATATTTCGTTATGCCTTGAAAGTACGATTTATACGAGAATGTTTCAATAAAATATTTCTTCAGATTCTCGAGAAATTTACTTCTAAAAAGTTGGGAACTCTTCCCAACAAATACAATATATAAATGTTATATACTTAAGCATGTTACATGTAACGTATATGTTAGTTGTAATTTCCCACTCATAGATGTAACATTTTTAATATTATATATATTACATTGTAGTTATATTGTCATTATATCCCAAGATAGCACGGACTTATCAATACATCAATGTGCTATTTGGTATATAATTACAATATAACTACAATGTAATATATGTTATATTAAAATGTTACATCTATGAGTGGGAAATTACAACTAACATGGATGTTACATGTAATGTACACATTATATTACCTGTTATATTCCGTTTTATTATAGCAATGTAACAATTATATATCGGTGTTTGCTGGGTTATTAGAGGACTATCTGAAAAAGGTGTTGAGTTTATGTTTAATTCGTAAGCAATAAGGAAAATGTAAGGCAGATTCGAAAGCGTATTAAATAAATATTAAGAATTCTTTATTATTCCTTCACTAAAAACAATTATTTAATTATTCAAATAAATATTTATTTTAATACTCCTTTTATACATCATAATTTGAAACTGATAATATATACATATATTTTGATTTGCCGTGAAAAAATATTTATTTAAGAAATCTTTTTTCAAAACAGATATATATATTTATTTGTTTCAAACAAATATGTAAAGGAAATTATTAAAATAAGTATTTATTTGAATTCAATATCTTTTCAGTACTCGCATACAAAAATAAACAATTATTATTATTGTTTTTATATGTGTAACTCAATTTTGCAAAAAACACAAAGATATATATAAAATATAAACACCATCACACATATGTATTTATAAGTATTATTTATATATGTATTGTATATATATTTATTATTTTTAGTATTAGTATTAGTATTAGTATAATTAAAATAAATATAATACACAGTATTTGTATATTGTATTGTATATTTTATTGCATGCATCAAAAGATAGTATATGTAAAAAGCCCTGCGCGCAGAGAAAATATTAGAATAAATATCAAATATTAAAAAAAAATATAAGGATTATTTAAAATAAAATAATAAAATCGAAAAGACCCTAATATAAAAATACTTTGGATATAAAGAAGACTAATAAGCTATATGTGTATAAGCAAAATTTGTATTTGTATATCAGAGTTTTTTAGATTTTATTTTTTTTAAATAATTTATATTCCTAATATTAAATATTTATTCTTTTATTGTGCGCAGGGCCTATAATTAACAAAACTATATTTAAAATTGTCGCTAGTTGATAACCTTTTTTCTTTAAATGATATATTTTGCCATAATGAGAATATATTACGTACAATATTGACAAAATAAAAAATTAATCAAATGAATGAAAAATGTGTTGGAAGAAAAAATATTGCATAAAATATTTGTTTTTTTTGATGATGGTATATCACGTTCTCTCTGCTTTTACGTTTATTGCAACGAAAAGATTGATTGAATCTAATTGAGAATTAATTAAGTCGTCGGACGACATTTATATGAACACGTCGAAATATATATCTATCCGCATCGGGATTAAAAATAGTAACTATTAATATTAATATAATATATCCTTCTCTCATCAATCTCATCATCTCGCATGCACGCACACATATTGAAAACGTAACACAATAAAGCGGTAGCCACCCATACAGCACAAAACTCAACAGAAATGTTGCAGAAACGTTTCAAAGTTTCAAATAACACTGAAACGTCATTATAACACCTAAGAAACATTACATAAAAAAAGTAACATTTGAAACATTTATGCAACCTTTCATAAACATGACAATTATTTGTGACAAAATAGCGGACATTTTCACGTATTTAAGACACACGTATATGAAATATTTTTGAATAAATTTTGCGAAGGTTTCTAAAATGTTTTGTGCTGTGTGGGCATGCATTCTTCATGTATTTATTTTATTAATTCATTTGATTAACTTTTATTTATTTTATCAATTCTTCTTGTAATTATTTTACGTTTTCTCCGCGCTCAAGAGTCCATGACATCGTGAAATTTTTGTACTTACGCGGGCGAGATGCCTGGCCTTGAAATCGTGCGGCTGGTGCTGGATCGCGCTTATCGTCCGATGGTCCATTAGTCCATTCGCCTCTTGATTGGTCTTTGCGCGTAAAATCTATAATCGGGCGTCGCGATGTCCGTGAAATACGCGCGTACACGTAACCACTCGAGCAGTAACCACTGATTATACCGTTGGGGTAAGGTTTCCACGTTGGGTCGAACGTCAAAACAGAGAAGGAGAAAGATGCGCGAATGAGAAAACAGCTGTTGCACGATCCTCCGTGTACGATACACAAAAATATCGGATCTCCTATGTCGAGGATGTAGTAAAACGAACAACGCGCCGAATTAATTATTTTTGTCGTGATGCCGCCGAGTCGTTTGGACGCCGTTTACCGGAGTGTATTGCTCACCAAGTTCTTCACGAAGGGCTGGGGCAACCCACAAAATCTAAAAAGGCAAGTGGCTAACCTGATTCTAATCTAACCTATTTTCACGTCATTTGTATGTAGATAACTTCACGACTTTACGCCTTGAATTAGTCATGAATAGATTATATCATTATGTAGATATATTTTAAACCGATCTTCGATAATAATATAACGATAATGGCTTATTTTACAATAATTTATTATTCTAAAGTTATCTTGGATTTATCACACATTTAATAAAAGGGTACTTTACAATATTTTTCTATCAATTTTACAATCAGAAATTCAATTCATTAAATTAATATGTGTAATTATAATGCACAAAAATTACATCTAATCGTTATATGTAAAATAAACACAACAGTGACGTATAGAGTAAATGAATAATATAGGACATTAAAATAATAATTATATGTACCGTGCGCAATATCTCTAAATGTGACAATTTTGTTTCAGAATTTTTGAATTCAGGAAAGTCATTGCGAATCGAGAAGCATGCTACAATATGATACCACTCGACTATCCAATAGAGATAACAAAAGTATTTAACACTATCTTTTCTAGTAATTAATAGTAATATAAATTTTATAATTATCAAAAGAATTATTATATATATATATATATATATATATATATTTATTGTATTTTTCTTTTATATAACAGGATGAAGTATGGTCGGATTGTCATATAATCGAAGGTCACTTTGAATCACCTTTTGAAAAACATCTCCCAGGGATAATGCCAGATAAGACTAAATTGGCTTATTTTCAAGTGATTTTACCAACCAAATGGAGGTCTCATAAAATAAAGCCAATTTGTTTACATTTGGCAGGAACAGGAGATCATGTAAATATTTATCATAATCATAAATTACATTTTTTTTTTATTATATCAATTTTTTTCAAATGTATAATATGTTACAATATTCTATATTCTTAGCAAAATATTTATATATTTTACTTATTAACTAGTTTTTTTGGCGACGTAGAAATCTTATCGCAAAACCACTACTCAAGGAATCTGGGATAGGATCGATATTGTTGGAAAATCCATTTTATGGTCTGAGAAAGCCACATAATCAAATGTAAGAATTTTTAATTGAAAGTTTGTATGTATAAAATTCTTAATTAATCCTTTAAAAGGTTTGGTGTAACATTTTGCAATTGCAAAAGATTTTCCTTAATGTCAAATCTTTTTTTTAGACGTTCCAGTTTGCATAATGTATGTGATATTTTTATTATGGGAGGCTGCCTGATAATGGAATCAATTGTTTTGTTAAATTGGTGCGAACAGCAAGGATTAGGTCCATTAGGTCTCACTGGATTGTCAATGGGTGGTCATGTTAGTTTTTAATCTGATAAAATTATACTTTTAATATTGTGTAATGCCTCTAAATATATAATTATTTCTGCAGATGGCTTCTTTAGCAGCTACCAATTGGCCGAAACCGATATCGTTGGTACCTTGCTTATCGTGGTCTACTGCTTCACCAGTATTTACAGAGGGTGTAATGAGTGCATCGATAAATTGGGCACTTTTGGAAACACAATATTTTTCGGATGAGATTTACCAGAATGATCTCGCAAAAATGGTGAAAATTATTGATCAAGATGTAAATATATTTTTGTGTATTATATCTATTTTATATTAGCGCATCAAAATTTCTCTCTTATCATTCACTTTTATTAAATATATTTTTAGGATGCTTTTTTGGCTGGTCAACATTTTGCAAAACATTATCCTGCAAGCATGAAGAGAGTCGATAAATTAAGTAAAGAATCTAATGAAAGCTATAAAGACAATAAAACTGCAAATGATACAAAAAATGGTACAAATTCTATTAATAATAATAACGGCAATAATATTTCTGCTAAATGTGAATCCAAAAATGAGAGCAATCAATTGCAGCATCAAATTGCGGAAGAAAATGCAGCTGCCAAAATATTTCCATTAAATTTGATTTCCAACAAATTTAAACCAAAGGATCCCAATGCCCTCAAAGGTAAATCATTAATTTGCATAATTTTATATATATACAAATGTATTTGTTAATTTGTCATACTTTGTGAAAAGAAAGTAGGTAGAAAATCACAAAAAACGATCCCATTTTCTAGTGAAATGAAATTGAAACAGTTTAAATGTTTGTTCAAATGTGTTTATTACTATCTGTTGTCTTGGTGTTTGGTGATCCTAGGCAGCATGTAAGCATGATTTTTATAGGATTTGTTCTTCTCCCCTTGACAGGAGTTTGCTTATTGCCAGTGTCGAAGCATCCACTGTTTTCAGACAACAAGTGGCGCGAACACGAAGCGTTGCAATTTATGCGCGGTATAATGGACGAATGTACACATTTGAAAAACTTTGAAACACCTGTCGACACCGAATTGATTATTGCTGTTTGCGCCCGAGACGATGCTTATGTCCCACGAGATCATTGCATGAGCCTCGAAAAGATATGGCCAAGAGCTGAGATTCGTTACATCGATGCTGGCCACGTTAGTGCTTATCTTCTTCATCAGAAAGTCTTTAGGTATGTTATTCATTTTTTATACTTAATTATTATTTCTCTCATGCTTTGAAGACATGTGGAAGAACTTGAAAGGCATATGTATTTTGTTTTAGATCTACGATAGCTGAATCTATCCAACGATCTTTGAAGAAGTATCCCATCGAGACAAGTTGACTTTGCAACATTAATCGATGCACATTGTTTAGAGAATCGTATTTTATAAATTTAACTAAGAATATTTTTTCTAACTGTTGTGATTGAATTTGTCCACTTTTAAGGACTGCCATATGCACATATGTAAACTATTTTTGGATAGGTGCAGATAGCACACTCTGCAACTAAAAGTACAATTATTTCAGTCAATTTAATCGAGTGTAGTATAATTGATGTCCTTGTCATTAGATTACACTGAAAAAGATATTTGCCAATAAAATGTTCCTATATGAGAAATAATACTTGTGGCATATATTTTTTATGCAACTAATTGTATGTTTATATAGTTTTGTACCCAATCGTAATGAAATACATTGTTTTGATGTTTTCAAATCACATATGTGTTTCTGTACAGCATTTTATATAATTGAAATAAGTTAGTAAGAAAATATAATATGACTATAATGCATATTTTGTATAATATATGATTATAACGTGCCATTGCATATGTGACCAACTAATATTGTATATTTATATAGTTTTGTACACAATCTTAATGAAATACATTGTCTTGATGTTTTTAAATCATATATGTGTTTCTGGTGTATGTGTGTATAGCATTTTTATATAATTTAAAAAGTATCGTATAAACTATATTGCATATTTTATATAATATGCGATATATGATGCGACTGCAACTAATTGTACGTTTATATAGTTTGAATTATATAAGTGAAATAAGTTATTAAAAAGGTATAGTATGAATTATATTGCATATTTTATATAATATACGATATATAATGCGACTGCAACTAATTGTACGTTTATATACTTAATTTGATATACTGTATGATGTGTGATTACGATGTGATAATATTGATAAAATAGGGGAAGGGGGAAAAAGAAAATAGCAAAAATGACACATAAAATAAAAAGGAAAATCCTAAAAATATTTGAAATGGAACGCGCCGAGTTCGAAACGAAGAAGCGCGAATTCGATTGGTCGTGACGTCTCGCGCCGAGTGCGTTCGAGAATCGATCTCGTCGGAAGCTTCGCTCCGATCTCACGGGATTTTCGAACACTCGCGAAAAATTCGAAGATTCGCGCGACTCGCCGGAAACCGACTACGTTCGCCATCTAACGTGTCGTACGCATGACCGGAGGAAACCGGAAGCCGGGTGAGTCGCTCGTGGTCGCTCGCCAGCATTGGCCACAGCCACATGTGTTTCACGGCTCTTCTCGCGTACCCGTTCTCCTGCGGAAAGGGCTCTACCGAAAATGCGCCGTGTTTACGTAATCCGCGGTAACGCGATGCCACGCCGGTACTGGTAGACGCGCGAGGATCCCAGGGTGAGCCGAGTGTTCGCGATCAGGTGGGAATTACGTCGCGTACACGCAACCTAAACGTGCTGGTCGGCGCCGAGAGACGGAAGACCGGACCGGAGACACCGAGGACCCCCGGGTTTGTTCTCTCTCTCGCGAGAGAGAGTGTCGCGTCCGTTTATCGTCGACGAATAATCGCGCGCGTACTCCGAGAATCTCGCGTATTCGCCGAACTCCGAGTTCGGGAGGAGAGACGATACGCGAGTGCCGGGGAGGCTGCGTCTCGCGAAATCAGTCGAGTCAGCGCGAGAGTTGGCCCAATCCGTCGAGTACGACGAATCTCGTCAACGTTTCCACGAGGTATCGCGAAACGTCGAGATCGCGACGAGTTCGAGTCCCGCATCTGCTTTGTTCGAGAGTCGACCGCGTGGACCACGCGCGTCCCTTCGAAGAAAGAAAGAAAGAAAGGGAGAGGGAGAAAGAGAGAGAGAGAGAGCGAGAGAGAGAGAGAGACTGCGTCGGTGACGTCAGAGCTGTCAAAGCGGACATTGACGTCGCGTTCTCCTCCTGGAGAGCACCCGCGCCGTGCGTGACCGAGTTCCTTTAGCATGGAGAAGGGTATGTAAAGTCCGAGGACGCGTGCGAGGTTAGTTTGGTCGTCGCGCGTGAGTACGCGAGTCATCGTCGACCTTGAGGGGCGAGAAGGCGGCGCGCTTCTTCGGCTACCGCGAGAGCGACGTCTCTACGGCGGCTCGAAGAGAGAGGGCGATTCCTAGGAGTCTAGGTTGAACGCGCACGGAAGACCTCGTGCACGTAAAACCTCGTGTTTTTGTACCTCGGCAGCGGCGCAAGTACGCCGCAAGATGGCGGCCAAGCTAGCCAGTAACCAAGGTGGCGCTCGCAGCAACGGCGAGCGCCAGGAGGCGGGGCCCTGTCAGTCCTACGCCAGTGTGTTAAATCCGAAGAGTGCCTCGCAGACTCGGCCGAGTTCCTTCAAGAGCAACAATAAGGAGAACATCGGCGAGCAGGTGACAGTTGCGCAGCAGCAGCAATCCCAGCAACAGCAGACGCAGCAACATCAGCAGCAGCAGCAACCGGGAACGACGATGGTCGAGAGATTAATGCCGAGCATGATCAAGGACAAGTCGTGCCAGAGGATGGTGCCCGGCCGGTGTCAGGCGACGCGGACGATTCAGCCGGCCTCTGACGGGGACAGTGACAGTTCGTTCAAAACGTCAGAGCATTTCGGCGCCGCGCGTCGTCAGGACGACGCTCGTGGAAGCGACGTCGCTGATCATCAGTTGAACAACGGCGACCTCGCCAATGACGGCGAGTTTCGCACGGTCGCCAACAAAGGCGCCCGCCGCAAGGAGAAGCTGCGCGAGCAGCACCGGGAACCGCACCGGGAGCGTCACCGGCTACGCGAGCATAACAACCGCCATCAGCAGCAGCAGCAACCACGTGGTCCCATTGGCGTAGGGGGCGGGGGCGTCGTCAGACGCGGCGGCAGTGACGAAAGGTCTTCGCACAGAGAGCGCGCCGAGCGCAACAATGGCGTCGCGGACCCGAAGGAACCTCATCAGGTTCATCATCATCATCATTATCATCATCACCACCATCACAGGGACGAGCAGAACGTCGAGGTGGAGACCCAGCAGACGCCTTCGCTGCCTCCGCCGCAGGTCAAGTACGTCGAGGCTCCTCTGCCTGCGGTGAACCCCTGGACCAAGAACAGAGCCGCGTCGTCGTCCTCGACGTCGCGCGCCTCCGCGAATCTGCCAGCGTCCGACCCGTCACCGAACGTCGTCCCCGTGCCCACGACGTCGTCGTCCACGTGCACCGAGAGACAGAATGAGAGAGAGCGAAGGGTCTTGCAGCCGCACCAGGACACGATCGGTGAGTCGATGACGTTTCCTTTTCTCTACTTCGCCGGTCTTGAGTTTGCACAAAAGAGAGGTTACATTATATGCAGGGTTTGCTGTTTTTCAATCAAATTATATTGATGATTATCTAGATGCAATTTTGGCATCTTATCTTTATATAGATCATCAAAATATGTATTATCTATATCTGCATCTTAGATGAAAAACAGTATTAGCTTTAATAAATTGCAGCAAGCGATAAAATTTATAAATAAAAATATAGATATATATATATTTTTATATCCTTTTTATAATTTATATTTTTACTGTGGTATTTTTAATCAGAGAAACTCGTGAAATTTTTCCAAGATTTTCAGGGTAAGTTCTAAGAGAAAATTCCATGTATCTCTCCATTTTTTATATTATACATTTTTTTTTTTAATTTATGCTAAATTACATTTAGATATATTAACTGGTATCATATAGTGTAATCACTCTTTTTTTGAAATTCTGATATTTAATTATAAAGCTTATATGGTTTACACTGATTGAAAGATGTGCAACCATTTTTTCTCTTTTACATTTTTCTTTTCTTTTCTGTAAAATATATTGATTTGTTTCTTCTGAAATATAAAAGTAAAGAACAAAGTTTGAGGGAAAAATGAAATGAATTGAAGAAACATGTGAGTTGCTTTTATATTCTTCAGTTTGCTAGATTTTATAGATATGGAATTTTTACATGTGTGTAATGGATGTTGGAAAATCTATTTATTCTCTCTCTTACGACTGGAAAAAGAGACTAAAAAATCGGTTCTCGTTTCCGAAAGGAACCGAAAACTTTTTGTTAGAGAAACATCCTAATTTCTTTTGAGTCGGTACTCAGGTCAAGTTTCTATTCTTGAGAAAAAAGTACAATGATGTTCTTCTAGGAAGAACAAATATAATAGCTGTTTGTGCTATATATATATATATATATATATATATATATATATATATATATATATATATACAATATAATTTATATATACTAATTTTTTTTAATTTATTGTCTTATCTGTATTGTTTAAACCAAGTTAACATGTGTTACATTCTCCTTTTTTCCTTCTTTTTCTAATAAATTTTCTACGTTATGCATATATATAAAAAATATCCAATTATCCATAAGTATATACACACTTGTTCTAAACTCACTAACAAATGATAATACAAACATTTAATTCATCTATTATTCCGAAATTAAAATAAAGTAGTCGAATACTCAGTATTTGAGGAGAATATCGTTCGAAATATTCGTGTTGGTTTTTATAAGAACAGGAAAACTAAACACATCATTATCTTTTTTTATATATAAGAATTCTATGCGAAACCGTATTATTTGAGGAGAATATCGTTCGAAATATTCGTGTTGGTTTTTATAAGAACAGGAAAACTAAACACATCATTATCTTTTTTATATATAAGAATTCTATGCGAAACCGTACATTTTTTATACCTTTGCCCATCCTTTTTAGAATAGATTTTCTTTACGGTGCTATTATTGTTATAGTAGATTCTTTTGCCCATGAAAGCGAAGAATGGATTTTACATCTAGGCCATTCTTATTTGTTAGACTTAACGTCTTCTCTGTGGGAAATTTAAAGGATTTTAAACGATTTTTTTTGAAAAGGCGGTTCTTTGATGCTCTGCTTTTTGATGTTTAACGGACATCAGATGACTTTGACTTTTAAACTTGATTTGTTAAACGAATTACTTTTACGATACTTGTTGCAAAATATTTTGCATTATTTGAAAATTATCGAAATATTAATTATGCTATCGAGATAAGTAAATCTTTTTACGAAAATTTTCCACACGGTCATTTCGTTTCGATTGCAAAGCAGTCTTTTATCTCATCTTTCTCTAAAATTTCTGATAAATATTACTGTGCGAGACTGTTTTCGATAACGATTACATAATTATCAATTCGTCGCATACACATGCGAAGGTATCTTATTTTATTAGCAAGCTGCTTATTCGTGCTTGAGCAGTTTCGTTGAAATTCGAGAAGCTACGTTGAAATATCCGAGATTTCAGGGAATATTATCTATAAATAGATTGTATTATCTACATGTAATGTAACATTCTCTTTCCTCTCTTTTTATTTATTTTTCTTCATTAAATATTAACCTCTCCGATAACACGTTATAATTTTTAATATAAATATTTCGTGATAATTAATTCTTAAGAATTTCTTAACGCGTAAATTCCATATTAAATTCGAAAGAGAAAAAATATGTAATATATAATTTGCATCGAATTAATTATCGTTAAAAATGTTTTTCAATATTTTTAATCGCATATAAATATAAAAAAAAACACTGATACAAATGTACAAATAATGTTTAAAACAACTGTTTTGTATTGTTTCAAGGTATATAACATTTTAGTTAAAGACAATATTTCAATTTATTTATTATCGCATTTTTCGCTAAGAACTCGTGTGAATACTTAAAAATGTGTCATAAGAGATTACGGAGGCATCTTCGCGACAAACTGTACGGGAGGGCTGTATCGGGTGATGTATATATTACGAAATGCGAGGCGTGAAAATAGAAACGCGCGAATGTGCGAGCGTTGAAAAATCGAGGAAAGAGAAATGTAGTAGTACGTAGCAAAGGGAGCTCTTTTGTGAAGGAAAGAAATCCAGTTCAAAAAATATATACCGTCATACAATTTTTCACACATGCTATTAAATATCTTTTTTTTTTGTTTTTGATTGTTAATATTTTTATACTTTTCGAAAAGCATTCTAGACTCGAAAATCATACCTATTGCCTATATAGAATCTCGTTTAGCCATATTACATAATTAAATAATAACAATTTTAAAATAATTTTTTGTTTACTATAATATGCAGACTGCATATTATATTTAATAATTATGCAAAGACTATTGAATATCTTTTTTTTTTCGATTATTAATATTTTTATATTTTTGGGAAAACATTCTAGACTCGAAAATCATACCTACACTATATAGAATCTCGTTTAGCTGTATTGCATAATTAAATAATAAAAATTCTAAAATAAATTTTTTGTTTCCTATAATATGCAGATTGCATGTTATATTTAGCAATTATGCAAAGTGTAGACTTTTAAATATCGAAGTAGAATATGTTTTTGGAGTTTGTGTGGCGCACGAACGTGGCTACTTTAGGTATTCGATAATCGTGATAATAAAAATGGCAAACGCCCGACTGTACCACAGTCTTATCTTCATATTGCCGACACGTCTCAGATATACGTGGCACCGGAATATCCATGTTGGCATAGAGTGATTGACGTGTTGCCTTCGTCAATTTATTTGCATATCAAAAGATTAACTTTACTTTTTATGGAGTAAATCAACAGGTTTTTTTATCATGAGAAATTATTTGTTTTTTCTGCAATTTATTTTCTTCATTTTTAATTTGGCAAAGCTTATTTTTTTTTCTTATAAAAATAGAAATTTGTGATTGGAAGATTTTTATTTTATTTAAATACATAATTAAAGCCAAGATATTAATAAGTCGTTTAATAAAAAGGAAGAATATTAGAGAGAAAAATTGTTTTATCTCTAATATTCTTCCTTTTTAATCATCTTTTTCTTCTCTCTTATTTTTTGAGACATTCTAATTTTGTTTTAATAAAAGTTCCATAATTTTCTTTGATATGTCTATTTATATGCTTGAAAATATGAATAAACATCAGACTTTGTTAGTATTGTTATTGACAATGGTATTGTATTTTCAATTTGACATGCATGTCAATCTGCTTGACTTCCGGGATAAAATTCATTGAATTTCCACGTGACTATTGTAAATTGATCCGTTTATTACGATTACATAGGACGAACGTGGGAGAATGTTACGAGGGCAACGACATTGACATTCTTCCAACGACGTAGTAATATGTTACAACACACAATGCAGTTCCTAGAGAAAAATCCGTATGTGACGCGCGTCTTATTTAACAATCCGCATGTGCTCGGACGTTCACTCTCATTTGAAAAGAAATCAAATCGATTTCTACGACTAGAAAACTTTAAACCTGCATTTTTATTTTTATTTTTTCTCCACGTTTTATATATATATTTTTTAACACGAATAAACTCTTTTTTGTATTTTTGCCAATCGACATGCTCGATTGAATTCTGCGCGCAAAATTATTACTACGACGAACGTACATTTTTATATATCGATAAGAATTAATAAATTAGTCCTTGTTCTTATTTAACATCTTGCATCCATCTGTACTGAATTTGTTTTTTTAATTTAAAAAAAATTTTTTAATTTTTTATGCATCTGTGAACAACATGTTACATCACGCGATTAATGAGATGGGATTTTAGCGAGCAGACAAACGCATTCATCCATAAATATTATAGCGAGAATGCGGGCCTTGGTCTTACTGCAATTGACCAATAGCCCGGCATTCGGTCCACATTAAAATATGTCGCAGAAAGTGAGAGTCGCGAGAATGGAAACCTGTTCCCGAACGGTCGGATAGAAGCTAGTATAGAACGCTCGTCCGATAAATATCTTTCAATCGATGTACACATTTTACAAACTGGTAGAATATAGTGATTTCCAATTCAGTTTCATCATCGAAATATATGTTGTATATGGACAAATATTCCGTTCATCGCGTATATCTTCCGTTCGGATCCTAAAAAGATTTGAATTAGAGTAGAAGATAAGAATGAAATATGAAGGGATAAAATTATTATTATATATTTCTTGTAAAAAAAATTATTTGAAAAATACTGCATTGAAAGAATGACAACTACTTTACGTTTTATTTGAATAAATTACAGTCGAATAACGATGACATTTTTGTAAGAGGAATCTCGAAAAAAGATTACGACTTTTGTACGTATTATTCTTCTCGGTTTTTGCATTTTTATACATTTTTCTTTACATATTGTCTATTTTTTAATAGACTTCTGTCATTGAATATATATTCAAAGCAACTTATTTAAATATGTCGGCATTTTTTTTTATTCAAAATAAAATATAAAGTTATTTTAAGAATAGTCTTTGTATTCGGAAACTTTTCAAAAACATAAAGCCTGTTCTCGTTCTTAAAGAAAGAAAGAAGCCCAGGCATAAAATAATGTAATACACAACAAATGATTCATATTTATACATTGATGGAAAAATGAAAATTATGCATTGTCAAAAGAGATAAAAAAGATACATTTATAATCACATTATGGCATTCACATCCCTTTATTAACGAACAGTTTAGATCTAACATTCGGAGAAAAAACAGATCTCGTAATTAAATCTGCATTTTGATATACATATTTTTCAAAGTAATTCCCAAGTTTAATGATATTGATAAAAAAGGGGGAAAATGAAAGATCTTTTTTGATGATCGCGAATAAGTTAAGTACAATATTCGGTAATTGATGGCACGAAAAAAATACTTAAGAGATGTCGTGCAAATTCTTTGCACTTTATATTATACATAAATTTGCACTTTGGATTGACCGAAAACAATCTACCATAATCTTTCAACAACGTCATGTTACTAATTTATAATAAGCTATCGAAAGAATTATTATGAGGAACAGATCTTTAATTATTCGTTTATTTAATAATTATGTACAGAGAGAATTTATTCTTAGAATTTACTCTGAAAATCGTGGGACAATATGGTATTGGAGGAATTTTATAAGAGTTTCTCTGATTAATTTGCCACAAAAAATATATCTATCACAATAAGATATAAAATATGTTCGATTAATTTTACTATGTACGTATTAATATTTTTTGTTTTTATAAAATTATAAAATTCTTCCAAAAGAAAATTCTCCGTGTGTAATACCAGTGAAACATTTTTTTACATTTTTTCCAACGTGAAAATGCAGAAATTATACATATTAATATTTTTTGTTTTTATAAAGTTATAAAAAATTTTTCCAATGCCACATTGTTCCACGATTACCACAATTTTCAGAGTAAATTCTAAAAACAATTGTTTCTGTGTGTAATACCAGAGAAATATTTTTTCTTAATTTTTCCAACGAGAAAATGCAGAATCTGAAATATTTGACTTTTTGCTTGATAAATTTGTGCACAATTGTCAGAGATCAATGATTGATGACCCGAGCTTCAGGTAAAATCGAGTGGGTATCCAAATAGTACATTTGGAGACAGACTGCATATTCGTTTCAACACTAGCCGAAAGTATTCACGTTCTCGAGCAGAGCTCGATCAGAGCTCCATCGTCGTTCGTCGTAATCGTTGATTCGCTTCTTACAAACCAACCTGCTCTCTCACAATCAGTGACTTGTCGACACAACTTCATGATCGCGGATACATCGTGATCGCGCTTTGTCACGTTGATTATTATTGCAAGATGCGATGTCGAGTTCAAAGGATTCGTGAATTTGGATTCCGACGAAATTGGACAATTACATGGCCTCGTATTACATTTTGTCGAATAATAAGGAATCTCTAATCTCATATAATTATTTAATTAATTATTCATGGTGAAAAATTTCTAATTCGTGTGACAGATTTTTATTTGTCCGGGAGTTGGATATCTTGCATAGAGTCTATTCTTGTTTCGCAATTTGCAGCATCGAAGTGGAATTGTAAAGTTAATTTGTTTTCCGCGTGCGATACTTTTAATATTGATGCAATTGAAAATGCAATTTAGTTAGATCGCAGCTCTGCGTGCGAAACGAATCGGATTAGCGAATCTACTGTGACGACAAGAGACTGCAATGAGGATAAACCAAAGGAAAAACAACACTTTTCGTGAGTCAGCAAATAATTGGCATCTTTCTCATTATGCACATTAGTTCATAACACGATGATCAGTCAGCACTCAAATTGATAGCGATAGTTTGATTAGATCCGGCTAAATAATTTGAGCTCTATCATTCATTTAATTTATCTTAATTCTTACTCGTATATTTTAGTTGTACATGTACATATATTCTTATTACTTATAGACTATCCAAATATTTTTGCCTTATTACATTTTCACTGCGAAAAATATTTATCTCCGACTCAACTAAATCATTAAATTTTACGAATGCATTTGAACTTTTATGTATGGCTTAGAAATCTTGTCTGTAATAACTTGCTCCGATAATCTTGCCTATAACTTCCGGTCACGTTGAGACCATGTACATTCGCGATATGCTTACATAAAGTTATTATACCTCGTGATATGGACTATCATATTCTGGTCTAATGTGTATTGCAAACATAACTTCTGGAAAAGTATCCACAAAAATGTATTACACATGTCTTTCCAATCACAAATATGTCAAAATGAAGAAGTAATTATTATAACGTTTATTAACGAAAAGATAGATTTCGATATATTTTGTGTTATGTTATTATTATTATTGAAAAAAAATGTTTAAAACATGTTTTGATCTCATTGTTTTAGACTTAGACGTCCATGATCGTCGATAATTGTGAATTTGCGGCAATTTGCAATGATTACATTCCGGTTTCAACCTTCTTCGAAGTTGCTTGGCATCGAGACAGGATTAAATAATTCGAACAATTCGATTCGAACAGAAATCACGAAATCTGCTCACGTTTCACTTATGTTAACCCTTTTCGATTCCTCAGCTCGTCGCTTCAAGTCTTTTAAATTTAGCAGAACTAAGGAGGCAAACTTTTATATAGAAATGTTATTGATTGGTAAAGTATAAAATTAACACGATATATAATTATATATGGTAAAACTACAAATATAAGAAAAGAAACATTTAATGTCTAATTTTTTTATATAACAAATAAATTAATATGATAAAAACAAGACTACGCAATATATATGTAAGAATTTAAGTTTAATTACAATAGCACATGCAATGTTTGTGAGATTATTATTAATTTATCCATTTGTATCCCTTTGGAATATTGAATCTAGAATATTAATGTTCGAATTTATTCGTTCGTTCTTTTGTTTCCTGCATAATTCTATTTTCGTCTATTAGAAGCGTTCCAGTTCTTTCATCTTCACAAACCACGAATTTTCTGTTTCTTTCGTCTTTGCGGTGAATTTCTTGCGCGACAGTTCCAATAAGAATTCAATTATTTCGTTGCAGGCTCTCTTTATAGATTGGAGTATATATTCTGATGATGCAATAATTGCGCAATCGCATAATCGATATTTTTGATGACACGTAGACTATAGTTGTTTGCAAACACGCATATGTATGCATATCTGAATTGAACAACAAATGAATATAAAAAGTTTAACACTATACGAGCGAGTGTAAAAAGAATTACGCATTTGTTAATTAAATTCTTTTACTCTGTACGACTCGCCGAATCAGATGAGTCTCTCGTCCCACGAGATGATGCGAGTAGCAATATCTAATTTTAACGATGTCACGCGAAGATCGAAGGCGCGTTGACACATAGTATGTCGGTTTGTGGACACATCGACCGTAAAAGTTCATGAGTAGATAAGAAAGTGCAAGGCAAAAGGATATAAAATGATGTCTAATCATTTTTAACACACTATATTATATTTTAAAAATGTGCGAACTGCAGATTCGATATTATTTGCACCAATATGCTTTTTAGCTTGATATAATATGATATAGTCGTAGTTTTTATGATTTCTGAATTACTCTCGCATACTATATTAATCTTTACTACCTTGCATCATACTTGGATTATAATAAAATAATATATTACATAGTTTTCTGGAGACATTTCTATCTTGAAATTAATATTTCGCAACTTACAGCGTTTTAATTGTGAGAGTGATACAAATAATTTTTTCACAGAAAAAAAAGAGAAAGGTCATTCATTTAATAATACATTTAATAAGTAAATAGTAAATTTAAAAAATTAATTTTGATATTAGATTTTCTTGTTTGCTATATTTGCTTCATTTTTCTTCTCTCATTTGATATCGGTTGTTAAAGATAAAGATATTCAAGAAGCATTCGCATATGTGCGATAAAGATAATCAAGGTCATGCAGTTTGGAACAGGTTATAAAGAGCTGATATGGATATAATAATTTGGAGACAGAGAGAGAGAAAGAGAGTTAATGTAAAAAATATCTGTCGCGCAGTTTTGATGTAATTTTTGTACAATTTTTATCGTATTACAAGCGTAACAATTGATTTGTTACAATTTATCATATTTTTTACATACATCTTTTTATATTAACAATTCTTTATTTCTAAAAAGACCTTAAGATCTTTGAAAAAAAAATATATATTATTATTATATCTTCTTTATTTATATTTTTATAGAAAAAGGTACAACTGCTTTGTATAATTGTATCATTTTTTCTTTTTTTCATTAAACTGTGACAAAATTGAAGAATACACAACTTTTTGCGCTTATAATAAGCTTTATATATATATATATATATATATATATATATATATATATATATATATATTTATAAATGTTTTTTTCTGTGCAGAAAATGGTGTCGGAGATAGTGCTCAACCCACAATTGTCAGAGCTTCTAGAGATAGAAGAAGATTTAATCAAAACGTATGTCATATTTTTATCTTCTTTTCATCTATGTGCAGACATGTGCATATTTAGTTTGAAAGATACATAAATTTTATAGTTTACGTGTATGACTTTATAATTAAAAGGTAATTTTATCGTAAAAGATAATTTTTCTTAATCTTTATATTATATCAACTTATATTACTATTATAATGTGTGTGTAATAAATATAACAAATACTTCCATAGAAATATAGAATGATGAAAGTAAATAAATACTTACATATATCAATAATTTGTAAAGTTTATAAAAATTAAGATAATAAGTAAAGCAAAGTATTGAATATTAAATTGAATTGAAGTAAAACTTATATTACTGAGATAAAAAATATACTTGCATATTTGTTATTACTTATGTCACTAGTGTATTATAATATTAAAAAAAATTTAATTATAGATGTACATGCACTTATATATTAGTTAGGAATATAAATGTTGTTTCTGTTATTATTCAGACTGTGTTAATAATAACATTTTATGCAACAGGCAAGTGATTTTACGAATATTGGAGACTGGCCCACCTTAGGACCGCAAGGAGAGGTACGTATTCACGACCGATTCTTTTGTTAAAACCAATTATCTTTAATTATACATAAATGCAACTAATTTTTATTTTAAATAAGTACAGCAAATTACTATTTCAATAATAATCATCAGAACAGTATATTTAAATTTCATTTATTCCAACTATTATAAGCAATATTTATTATGGCATATAATCTCATATGCAAAACCTAGAGCTTGCATGATTTATTAATAAATCTGTGAGTGTAGAAATTTTGCTAGAAAAATATCGAATATTTTATCATCTTAGACGAGAAATTTTACGTTCGAGATGCTTAATAATTCTACATGTTCGCTCTTTGGATTTTCTTTAATTTGCACTTATACATGTTTAAATGAAAATTTATACAATTTTTTATGTGATTTAGAGAAAAGCAGCCATAAGCAATCACTCTCCTTCGAAGCAAAATGGTGTGGCCAACGATGAATCCAGTACTTTTAAAGCAAATAACATTGTAGAAAGTAAAGGCAAAGAGAATAAGGAGCAGAATCATTGCCAAGATGATAGCGATGAGCATACGGATAATGGCGAAAAGAAAAAGAAAGGTAAGAAAACTGATTTGTGTGTACCTTGTACCTATTTTGACAAAATACTGACTTGACAAATAATTACTTTGTTAATAACTTTGTTTTCATCAAAGTGATTGCTCCGATTTAAAATTTAAACAAGAAAAATCTTCCTGACCCCCATCTTATTCTGATATTGTATTTTTATAGCGAATAAACAAAAATGGGTTCCACTGGAGATAGACCTAGCACAAAATCGTGGGACTATGCGATCGCCGAGATTTCAGAATCACAGAGAAAGAAACGGCGAAGGTAAAATTATTTCCTTTTATGTAATAATATTACATATAACAATCACTGACTAATTGCTATAATTAAAGCAAACTGATATGAAAATTAATTGTAATGTACTAAAAATAGCAAATGATGGGGAGTCCTGGCGCGAAAGAGATTACGATAGATCATCGGGATATAATCAACGAGGTCGTGGTGGAAGAAGTTATAGAGGTAGAGGACGAGGCGGGCGTGGCCGTATTGGTTTTAGACACCGACAGGATCACGAATATACTAATTATGCTACAACGGACTATATACAGGTAACCACCAGCTGATATTAAAGCTTGAATTATTATAGTACATTATTACCTCTATAATAATAATAATAATGATGTATAATACATAAGTGGGAATCTATCTGACGATATTCTGATTGTAATTGACAGTAGAGCTGAAAATTTTCAAAGTTATATATTTGTATCGCATATTTTTTCATGAAATATCATGTTCCTTTTTTCTCTCTTTTAGACACATAAATATGAACATTCAGACGGGTATATGAATATACCTTATATGGGGACTTGTTATTTTAATAATGCCAATTACGTGGATGTCTCTACTCTAAAAGAATGTATAAGACAACAAATGTAAGTTCTTTAAATTTTTCCATTTTTTACAATTTAACTGTGTAACTTTTCGTATTAATCTTGCATTTTTTCGCAGAGAGTACTATTTCTGTGAAGAAAATCTTGTGAAGGACTTCTTTCTTCGTCGTAAAATGAATGCTGAAGGATTTTTGCCTCTCACTTTGATTGCATCTTTTCAACGTGTACAAAATTTAACAGTGGATATAGATTTGGTGATAACTGCAGTTATGGAATCTGATAAATTGGAAGTGGTAGAGTTTGAAGATGGATACAAGGTATCACAAACAACATTTCAATTACTAAAATAATATATATATTTCACAAAAATTAAATATACATATGGCACATATTAGAGAAAAATTCTAACATACATATGTACGTTGGAAACTAAATTTGTGCCCACAATAAAAATAGAAGAGGATTCGCTAACACCATTAGAACTTATTAAGTTCAATGAATGGGGTTTGACAGTAGACCTCTTTACATATGTTTACAATTATTCATGTTTTTTCTGTCTGCGCATAATGGGCATTTTTCAAATAATTTAACATTTTACCTTTCAGATTAGGACAAAGCTAGATCCTTTAAAATGGCCTATCTCAGATATAGCCAGCAATGTGGTCATCTCGAATCTTTCCGAAGAAGAATCCATCGCATCTCAAAACGAAGTAATACAACCTACCTCTGAAACTACATTTTGTCCTGTTGCAAAGCCTTTACTCGCGATACCTATTCCCGCAGTTCCTCGTATTTTTGAATCCTACTATTCCGTTCCAATTGCAAATGAGATTCTAAATCCTGATGTACCAGAGTTTGTACCAATGGACTTGACGGAAAGTACTAATGGATTTGCTATCGATGAAAACGACGAAACAAAGAACGAAATTCAATTTGAAAAGATAAAAGAAGAAATTTATGAATTGACAAATAGTAGAACAGTACCTCACTTTCCTTTAAATAATTCTATTATAATGGACTATTCATTGTCAGCTGTGGGAGATTCTTCTACTTTAGACAGTTTGCCAGAACGAATGAACGGAGAATCAGATACGTCAAGCGACAATGCTTGGAAAGAGGTAATTGTATTTATTATATAACTATGTTTATTACAACCAAAATTATGATATATTTAAAAAGTTTAGGTTTTAAAAGGAAAATTATATAGAAACAAATTGTTCATAGGTAAAACGAAGAGTTAAAGCACATAAAGATAGATCTGAAGAGAAAGAGAAATTTGAAAATGCCAGAAGCAAAACACGAGAAGAATTAAATTTCCAATTTGACGAGGAACTTGATTCACCACCTCCGACTGGTCGACATAATGCCTTTTCGGAATGGTGAGTTGATAATGAAATTAGTATTACCAACATTAGCAATATATGATTCTTTCGCAAATATATTCTATTGCCAAGATACTCGATACTTTATTCAAATCTTAGAAAAAAATCATATTTCTATATTTTCATTAATTTGCGATAAACTCAGAATTAGAAATTTGAAAGTACAGGAATGTCAGTAAATGTTGACATATTAACTTATACCTCATAAATCACTTTCTTGTTAATATATACAGAAAGTGTATTTCTCTGAGTAATACTCTTTGAATTATGTTGCTCCTTTTTCGTTTTTTAATATATGCAACTTTGAAAATTGTAAATATTTTTGGAAAAGATTTATAGTCCCAATAACCTTAATATATGTTTTCAAAATTATGATTATTAATAACTTTTAAAAAGTTTACATCATTTATTTATATAATAATAAATATTTATTATTTATAAATTAAAATATGCAAGTATACCGAATATATTTATTTCAAATTTATTTCCTTTTATGTGAAAAGTTCCAAGCCATACATTTAACTTTATTGTAAAGTAAAAGCATAAACGGAAAGATTTTACCTCTCGGGATTTGCATCCCTACTCTAAAAAAATTAATCTATTTTTTATTTTATATTAAAGTTAGATTTGAGTTATAGAATTTTTTCTGAGAGAGGGATACACCCTTCCTCCGCTCACACGTTTATTTAAATATTTATTTATAATTTTTAATAAATACTTAATAAAAAATATTCAGGAAAAATATTAAAAAATTGATTAAATTAAACAATATTCCTGAAGCGTATTGCATAATATCGAGCAAATATAAATAAAAATAGAAAAGTTTAAAAATATAGCTTATAAATAGAATATTTGTAAACGAAAAAATGATATTAGTAAGTGCAAAAATTATGATATGTTAAAGTTATATCTCAGGAATAAAAAAAAATATGTTATTTTAAAAATATTATATAATTCAAAATATATATTACTTATTGTTAGAAATGTACTCTCCATAATATATGCCATAAGGAAAGTGATTCATGAAATGTAAGTTAATGTCAATATTTATTAAATTATTAATTTTCTGAGTTATTTATATTTTTATTATTGTGTTATGAAAAAGGTGATAATCAAAATCTTTTAGTTATGTGTGAATTTTTCTACTGATATCTTTTATGTTTTTATATTTTGCAGGTCCGAAGATGATGAGGAATTATCAGATACAGATGTTAATAAAATTATTATATTTACACAAATGAATCCTCCATCATCTAGAATCCCAAAGCACGAAGGTCACGATAGAACAGGAGATTGGAATACAAGAGCTAGACTGACTCAAGAATTGGAGCAGTTTATTAACGATGGATTATATTATTACGAGGAAGAAATATGGAGGCAAAATAATCAAAGGGTAATTATAATTTTAGTCTCTTCTTTATTTGAGAGAAAGACTAAATTTATTCTTAAATTTTAAGTATAATAAGAAACGAAACTTATTAAGTTGTGTTACACAGTATGGTTCATCTTTGTCCATTGGAAGCTATAAAACGATTAATGTGATTAGTCAAGAAGATTTCGAAAAGATGACACCAAAAGTTCCAAAAAAAGCGAATCCGGAAGTTCCACCGCCACCTCCTTCTTGTATAGAAGACTTAGAAATTCCGCAATCAGATTCTTCATTACAGGTATTTCAAGCTTTATATAAAAGACTATTTCAAACTAAACGTAAAAATAGAAAAACTAAAAAAGATTACCTTTAAAACATTAAATTATATATATATATATATATATATATATATATATATATATAATTATAATTATATATATATATTAATTCTTATAATATTTGTTTATATATATATATATATATATATATATATATATATATAAACAAATATTGTAAGAAAAACCTCTCCTCAAAGTTAAAAGTCGACCAGACTGGCAATCATTTATTATAAATAATTAGTTGACATACAACGTTTCGGCTGTCATTGCAGCTCTTTTCAAGTAAATCTATAAAAAGTTACATAAATATAATTATAATTTTAATACACTTCATCGCTACAAATAATTATACATTCAAAAACCAAAAATATGCTACATACCAAATTAATACAGTAAATCAAATTCACTGCAAACCACCGACAATATTAAACATTGTTTTGATGAACAATGCAAAACTGACAGAAGTAAGCACGAAATAAATAGATGTTAACCTGTTAACATCTATTTATTTCGTGCTTACTTCTGTCAGTTTTGCATTGTTCATCAAAACAATGTTTAATATTGTCGGTGGTTTGCAGTGAATTTGATTTACTGTATTAATTTGGTATGTAGCATATTTTTGGTTTTTGAATGTATAATTATTTATAGCGATGAAGTGTATTAAAATTATAATTATATTTATGTAACTTTTTATAGATTTACTTGAAAAAGGCTGCAATGACAGCCGAAACGTTGTATGTCAACTAATTATTTATAATAAATGATTGCCAGTCTGGTCGACTTTTAACTTTGAGGAGAGATTTTTATTATTTATTACTGGCGAACCTTAAGGATTATTATTTGAAATATTATAAGAATATACTACTGTTTACGTTTGATAGGTTTCAAGTATAAATACGGAAAAAAAAGATAATAGATCGGACAAGAGTCATTGGAATGAAAACCCACAGACGAGAGAAGGACGAAGAGCCGCCGCATCTCGTTTCTTCGCCGTTGTAAAAGAACCATCCGTTGATCCGACGACACCACGAAAACGGAAAACTCGTCACAGCAATAATCCTCCAGTAGAACATCATGTTGGCTGGATTATGGATGTTCGAGAACATCATCCCCCATCATCGAGAACACATTCTGTAGGGTACGTACAGTATATTTACCTACTGAAGAAAACCTATCTCAAATAAATATACATACTTTTTCTAAATCCTTCGAATAAACGAATATGTGTGTAGAAAATGTTGGAATATACATATAATAGATGTATATAAAGAATAGATTTCCAGAAAGATAATTGTATCATTATAAGCTTTTAATGACGAACAAATATAACTTTTAAATTAAAAAATATGATTTTTTAAAATTAATATAATAGTATAAACGTTATTGTAAATATCTCTAATTACAATATTTTTGTTTTTTAACTATTTAGTTCTTATTAATTGATTAGCATTATTAATTCGCATTAGTTGCTTTGTTATTGATATTTTTGATTATGTATAAATGAGAAATATAAATGATTTGTATTTATAACATGATGAAAATCATCTGTAAGTCTTCTTTTCCCGACTGAAAAAATTGCCTTGTAGAAAAATTGTATCTGACTAAAAATAATCAATGGAAAAATTTGACTTCACTTTGCATATATACTTTAGTTGGTTTTTTTTATTTATTATTTCAGGAGTAGTGCAGGGACGAGTCCTAACGAAGGCTACCTTGCAAGTAGTTATGGAAGTGTTGTTACTATAGGCGAGCATCCGAGTCACGCTTTGTTGAAAGATAACGGATTTACTCAACAAGCGTATCACAAATATCATTCGCGCTGTCTGAAAGGTATTATTATTATTAGCAATAACGAGATTTTTCAAATTATTAATCTGAATAATTGGACATAAAATGATGAATCTTTTCTTGTCTTCTTTTCCCGACTGAGAAAAATATCTGTGCGGAAATACTTCTATCTGATTACCATTTAAATGAATTGTACGTTTTACATTTAATTAAATTCTCTTTTTATTCATATACCATATTTTTTTAGAGCGCAAACGATTAGGTATCGGACAATCACAAGAAATGAACACTTTGTTCCGTTTCTGGTCATTCTTTTTGCGAGATAATTTCAATCGTACTATGTATGAGGAATTCAGGACTATAGCCAAAGAGGATGCCGAGGCAGGATACCGATATGGAGTGGAATGTCTTTTTAGATTTTATAGCTATGGCTTGGAAAAGAAGTTTAGAGATGTATTGTATAAAGATTTCGAAATAGAAACGATATACGATTGCCAAAAAGGTAAGTCAAGATTTTATTTATATATACATTTCTATTATATTAGCACAAAATAGGTTGTTTAGCTATGAGATCATATGATAGTTAAACGGTAAATCTGTGCAAAAGAAAATGGAAATGTTTAATTAATTAACTCCACTAGGAGTTTTTGTCCAATGAGTGGAGTTTCATATTAACAGCATTACAATATCTATTTAAAAAAATAGCTTGGTGTCAAGCTATACATATATTTCATATATGTATATTATTCTGATATTAAATATTAAACTATTATAATAATGCTATTAATATTAACAAATTAATTATTTAATAGGACAATTGTATGGATTGGAGAAATTCTGGGCATTTTTGAAGTATTATAAGAACTCTAATCATCTTTGTGTAGATCCTAAATTGAAAGAACATTTATCCAAATTCCAAAGTATCGAAGATTTCAGAGTAGTGAAAGTGAGTTTATTATTACAGACTAACATTCCTATTTGCTTTATTTACGTATTAACTGTTTTAAGCATTTCTTAATAGTAGTTTTATAATTTTATATAATATATGTTCTTTCTTATAGCCCCAAATATATGAAATGCTCCAAGCTGCAAGATTACGCCACAGAAGTGTTTCCGAAAGCGCTAGAGAAGATACTTTGACGGACGAATGCAGCATCAACACACTGCCAAATGAAACGAAATCTGATAGCCACATGCAAAAATTGTATTTAGACGGTACAAGTTCATCATTATCATCGCAGTTCCGAAGGAGAGCCGGTTCTTATGGCTCTAGTAGGCTGTGTAATCCCCGACGACGAAATAATTCCGCATCGTTGAGCGATCATCGAGATTTCAACAAACAGCAGCCTCAAAGCAGACAGAATTCTGGTTCCTTCACGAAGCCTCACGAGGCGAGCAAATTATTATAAGTCACTGCCAAAGAACGAATTTAACTTTTATCTTCGAATCTGAAGCAAAAAAAAAAGTCCGTCACGATCAAGACGGAAAATTTATCTGTCTTAAAAGTTATCGTGCACCGTTCGAGGGCAATCATCTGATACATTTGACATAGGCGGTGCGATACATCTTGTGTAAATGTAAAAATATCTTCCATACGAAACGATAGTTACGCATCGTCATCTTGTTATATTATGCATCATTTGATGCAAGAAAAAAATTATGTACAGTTATTACTATACCCTCGCGACTGACATATCGATTGAAATTGTACTAACAATCGCTCGTCGCGTTTGCTTAGCCATCGCTCTTTCTTTTCCAATATATGTAAATATAAAAAGAGTAAAAAATGGATAAATCTCGCGTATAATTTCAATAAAGATTATACAAGTGATTTTCTTAACAATGAATAATACGTTGATGTAATGATGTATACTTTTGTTTATATATTTAAAAAAATATTTGATCTTTTAAAATGAAACTCCATATAACAAACAAGTCCTTTTGACATCGAGAATGACGTCATTTTATTTTGATTTAATGACATTTATTTGTTACTTGGAACTTTCCATTACAAGACAACATAATCCAAAACTGATTTTATAAAATTTTATTTTCGATATCTTGTCTTGTAACAATTGGATTAAATTTTGCTGATTTTATATTAAATTATAATGTTTCGAGATTTTCTGAAGAGAGAGAGGGAGAGGATATTTAAACGCTAATGATAATAAGTTAAAATGCGAGTGTAGTATTTTTAAGTTTTATTAATGTATTCTGACACAGTGCGACTAAGCAACGTTAATTTATTAGTCGCTATTGCAAAAAAAGTGTAATTTTCATTTCTAAGAGATCATATAGTTTTAATTAAAAAAATAAAAAATATACTTATTGATTATTATAGGTTTATTATTAGACTTCTCCGTATTTTCACGTTGCTTCCACGAATACATAATATAATGATGAAAGCTCACAACGATTTTCAAAACAGTAACAATCGAAAGTCTGTTTGAGAACGATCTCGATTCATGAGCAACACGAATTGACGTAATCAATATTATCTCGTTTTGTTTTGTTAATATATTGCATTTATTAATATTATGTAGGTATGATAAAATTCACATTAAAATACACACATTAATATGTTTCCTTTGTTACTAAGAACGATCAAGAATAAACTTTGTTCTTATAATACGAGGATGAGAACGATCAAAATATTCTGAGAAAAAAAGAAAGAATGATCGTACAAACGACCTGCAATTGTTACCACAAATAATTTCCGATCAATCTACCAGTCGCGACAGATAACTATTTCAGTAGCGACAGAAAAAAACAGTCAAAGAAAAAATATATGATTATATTGTATATATTCTCATAACTCGATTTTAGTGATTTAGATTTATCTATAGCTTTTAAGTAAGTGACACATAATAATAGGATTTGATACTTTAAGTTTAACATGTTAATAAACTAGATATAATCGGCTTATACATATAAAGGGTTGTTCCTCGTGTCGTGCTTTGAAAATCATTGAATATGAGAAGATATATATATATATATATATATATATATATATATATATATATATATACATGTATATTCTGAAAAGAGAAACGCGTTAACGTTGAGAAAATTTACAATTGCTCGATTTCAATTTTTCTTACTAGAAATGCTTGCTGTTTTGTATCTCACGTACATTATATTATCGTTCAACGTTGTTTTCTTTGCAGAAAAAAAAGAAAAATTAAAATGTAACATAATGTACATAATTTTTATCCGAAGTTGATATTAAATAGAGCCGCGCCACGAGATCGTCCACATGTAAAAAAATTATATATTATACAATATATATACATATAAATTCTTACATTGTTACTCTTATATATTGCTAATAAATCTTAATTTTACACTTAAAGCTTATGCTATAAAAAGGGTAAGGTATTGGTTGCTATCTTTACCATTTAAAAAATGTATAAAATATTTCATATAAAGAATATACACTATTAGGGATTGAAATACTGAGAAAAGTATGATTATGTTTACATATGTAATATGAAAATATGGTGTCCTTTGAAGAGGGACTGCAAACAATAAATATCGAGTCATTGATTAATTTGTTCACATTTTTGCATATTTCTTTATACTTTCTCTGAGTTCGCTTTATATTCAAACATCTGTCATATTAAATCTCTCTTTTTTAAAGTATTCATTGTATTATTAAAATGTTTTTATAAACTTTTATTTTTATTAATTAATAATAGCTTTAAAATTTTTTATATTAAATTGCTGTTCAAGCATCATTTTGTAAAAAGCAGAATTTGCGAGTAAGATTCCTCTTCAAAAACATCAAAATATATATGATCTATCGAAAGGCATTTTCGGCAGTAAAAGAATGATAAAATTTATTTTAAAAATCCACGCATTTCGCCTTCGTGGCATCGATCAGTCGTCAATTGCGTGGTTTGATCTCTCTCTTAAGAAATATAATTATATATAAATTATTAAATTATATATAATTTATATTACATGTGTTATTTTACATAATATATATTATATATTATATTATTTATATTATATATATATATATATATATATGTATATATATATATATATACATACACATATATATATAAAATATATATTATTTTTTATTATTTACTTTTATTCATAGTATAGTAGCTATTATTTTCACGCCCAGTGAAATATTACAACTCATACAGTTAACTCTATTAATTTTGCTCATTCCATACAGTCATTAATCTTACTAGCTGTTATATTAGTAACAAGATTTGCAAGTGTTTATAAAAAATCTAAATCTAGTCGTCAAGCTTACAACATTAGTGAAAATTCTTTATCTCCCAAAAAACAAAACGAAAAAATTGGCGACTGAACGACGTCATAGTTCGATAACTATTGTCTATCGATTAACTAATTGGCGAATTCGTTTTATCTAAGAATTTTAAGAGATCGTTTCGCAGATATCGATGCACACATACCCAAAAGTTCGGGACAGACACAGAGAGTAGACTAGTTTGAAAATGCAGATTTTATTTGCGTACAATAGTGCCTTTTCGAGAAGAATCTTCCGGATTGTTATAAAATTATCGCACTCTCATACGCATCTGCAGACTCATGCACACGGCGAAAAAGAAAAGCGCTGCGAATTTTAAATAGGATACGTTTAGAAATCGCTAGAGAAAAAGGACTCGTTCGTAGTAGCTGCTAGATAAATCGAGGCCGGTCAAAAAGCAAAGTGCGAGACCGATATAATAAAGATAAATAAATCAAGTTCAAGCCTTTCGTTAAAGATGATACTGCATATTTTTTCAAATTTTGATATGGAACCATGTAGACTGCTAGAATGTTTCTTATACGGATCATCATCGAGTGAAATAAAAACATGTAAAAAAATCAGTCTTATCAGTCTACATGGCTCTATAAGATTATAACAGATGCATTGCATCGACCTACATGTAAATATGCGCTTATAAAAATATACTTATATATATATATGTGTGTATATATATATATATATATATATATATATATATATATATATATATATATATATACATACTTACACTCACACATATACACATATAATAAATTATGAACGAATGTCACGGCTTAGAAAAATGAAGAAAAAGAAGGGAGAGAGCATAATAATTCATAACCAGTACCTAGAAGGGCCATAGCGGACCCAGATGAGTGATAATGTATAATGTGGTAATAAGCTATATCATATGATTGCGAGTCTTGTACACGTAGTCAACAATTGTAACGTTTGTGAATACATAAAATAAAAAGACGAAAAAAAAACTGATTATTGACATATTTTTTTATATACCCAGATAGCCACAGTAATTATTATGACATCATTTTGATGGCAAATGATGCATTTTGACATCAAAATGATGTCATAATAATTACTGTGGCTATCTGGGTATATGTCCTTCTTTTATTCTTTCTAGAAATGTGAGATATGTCTTGGAAAGTCTATATAATATGTATGTATATATAGATGTATATATTATATATAGATGTGCAATTATATGTATTTTTATCATGTCTTAACTTACTAACAAAAGCCATCTAAACTTCATAATTTAATAATACAAAATAATAAAGAATTGACTTTCATCCACATATGAATCCATATGTTTGAAATCAACTGAGGTAGATATATGCTGTGATGATTATTTACATTATTTATTCTTCCACTTCAAAACAGCATTGACATTTCATATAAAAGTCCACTTTCGATTTTCTTTCTGGTTTTTTGTCTTCTTACGACTTCAAATGTTCTAGATTTCTTTTTAAACTTCTTCCTTATCAATAAATAATCCTTTGTACTCCAACTTTAACAATCAGCTTCATTTATCTACAGTATAACGTGTGAAGAATTATGATTATTACTATTGAGTGTGATTATTACTATTTATTATTACTAAGATTATTTATAAGCTTATTGAAGTTTCATTGTATTTTTGAACATATATATAGTACCTATTCTATTCCTTCATCTTCCTCTTCCAAGATTATTAATGACACTGGATAAGAGTATATATACAAATATATATATATACTCAAATTTCAAAAATAGAGTTAGTTTAAAAAAAGCCAAGAGGGATATCGATCTTACTGACATCTATGAAGCATTAGCGAAATTTTATCGAAAATCGCTCAAGGTAAATTAAAAACAGCTGGAAACCGGCGCAATAACTGTCAATTGTCGCTTATAAATTATAAACATATAATGTAAGCATCTTGACAAGAGATATTATTAGATTATATGCGCAGCAAAATTATCCGTGATTATGAATATTATATCTAATCGTGTCACATCCCGTGTAAGTATTTGAGGATATTAATTATGAAAAAAACGATACGAAAGTATTCTATACAAAATGTAAATAATGCTTCAGATCAAACCACTTTTGCTTACAAGAAGTTTGTGGACAAGTTTCTCGAGGCAAAAAGATGATTTCCAAGATTTGATTCATCCAGAAGGGCGGGAACCCAACATTCCGCATTATGTGGAACGTGAAGGAGAAAATGCTGATCTAAAGAGAGCACGGTATTATAAGTTTTGTTACAGCGAACAGTTAATTTCACACTGACAGAAAGTCAAGAAATTCTTCATTATTATACATATTACATGGCTTATTTCTTATAGTTATAATTAGATTATAATTTGTATCAAAATTATTATTTATGTATTTATATTTGCTTCCGATGTAATCTGCTGATGAAGTTAATTGTAAACATATTTTAGCGATACATTCTATTTTCTGTTACTTTAGATTGACATATCAGTCCCGTAAACGCGGAATGTTGGAGAATGGTTTACTTCTTAGCACATTTGCAAAAAAGTATTTGAATACATTCAATGACACACAATTAAGACTGTACGACCAACTAATAAATTTGCCAACGAATGATTGGGATATATTTTATTGGGCAACTGGTGTGAAACCAACTCCACCTGAATTTGATAATGAGGTGATGGACTTATTGAAAAAACATACTCGGAATGAAGATCGACAAAGTAGGATAATGCAACCTAATTTGTAAATCTGTAAATAATGTATTACATTAAGTAGTAATATAATGTAAACAGATATGTAGTAATAATTTAGATTAATGTAATTAAAATAAATAATAAATTATTGTTGTGTGTAGTTAATAAAGAAAAATCTTATTTGTGAAAATTTTAAACTGCTATTTTCTCTATTATTGTATATCCATATGAAACAATTAGACGACGATAAAGATATAATATTGCCTAGACGTATCAATTATATATTTTAGTATATTGTAACTTACTATCTGTGTTTGCATACTTAACAAAATCATTTATATTACAAAAAATATTTTATTACAAAAACAATTTTTTATATATACATTTCTCGTGAATCCTTAAAGAATATATATAAATATAACATGAAACGTTCCTCATAGAAACATTTGTTAGCAAATTGTTTTATTCTATAAAATCGTTAAAACGCCATAGATAATTTTGGCCATCATGTATCCCGAAATTCGTATAGGAATAGCATCTGCAGCAGAAACTTCGAAAATAATATATAGAGACAGAAAAGGGAAACAATTATTTAATGTGCAAGTATCTATTAGGATTTGCGAGATATTGTTTCGACTGACTAAAAGTTGCAAGTCCTATCGTCTTCTTTGTAGTTGCATTAACTCTTGTTGCTGAACTTTTTGATGTACCTCTTGATGAACCTCTTCCTCTCCACCCGCTACTAATATACGAAAAATGCATTATTATATAAAAATAGTATATAAAAAGACACAATCACATCTACTTTGATATTACCTTGAGCCACCTCGTCTATACTTTTTATTGGTATTATTAGATTTACTGCCAATTTTCCGTTTCTTACCACGGCGACTATTAGTACTACTATTACGAGAATAATTGGAAGTATTGTCATCCCAGGTACTATCATTATCATCATCATCATCAATATTTTGTTCTTTATTATCTTTATCTTCGTCTAACAATACTGAAAAAAATAGATTATTCAATAATATTAAATACTATATACAATATGTAATCTTTACTCGGCGTTACAAGTTATATGTATATAATATATGTGAGATCCGTAAGAGAAAAAGAATTAGGCAATGCCTAGAAAGAGACTCCGATACTACATATATACCAATTTTCTCTGCTGCATATTTCTGTGTAATCTCTAAGAGAGCTTTGCCATATTTAATAAAGTTAGCTTTAGTGACGTGTGGTATTTGTAACATGGCTTCTTCAGTGTCTGGTAAACGTTGACTCATAGCTCTGACAGCTACCATATTCATAATAGAGGAAGCAGAAACATCCAGTGTATTAGCAATTCCTCGTATTATTGTCATCAACTCAGCATAGCAACGGTCTTGCAATTCTTTTATAATACTATCAGTTTTCTTTGTGACTGTCGAAACTACGGCTGTGCCACTCGTAGGTTTATTTGATTCTCTTATTGGGATTTGTACCTATTTGAAATTAAATAAAATACACAATATATAATAAGATGTAATAAAAAAACTTCAATATATGCTAATATATGACTTGCTTATTAATAATTAAAGTATATATTGCAAATTTTGATTCAATGGTACATTTTATATTCCACAAATATCTCTTTTTTTTATTTCATATATTACCTTTACATCTTTTCTCGTCATGAGTTGACTCGCTTTTGGTCCAATTTTTAAATATGCACAAGCAATCTCATTATTAATATACATATTTTCTTGTAAATATTCTTGCAATACCATATAATGTAAAAGACGTTCTATGTTGGTTTTGTTCCACGATTTGCCGCGACCATATAAAGGATGTGTTGTGAGACCTGTTGTTCAAGAAGAAATATTTAGATATGTATTGTCATAAAAATACTAAGTTATTATTACACATGAATTGGTTATACCAACCTAATTCTCTGATCTTTTTAAGATCGCAACCCTTAAAAATATTTGTTAAGAGTATTAGGGTAAGTTTACAATTCTTTCTGTTATTCATATCCCGTACAGCTTTCATAATCTCTTTTGCATCTTCAGTTGCATCCAACATTGTAATCTCTTCCTAAAATTAGTCAGTAATAATTTTATTACGTTATTGCAGTTATTATATACCTTGCACACCTATAACATACCTTGCATCTGCAGTTATCACATGCAGTTGTCTTATTTGAGATACACTGTTGTCTATCAAATATTTCTCCAAAGTAATTAAGCTGCAGTGATCTACGACAATCTGTAGTATTTTCACAAAATGCTACCATCTTAAATAAATTATCCATATGTGTACTAATGACTTGTGGATTTGGATTATCCAATTCGATCATCTTTCTAATCCTGTGCATGTCTGCATAATGATAAAACAAAATACATTCTGCTAACTCGCCGTCACGACCAGCGCGGCCACTTTCCTGATAATAGCCTTCTATAGATTTTGGCAGAGCTGCATGTATTACAAAGCGTACATTAGGTTTATCAATGCCCATTCCAAAAGCTATAGTCGCGCAAATAACATGTATCTAAAAAGAATATATTTATATGAGAATACAATTATGTGACAGAGTATAATTATAATTTTAAAAAATTATATATTTAAAAAGTTGGGACATAAAAATGTAAAAGAAAAACGTACTTCATCAGAGATCCATCTTCCTTGACAGTTACTTCTTTGATTATCTGTAAGTCCCGCGTGATAACTCAATGCTTTAATACCATTCTTTTTCATTTGCGCAGCATAATCATCACAATCCTTGCGTGATAAGCAATACACAATACCACATGCATTTCTAAACTTTGTCATTACCATAGCGATAACTTCGTCGGAACAATTTTTTCCTTTCTTTGAGATTATACTATACCTTAAGTTAGGCCTGTTGAAACTCGACATAAACCTAAAAGTATAGTCATTATTTCAATAGAATAGAATATATGTATATACCTATATGTGTGTCAATAGTTGTATATTAAACATACCATTTTGGATTAGTCATACCCAATTGATGCAAAATATCTGTTCTAACACGTGGTGTAGCCGTTGCAGTTAAGGCTATTGTCGGCACTTTGGGATAATTGTCTCTAAGAAATTTTAATCGCTTGTAGTCTGGTCTGAAATCGTGACCCCATTGACTGACGCAGTGCGCTTCATCGATGACAAATCTTGCTAGCAATTCTCTCTCGTATAAAATAGTTAGGGTATTACACAATTTTGGCGAGGCGGAGATTTTCTCTGGTGTTAAGTATAATATTTTAAGAACGGGTTCTTTTTTGGCGAGTTCCCTGTATACTGCTTCCGCTTGACTGTCTGTTAAAGAACTAGATAAGTGAGCTGCAGGAATCTGCAAATTTACAAGATATTAAGAAAATAAAATGAAGATAATATAAAGCAACAACTTGTATAATGTGTATAATATATATGTATATTTTTTAAATATTTTTATTATGTCTAATATATCTTTTTTTCTTACATCAAGCGAAGTAAGCTTCTGAACTTGATCTAAAATAAGACTTTTCAAGGGTGAAATAACAATTGTTATTCCAACACTTAAAAGTGCAGGCAATTGATAACAAAGAGATTTTCCACCTCCAGTTGGCATCAAAACGAAGCAATCAAATCCCAATAGAGTTGCATTAATGGCTTGCAATTGATTTGGCCTAAATGTATATAAGCCAAACCTTTGTCGAAATATCTGAAATATAAGAGAATACAATTAAAATGTGGAATAGTATATTTTTATTAGTAATTTATGAATATGTACAAAATTATTTATAATGGCATAATATTTGCTTAATTTAAATAGGAATTACTAAAAAAATATTTATACCTTTGACATTTCTTGCGAATGTGAATAAGTTAAACCATCAAACTCTCCACTAGTACCATCATTTTTATAATTACCAGTAAACTTTCCATATTCGACATTACTTTTTTCACATTTCGATTTTGTTTTAGTATCATTGTGCTTACTACTTTGTGCACAATGAATCTCTGACCAATCTATGGGTTAAAATAAAATAATTATTTATCAGATTATGCAGCATAAGTATAACAAAAACTGTATATAAAATTTGTACCTATGGAATCATCGTTTATTTCTATGTTACAATTTTCTTCCAATGCTGGAAATTTTTCCAACTCTTGTGTTAATGTGCTAACTTTCGCAGGAACTGTATAACAACTACTGCCTATAAAATATTTTCTCATTAAAAATCTTTAATATAAAAAGGATTAATGTTTTACGTATTATCTATCTTACCCTGAGAATTACTAGTATTAATCCAATTATTTGGACTTTCTTTAATGCTGTTTATTTGCATAGATGTATTTATTTCAGTCCTTGGTGGTGTCTTAATACTGTCATTAAATGTATCCTGTATGGATAAGGAAACATTGTCAGTATCTATTGAAGAATCTACTGTCATTGACATTTGTTGATCCTTCTCCCACATTTCTGCTATTGTTTTAGAAACTTGAGTACTTAATACTGTTTTGATAGGTCTTTTTAATTGAAAAGTGCTCTTCTTATTTGGAACTGTAGTTTCAAATGATTTAATTGCTATTGTGGATTCCATATTACTATCATGCTTCTTTGTATGTGATTCCATTATATTTGATAAGTTTTCATGACAGTCTATTATTTTAGATATTGAGGTACTCGATGTATCAAAATCATTATTTGTCAAATAACTCTGTGAAACTGGTTTTTCATTTGATGACAAAGATTCAGGCGTTTCCGAAAATATGGATGCATCATGTTCATCTTCTTTTTGTAATTTTGATAATCTTGTCTGCATTAAACGCATTTTAGCTTTTACATGTCGATGTAGGCCTTGTAATTTTATGAAAGCATCTCGATCAAACTTTGGAAATTGTTCCAGTACTGGTAATGGGATCAATTCAAGTGCAATATAGAATTTATCAAGAATTTCAATTTGAAGATCCTTTAAATTTTCGTGTCTTTGCAGCAACTTATCCTTTGTAGTCTACATATAATAATCAGAAATAAATAAGTAATTAATATCTATTTCTGATATCTCACATTAATCAATATTAATTTACAATATAAAACTTACAGGTATTGTGGACATTACTGGTTTCTTTCGAATAGATTCAATCCATGAATTTAACTGCTTATTTAAACCTAAATCTTTAAGATTTAATCTAGGATCAGGGCCTACCCATTCCTTTCTTGGGGATTCCTTGCTACTGCACTTTGAGCGAGGACTATCGGTATCAGAATCTGAAATTATATTATTGGTCTTTTGTTTATTACTGATGTGTTTCTTCTTAGGAGTCCATAGATGTTCATTTTCTATATTTTTTGGTGTAGCATTAGTGACCTCATTAGATTTTTCTCTATTTAATGTTGGACTGTTGGGAGGAAAATGTTTGCTATTACATTCAGTATAGTGATTAATTTCTGATATAATAGTCTGTTTTTTCTCATCTTTTTCTACTTTGTTTGATTTTCGATTTAACTGCAAACATTTTTTAACATTTTTTCTATCTTCCTCACTATCAGAAGATTCAGGAATAAAAGAAGTATTTGCAGAATATTCTTCTGTATTCTTCTGTAAGAGATTTGAAGATTTTGTTCCTTTTTCAATTCTCTCCTTTTCCTCTATTGAATTTTCAACATAATATGGCTTTGTGTGTGAAGATTTTATTTCTTTCTCAATTCTTTCTTTTTCTTCTATTGAATTTTCAACATAATATGGTTCCAATATGTCATGAATCTTATTTGCTTCTGTTTTAAATGGACTTGTGCATGAATCTGAACTGGATGAGTCTGAATTATCCTGTTAATTTAAAATAATGAAATAGTATAAGTTGTTTTGTAATTAAGTAATACTGTTTTGTAATTAATCGTTTTGTGAATCATATGTTTAATAAATTATACAAATATATAAATTAATTGATGACAATATTATAATTATAAAACAAAATTATAGCTTACAAAATCTATTATTGAATTTATTGTTACCAAATCTCCAGCCACCTTTTTTGGTTTATCAGAACACAAATCATTGAAAGAGTCATTATTTGAATCAATTTGCTCTTCTTTCACTTTTGGTGTACTAAAAAATAGTAATAATTTCTATCATCCTTTTAAGAAATATATAAATATATATTTATTAATATATTATATTTAATCATCAAATTTATAAAAATTAATATGTATCATACATATATAACTTAAGATATTTTCTTAAAGTCCAATAAATTTGATTTACCTAGACTGCAGAATATTCTTTTTATTTGTTGTCTTTGCTAAAAATCCCACAATTGTAGATTGGATATTCTTTTGACCAAGCACCTTCTTTGACATTATTAATACAATTTTTAAACAGCCACAAGAAATTCACGCATATAATGCGTTTCATTCGATTATTTTATCTCTTTGAGACAATTATTATATCAAACACACACTATGTTCAACTAGGCAGTGTGTGGCAGTGTAAACAGTAGAATCTTTGAAAATTACAAAACATACATATATTAATAAAATTCTAGAATTATATGCAAATAAATATGAAACGTCATTAAAAAGAAAAAAATCAAACAGACAAATATACATTACGTACGTACAGTAACATAACACATTTAACGCAAGTAAAACATCCTATATAACATTCAGGTTAGGAACATGTCATGTCAAGTATGTCGCACATTGACACATGGAATAACGATATTAAATAGTGAACTGTCAAAGAATGTTATAAGATTATAGAGAAGATAAAATGATAGAAAAATTAAATAACGACATGTGAAACGAGCGTGTGATGTGATTTGGCTCTCCCGCCATTAATCATTAATCGAGATGAACTGGAGCCATTTTGACGCGATAATCGCACATCTTCACACATTTTTCAAAGTTGCATTCGAAAATCTGCAAACAATCTTTAATTCCGATTGGTCAATCAACGTCGTTCGATCAGACGAGGAGATCATTTATTGGCTGTCGCGTTATCGAGGCTTCACCTTTCGAAACCAATAGAAAACATGGATTTTAATGAGATTTTTGTTCCTAGAATAGAAACTCTGCTATTGGACAAAACGTAACTACACGAATTCAGCTGCAAACTCAAAATTCGCAATCGATAGTCTGCGATTGTAATATGAGAACGCGCCAAAAAAGTGATGTTTTGACAGAGCAGCAGGTGTTATACAACTATAATATAAACACGCATTACCGAGCATCGAGCATCTAATGACGCTCGCATAATAATCGATGACGAAATTATCATGATCAAAAAACTGCACTCGATTAGCTCAATGCTGACAATATCTCGCCTCACAGAAAAGTGAAATGTGTCATTCCATGACGTGGACATGAAAATGACGTGTGTAAAAAAAACTATGTAATCGACAATTATAAATAATTGCTAAAATTGTTACACGTAAGCAAGGTCATCACATAATACATTTAGTTTAAAGCTTTATGTATTTATGCGTCAAATGTTTCAAAAATTTGTCAAAAGAATCATATTTTGCACACGTTTATCGATTACACGCGAAATATGTAGAAACAATAAAATGAGCTCTCTGATGTAGAATATCAATTTTATAGATGAATGATTAAGTTAATATATGCACAGTTTCAATATCGTAATTTTCTTCAATTGGCTACCACCACTTTATCATTATGAGTGATATAAGAGCACGTGTGACCGGATTTCCTTCTTCAGTCACAGTGGGTCAACCGTAGAGATCATATAGTTTATAACAATTTTCACACACATCTGTTACTATTGTGCATCAGTATCTGGCTGTGTACACAATTTTGTCTTTATTATATATAGATTTCTTAATGAAATAATATCTTATGTGCTTGTAGCAATTTTTTATCTCCCCAAAAAATCTATATATTTTATTCCTTTTTATACAGAGAAAGTATATACTCCAAGTTTCTAAAATTCAAATTTTATCTACAACTTTATATAAACAAATTTCAGCTATATTTAATATTTTAACAATATTTTATTAATATTTTAATGAGAAAAGAAAAAAGTATTTAAATAAAATTAATACTTAAAAAGGAAACTTGTTTCCATAAATCGTACATCAAACTATGAATGTATGTGAAGAATATCTTAACATTACAATAGATGAAGATAAAATTATCGATGGTGCAAGAGATGTTATAAAGAGGATTAGACCATCCTGGCCTATACAAGAATTGAATTTCAAGGTAATACAATAATCAAAATTATTTTTATAATATATATAATAATATAAAATCTATCAAAGATAAATAATATATATGTCTTTTTAAAAAAATATGATTATTTGCCTCTATTTATACACATTTTTATTAAACATTTATTTATTGATAAATATTCATTTTTCTCATTAATATGTGACAGTTGTTTTTTGTAGAAAACATATTTGTATATAATATTAATCATCTTTATTAATTTTATTAAATATCTTTAATATTAATAATTGTTTACAAATATACTTGATAAGATCAATAATTATAAATATTTTTTTCTTTTGTATTAGCCATTTACCGATGGAAAAACAAATAAATTGGTAGGAGTTTGGTATGCAGGGCATTATACAGATATGGTCCTGATTCGAATTTATGGTAATAATTCGGATTTACTGATTGATAGAAAAGATGAATTAAAAAATATTCGGGTAAAGATTTTATTAATTTTATATATTATTATATTCTATTTTCTCATATTACTGTTGTAATTAATTAAAACTTTCAAATTTATGTATTTATGTTTGACCAAAATACTTTAACATATATGGTCAGTAATTATAATATATATGGAATAAATATTTTTGTATAGATATTGAACAAGGCTGGCTATACTCATTGCATTTATGCTACATTTAATAATGGATTTGCCTATCAATTCTTGGAAGGTGAAACTCTAACTTTAGAAACAATTAGGGACCCGAAAGTGTATCCATTAATTGCAAGACGTATGGCTGATATGCATAGTCTTGAGCCTGAAACTGGACCTGAGTCGAAGAAAGCTTTTATTTGGGAAAAAACAAAGAAATTTATGCAAATTATGCCCAAAAAGTTTTCAGATCCTCTCAAGCAAGAAAAGTAAGCAAGAATTATGAATTAGAATCTTTTTCTGGATATCATCTAAAATATATTCAGAAAATATTCATTTGCTCCAATTCTTATAATATCTTTTACTTTAAGGTTTGAAATGTTGATTTTACCATATGCAGAATTAGAAAAGGAATATTATTTATTGGAGAAAACACTTTCAAAAGTGAATAGTCCTGTAGTATACGCTCACAATGATCTTTTATTAGGAAATGTACTGTACAATCAGGAACAGGAGAATGTTGTTTTCATCGATTATGAATATACCGCATTCAACTATCAAGCATTTGATATAACTAATCACTTTGCGGAATTTGCTGGTAATTATATACTATTTTTCAAAGTATTTCATGTTTTCTTTCACTTCAAAAGTACTGAATTAAAAAAGGTATTTATTTGCTTCATTTCTAATTAATTAAGTGTCTGTGCATTATATAAGATTTTACACACATATATTTAAGGTATTGATGAGCCAGATTATTCTTTATATCCAAATGAAAATTTTCAAAAGCATGGTTGAAAGAATATCTTCAAAGGTATAATGTGACTAGTAATGTGTCTGAGAAAGAAATTAATAAATTGTACTGGCAAGTTACTAAATTTGCTCCCTTGCCACATTTCTTTTGGGGCTGTTGGGCTCTCATCCAAAGTGAGCATTCACATATTGATTTTGATTTTTTGGAGTAAGTATAAATACTTGTTGCAAAGAACAAAAAAATACAAGAATGTCAAGTTTGATAAAATAGTAAACAATGAATTAATTTCTTTAATAAAGTAGAGTAGAACTATATTAATTAAATATCTTTTTTCTGAAATTATATGTACAATACATTTTTTTAAATTGTTTTCAGATATGCTGCAATACGTTTTAATGAGTATTTCAAGTTAAAGGAAGAAACCTCTAAATTGAAAATGGAATATGACAATTAAAAATAACATTTTTTAAAACACATTCCAGCATAGAAGCATTTTTTAATACTCTCTCTAAATACACATTAGAGCTTAGATTTGACATTCTACTGACACAAATATTGTGTAAATATGAATGATATATTGTATATATATTGTGTATATTGACCACTATATACAATTTATAATATACATATTATTTTATTACTAATTAGAATTGTGATATATGTATATAATAAATGCATTTATGAAAAATAAATAAAAATATCAATAAACAAGTCTAAAATTAGTTGTCTTTATTAGAGAGTTCTGTGCTAAATATATTTTATATATTTCATTAGTATAAGTATAAATATCTATAAAAGAGCTGTTAAAATTGTTAAAACATATACGTTAGTCATCAGCTCAGATTATTGATATGAAATTGTTCTCAATATGATAATATAATGATAATATTCTATGTATATATATATATATATATATATATATATTTTTTTTTTATTAGTAAGTACAAATATCTATAAAAGAGAGGAGCAGTTGAAATTATTAAAACATTAGTCATCAGCTCATTGTCAGATTATTGACACAAAATTGTTCTCAATGATAAAATATTTTATATGTCAATAAGATATATAAAATTGATTATAAATCCTATACGCATATATATATCTCACGTTTTTCGTTATCAAATTTTAATCTCTCAAATAATAACAACTCAATCTTTTTATCGGGCTATTCTCTGTAAACTACAAATACGCAGATATATATAATTCCTGTTTTAACGATAATAATAGAAGATAACGTAGATTTAACAACCACAAGTGCGCTACAAAAAAGTTCTTTCGTAAAGATAAATATTCATCTATTCACGAACACGGAGAAACAAAATTATAACGATAACACGTATTTAATGAAGCTCGCAAATAACACTTTTCAAGGCCATTGTAACTTCATAAGTCAATATGTAAGCTTACCGGTTCTTGATATATGTTAATAAATTTTATTATTTTATTTTTTTTTAATTATCTCGTACACTCTTTTTTCTCCTTTTTATATTTAAAATAAAACTACTGTAGATTTCAGATTTTAATGAGAAACGATCAGACGTGCGACTGTAAAAAGTGTAGCTAGATCTATAAACATATATATATATATATATATTTTGCATACAATATATATATTGTATACAAGTTTTTTTTCGAATAATTACACACTTTTTTTACGTGTTTGACATTTAAAATAAAATAAAAACCAGACTAAAATTGTGTTCAGAAAATGTGATAAAACCAATAATAAATATATATAGGTTCAATCTTTAATTGCACTTTCTTCTGGATTTAAAGGGAAACAATAAGTATATATATATATTGTTTTTTGGCGAGAGAGAGAGAGGGAGAAAAAGTGCAGCTGAAAAATGTGTCCAACCGATTCTGTAATTTAATGTTTATGCAAATAATATTCCGGTACAGAAGCAGTATATAAAATTTCCAATACATATATATAAATTACAGTATGCTTTGTCTTTGTCGCGCTAATCGCTCTTCAGTCGATCAATTGACTAGCGAGTGTGTTTTTGTTCGGCTTTGCGATCGTCGCCGTCGCCACTGCGCACGTCTATAAATCGCATTTATTTTTAGTCTCGCTCTCCGGGTCGCCGAAAATTTTCATAAACACTCGCCTTCCCTCTCTCGTCGTGTCGCCACATACATATCAACAGGATCGCCCGACGACGACGACATCGTGTGCGAATAACACATTCCGACCGATTCCCTGCTTCGATGTAAACATATATACGAGTGAAAGTAAACATTGTAATAAAGGAGGCATGCGATCCGATTATTCGAACATCCTTTACGAATTGTTTGTGAAACAATAACGATCCACTTGCTTCGTCGCTCAGAATTTTTTAAAACCGAGGCTCCTATATATATACATATATATATGTATATATATACACACATATATAATATATATATATATATATATATTGATTGTTGCGAGACGGCAGCTTTTTTGAACGAAACATCGGCAGAAGCTCATCATCTCGTTGTTCTATTTTATTCTCCCGTATCTCTTTCGAAAAATCGAGCCGGCGAGTCGTCAAGAAATTCGCGAGTGGAGCAAAAGCGCGCGACAGAATCCCGCTTCCCTCCGAGCGAGAGATCAGCTGTTTTCAGCCGAGTACTCCGAGTAGGTTGATCAAGGATCTCCGAAGACGAATTCTCGAGAACGGAGAAAAACAACGGAACCGATTTTTCGATCGAGAGTGCTGCGAGTGCATGGGTCAAAGTGGCGGACCGCGCATTTCCGAGTTCTGAAAGAAAAAAAACCAGCGCTCCTTAATTACTCGCTCATTTCTCAAGATGCACATCACCTGCAAGTGCCTGAACGTGTCCATCAGATCCAGGAGCACCGAACTGCAGCGGCTTAATATCGACAACGTCGAGATGACTGATCTGGAACGAGCCGATGCCTTCTTTCGCGAAGTAAATACCCAATTTTTCTCTCTCTTTCTTTTTCTTGAAGCTGTGAATACGATTAAAAATTCGAGAAAAAAATAATTTAAAAAAGTAATGAAATTTGCGAATATGTATATGTATGCGCAAGTTTATGTCGTTCATTTTTTTCTCTTCCTCGGTTTTTATAGCAAAGTTAATTATGATCGATATGCATCTATTTGTCCACGTTATAAATACAAGAAAAAATGTTTCTTAACTCAAAATCATAAGTTTGAATTTATTGAAATTGTGATTTTCTTACAATATGTAATGATAATAACTTGAGGCAATCATTTTTTTTAGTTGTTTGACACTTGTCAAATGTTATCTTTTATCTTTTGTATATTCTTTGTGATTGTTGCATACAAAATGTTTTATCTAACATTTGTACAAAAATATTAATAATTAAAAAACTTTTGTACAACATCTTTCTTTATCTCATAAAAAGTATTTAAGGAGACTTGTTCTTTTTATATTTTTTCAAAATAAAATTTGCAAGAACAGTTTATATATATTATAGTCAATATATTGTCTAATCATAATTGCAACAAAACAATTAGAATTAGATATATTATGTAATATTTAAGTATTGTAAAGATTGGTTTTTAATTTTTTTTACAGGATCTAGCTAGTGTACCAGAATTGGAGACTATTACTAAAGAACAACCTGGTTTAGTGGAAATAAGAAATATTGGAACATGGATTATACATCGTTGTTATAATTGCTCAATTTATACCCACGCTGTCCATAGAGAACATGGTGCTGCTTTAGTCCTCATTAATAGCAATATCGTTGTAAGTTTCAGACATATCAGGATATGATAATTTACAAGTTGACGAAATTCCTCTTACACATGTACATACTGTATAAATAAGTTTTTCTCATTTAATGCATTAACTTGCTCTACCTATTTATTTACTATCAACAACATGGTAATCATATTTTTCTTCCATTTTAGTTATCTCCTGAAGAAATAAATAAATTAAAATCAAATCCAGATTACAGTCCAGTGTTTAGGATAGTAATTAATCACAGTTTAGAAGATCTTGATGACTATTTACAACAGCCTAATAAATTTTCTGGTGAGTGAACAGTTGACAACATCTAATTTTATTGTATTTGACAAAATAATCTTCAATATAAGATTAAATGTTATATATTTTTTTTTACTTATCTAGTTTCACAATTACCTAACACAGTTCAAGTGGCCCTAGGTGGATTGCAACAACAATTGGAGGAGGCTGTACAACGTCAAACAGTAGCAATAGAAAATAAAATATGTGCGTTTACTGCGGAACAATATCAGCTATTGGAACAATTTCGTGAAAGAGCGCATAACGATCATAGACTGTTATCAAAGTATGATCCTTAACAGTAAATTATTTTGCAAGTTTGTTACCACACATTGTTTTTGCAATAATAATCATGTAATTTTTTTTGTTCATTATTAGATTAGTGTCTAGAGGAGAAGAGATAAATAGGGTAACTAGTGATGTAGAAATTTCACCAGTAATTCCTGACAGCTTTAAGAATACTTTAACTACCTCTGCAGCTAATACAGTTAATCCCAAGTCCAATTTAGTATTCAATGATGTGAAAATTTCTACTGATTTGAATGTTAAAAGTGATATCATTGCTAAAAATACTTCTAAAGATTCTACTAATGTAAGTCACTTTTGCTATTTTAAATTTTCCAAGCACTATTTGATTTATTTGCAAATATCTCATTATTATTATAATTATTAATATGCCTGAATAATAAATTTTACAGAATGAAAATACGAAGAAGAAAAATCCATTATATATTTGTACTAAAGAATCAGCCAGTTTCGATACAGAAGCGTTGTTTCCTTTTGAGGGAATAGAAGATACAGATGCAGCTAATCAATTACATCAGTGGTCTTCGGAAGAGGGATCTGATACCGATGGTACGATGTATTATCGATTTTTAATAATAAAACTATACAGTAATAATTTATATAGATTTATATTAATATAATTATTTGTTCAGATTCAAGTCAAAATGAAGGGATTCATATGCCAAGAGGTCAACGAGATGGTCACTCCACTTTAGCTAAGTCACTACCAGTCACTGTACCTGCTTTTCCATCTATTCGCCGTGCAGTACAGGACCAAAATGATGATCAGGTAATATTCTATAAAACTTTTCATTTTCGATATTGTATTGCAAAGGGTACCTACAGTTTTTATTTTTTCGTGACTACATACTTATTTAATTGTTTATTTAAGAAATCTCAATATTATGATATGTAGATCTCTATATAAGATACAGGGTTTGTCCGGAAAGTAATGCGTCGCATTTTTTTGTGACGCGACTATACATCGCAGAGCGATGGGACCGGTTGGGGAGGAAGGGGGGTACCCTTAGCTTTCCAACGGTAGGTCGCTCAATTGTTTCCATGCGCTTGGAGGGTTAGAACGGCTTATTCTGTGAACCTCTGCTTAGTGGTCGCGTCGAACTTGTGATGGAGAGAACGATAGAGCAACGCTATGCGATAAAGTTTTGCGTGAAGCTGGACAAGACGCCGCTGGAAACTTTTGAAATGCTCAAGAAAGTTTTCGGGGACGATTGCCTTTCCAAATCGCAGTCAAACAGATGGCACAAGATGTTTAGAGAAGGTCGGAAGGAGGTCGCCGACGAGGCCCGCGCAGGACGCCCGTCAACATCGCGAACGGACGACAATGTGACTCGTGTGCGCCAATTATTGAATTCAGACCGTCGAATGAATGTTCGCTTAATGTCGGAATTATTGAACGCATAGCGTTGCTCTATCGTTCTCTCCATCACAAGTTCGACGCGACCACTAAGCAGAGGTTCACAGAATAAGCCGTCCTAACCCTCCAAGCGCATGGAAACAATTGAGCGACCTACCGTTGGAAAGCTAAGGGTACCCCCCTTCCTCCCCAACCGGTCCCATCGCTCTGCGATGTATAGTCGCGTCACAAAAAAATGCGACGCATTACTTTCCGGACAAACCCTGTATGTTATTAAATATTATATATAATTAAAAATTTATATATTTAAAATTACAGTTGCCAACCGATCCGTTAGATCCGCACAATATTCGAGCTTCAATTAAAGCCTTAGCTAAAAGTGTCCATGGTGATACAGTGTTTGGAGACTTACCACGTCCCAGGTTTTCTACTCAGATCTGACTTGTCATGCATGACGAAGATCCACTCGGCACTTTTCAATGTTTTTGATATAATATATCATGTTTATTGATGTACTATACACAGCAGACTGAATTTTATTATTATCATTACTTCAAATTGCAATTTAAAGGCTATATTCAACTCATAGTGCTGTAATTGTAATCGATAGTAAATAATTGTTTATGCACTACATTTCATTGCTAATATTCATCATAGTTATATTGTTACAAACATTTTACAACATTTTTTCTTATATTGAAAATTAAAGCACTATTGATAAATGCAAAAATGGTGTCAATTATGCATATAAATACAAATATTTTATAAAGAGAATTATAATAATTAATATAATGTATGAAAAGACACAGTGCAAGTGCGTAATTATAATTATATATATATATATATATATATATATATATATATATATATATAATAGGAGAAAGGGGATTTATATTCACTATGTAATTTTTTACATAAAAGTTAAGATTTAAAACAGATCGTTAAAAATATTTCTAATAACATTATTTTATTATAAAATAACTTTGATAACTTTTTGTCTGCAATTAATTTAAAAATATACATTTTTGATTAAATGTTATTAAAAATATGCTGTGTAAAAAAATTTCTCTTTCTGTATTTTATGATAGCAATACCCTGATTTAGCAAAAATCAGATGAAATATTTCATATGTTTCTGCTTTTATGTGAACATTACATGCACATTCACACACATACATTTATTTATTTAAAAAGGCATATTATCGATTTAAATTTATTTTTCATGAGACATTTTCAAAAAATATTACTTGTAAAAAATTTTCAAAATGCAATATATTCTAATAAATTTTTTTCTATACATTAAGGGGAAAAATGTAATATATGAAATGTAATATTAATTTTTATACTTTTTTGTAAATTATAATTTGATTGATTGTGCATGTGTGTCTGTATATGCTTTGAATGGTTAATAAAACCATTTTAAATATTATGTAAACGCTGATGTAATCTCTCTTTGTAATTTTTAAATCAACAATAGTTTATGTAATCGAGCAATATGATTATAATTTATTCATAAGAGAGAAGTAATATATATACACACACACACATATATACATTTTTATTTCTTTAACTTACGAATAAATTTATGATCATTATTACTTGATTATTGTATGAACCATTATTGATTTAAAAATAAAAAATTATAAATGTGCATGAAAAACTACTAAAAAGATTGAAATTGTGACTACCAATTTTTAATATATTTTGCATATTATAAAAATCTTAGTCATAACCTAACATTATTTACCTTGCAGAGCTAATTTACATAAAAGAATGTAATATGAAATAGCTAACAAACTTTTTCTTTTGTACATTAAATATAAATGTATATTCATAATTTTATTAAAAAAATTTCCTTTATACATATAACAGACTTGTTTTATAAATCTTCAGATACAAATGTAATACTGCAACATAAGTTATTTCTGTTCTTTTATTTGTTTACATCATTTTGTAACTAAATTTGATGAGATAATTGTATAAATGTTTGGTATATATTAGAAAAAAATTGTTTCAAATATTTAAAACTTCCTATTATTTGTGTTTGGACATATATGTATATATAATTACAATTATATATCATTTCGTGTACTACCCACATGTGGAATTTTTCGATACTGTCAGTGAACAAGACTAGCTTTATTTTTTGCTACAAGTTCCATCTGTGCAGCAGCTACAGTCTTCATTCCATCTTGCACAGCTGAAAGATTAGCTTTCCACGAAACAAGTAGATCTCGTAATTGCATCCATTGTGGACGACCAAACGTTCTATGCATTGTGCTAGAGATTAACACTTTGCGGCCAGCCTGATCCATGCGAGCTCTTACAAGTTTAGTTTTCAAAACTAGAATAAGCAATAATTATTGCATTAATATTATTTATATCACACGAGAAAAAGTAATTTCTATCTCTTTTACATTAAATAGTAACAAATTGTTGAACGTCTCGATAACTCAGTAAAAATACAATTCAACCAAGTCAGTACAGATCCATTTAATATGTCCTGGTTTAAGTCAATTTTCACTTGAATGAATCAATAGTGAAAACTATTATGTAAACAGGACACAATTATATGACTTATAGCAAAAGAATATATTTTCTACAAATATTAAAGTAATAAATATATAATAAGTCAAGTAAAAACAGCTTACCATCAATTATGAAGCTTTCTACTTCAGATTCACTAATCTGTAATTCTTCTTGTATTGTATCAAAAGACATTTCTGGATTTGTTTCTGCAAGTTGCATAAAAGTCAACAACCTCATCTTCTTCATATTTTGCTCATGATTTAATCCTATAAAAGAAAGGGAAAGATGCATAATCAATCTTACTGCCTAAATTAATTCAATATTTTTAATGGCTTTGTAAGTTGTTATGTACCAAGTTGATGCTCAACAAATTCTCTATGATGTTGATAGAAATGTAAATATGCTGGCAATTTATCTTGTACAAACACAAGAAGTAAATCGTGTATCAATTCGCCTTCTAAAAATCTCACAGGTTTTAAAGCCAACAGTGGATCTAGTAAAAATGTATTAGGATCTGCTAATGCAGCTAATATACAACGTTGAGCATCTTCTCTTGCCGCGGAAGCATTTTCTGCTGTATAAGTTCCTAACAATTCCACCATGACAGCTGCTGCTTGTTCTCTAAAAGATTATAGTTTTTTTAAAATAAAATATATATTTCTATATAAACATAATTATTTCTTTTTTTTAAGAATTAAATATTTTCTGTATCAAGCATAAAATAAAGATGAAGATAGTTACCCCTGTTTGCAACTTAAAAGAACTTCATGTAACAAACGTAGTAATTTCTGCATTTGTTCATTTGATGGTGGAAAGGAAGCAAATTGCTGCTTTAATTGATCTATTCCACTGTACACAGCTTTTACTTGATCAACATTGCGAGCTATTTGTACCAAGTGATAATAAACATGATATCTCATTGGAGAATCATCAGCAAGAGATTGAAATAATAGCCATAATCTGTAAACACAAATCATTTGTTAATATATTAAACTAAATATGTTAAATTAAAACAAAGTAAATACAAGAACATAAAAGATATATTACGCTTTTAAGCAAACTAATCCAAGCTTGTATCCAGGTGCTTTTACAAGTTTCTCACAGAATGCTAAAATTAAATTTTCAGCGCGTTCCGTAGGTATCTGAAATAATAACAATATAATATATAAAGATAAAAAGAAATTGCACAAACATTTATTATTTGTAGTAATGAGAATAAAGTATGCCAAACTTACCAAAATCATGATAGAAACAATATCATTCAATACAGTTTCTATTTCGTTTTCGTTTCCTTCTTTGAAACATGCTTCGCATACTCCAATAATTTTGTGTAAATCATCTTCTATACCTTTAGGAGATTTCTCTTCGCTAATTTCTGCACCGAGGCTTTTAAAATATACCCTCAGTTCTTGTGCCTGATTATAATATTCAATTAGTATATAAAACGTATAAAATATATAAATATATAAAACGTCGAGGCATCAATAATTTTCGAGTTATAAGTAGTTGAAAGTAAGGGGTTTTTTGCAAACTAAGTCTTGTGGAAATAAAATATTAACAAAATCACATTCTTTTATTAATTTCATGTAAAGTACTTTAATAGAATTTTAATTTAAGGCTTAATCACGAAGATGCATGATGGCAAAAATTGGGAAAGTGCAAAAAAATGATAGTCTTCCTCGACATTTTTGCTAAGGAAAAATCGTCTCCAAATGATGCCAGGAATCTGCCATCAACAGGTTTACTATTAATTTTGGGACACCCTGTATAAGAGCTGTGTTTTTACACAGAACTGAAATCTATTTTGTAAAAATTAGAAAAAATAATTAAAGTTGCAAATAACCCGTTACATTCTAATCCGGCTTTTACAAATACATATTGAAGGTGAATATCTAAGGAAATTAATGTTAACCACGTCATTTAATTTTGTATATTTACCTGGTCGTCTAACGGCAATTCCATGAAAATTGGTGGCACCTGCATTTTGACAAACTATGAATATGTTTCACTCTAATAAAATTCCAATGATAGAGATTAAATCGTATTAAATATGCGGCTAAATAAATACGCGAGCACATGCACGCGTAACCGTAGCCGTCAAGATGTCGAAAGGGGCTTGACAGTATGGCCAATTGTGAGAAATGACTTTTTAGTTAGGGGAAAATTAACTTAGGGACATTTAATATCCTGATCCTGATACTGATTACTGATTGGTGGATGATTCCTCGCTTCACGTCATAACTCTTTCAAAGCAGCAAAAGGAGCACAAGTGTTCTCGCCTGGTTCGTGTTCTCCTAACGTAACATCAAACGCATCCTTTATCAAAAGTAAAAATTCTATACATTTCAATTAATCGCGTAATATCATGCATTTTATGTACAGCAGCCTTTAGCGCGATCATGAATTCGCTACAAATGATCGAAACTCTCCCAGCGAGCGTCATTGAGCGCTGTCGAGCGCCTAACGTCAGACGTCAGACCGCGTGGAGGGGATCGACGCCAACTTCACGCTCCCTCTCCCTTTTCTAGTCCGCCTCGTCGCCGCGCCGTTGCTGTGCGCCGCGATCGAGCGAACGGCGAATCGACGAGCAACAGCAGAGAGTCGCGGAGCAGCAGCTAGTAGTGAGAGCCAGCCAGTCGCGGGGGCACGCGGGGTCAGTCAGCCGATATATTATGTCAAAGCGAGACGCGGCGTGAGCGCGTACATTATTCGTATATTTATTCCTGCGAGCACGCGGGAGTGTCGTTCGATCTCTTGGGAGGTTCTTTTTTTTTTTTTGGCGAGTGCAACAAGACCAGCCGGATGCGTGCGAAACGCACGTTCGCCGGCCGTTGATCATCCCGGAGGCCAAGTACATCCTGGATGCGAATGTGCTCTCCTCACGGTGTTTTGTCCTCTTCGGCGCGTCCCTCTTCCCGAAAACGCCGCTATGCTGACTCTGCAACGTCAATTGTGAGTATATCGCAACGTGTACGCTTAAGTGTCTCATTAATATGCATATATTTTTTGTCGCGTGTTTGTTGCAATCGCACGCATTTAGAAATCCAGATACCTATTTTTCCCTTTTTCTTGGAACAAGACGTTATACGTGTACTTTGTAGCAGCTGATCGACATGCTTACTTTATATATACTTGCTATGATTTTTTTAATTTTATTTTGCCGACAAATTTTAAATTAACGTGACAATTCATAATTAATGTCGAAAGGGATAAATTTGTTCGTCGACCGATCAGCTGTTGTTGAATATTGATTCACATTTATTGCGCGAGGCTTGAATTATTAATCATCGAGACTTGCAAACGTTGGAAGTTATCGCTGAAATTCGAGTCTCTACATTTCTATAAAAAATATTGTGCCTTGAGCGAATCAATGTATTGTTAGCATTGTGTTTGTGTAGAAAAAGTGGAAACTGTACATGTATATTGCAAAAAATAACGCTTTAATGAAGCTATTTAAATTTAATTAAATGAAGCTTTAGTATTTTATCTCTAATTTCTACATGAAGATTGTTCAAAATAATATTGAAGTAGTATATATTTTTAAATGCAAACTGCTATTAAATTGTCTTTAATTTTACTGATATATATTTAACACATATATATTTATTATATTTTACACCAGTAAAATATAATAGATATTGATTATACATAATTATAATCTAATTTTGATATTTACAATTTGATATCTGTAGGAATATTTTTTCATATATAATAATGAAAAAATATGCATAAATTATACAAAATGCATATCAATTGAAAGTGAAAAGGGAAAGCCTTGTTTATAAGGCATGAATAAAATTATTTTAAGTATTTATTTTTAAAAAAGTTATAATGTACATATATATGCTCTTACATCATTATAATTTTTAATATTGTATTTCTAATTACAAAAATATGTTCTCATTACATTTTTCATATTCCGAAATTATCGCGAAATTCTCTGAAACAATCTGTATTTTATTATCTCGATTAACTTGGAATCTACTTCTATGAATATTATTAATTGTGGAATGCCGATATGGAGCATCATCTATCAATTAAATGCGATAAAGACATTTAAGTATTTTTTTTTTTAAAGTTTTAATATACATATATGCTCTTACATCATTGTATTTTTTAATATTGTATTTCTAATCTTAAAAGTTGTGTTCTCGTTACACTTTTCATTCCGAAATGATCGCGCAATTCTCTGAAACAATCTCTATTTTATCTCGATTAGATTGGAATCTATTTCTATGAATATTATTAATATATTATTGTGGAATGCCGATATGGAGTATCATCTATCAATTAAATGCGATAAGGACGTGTTTGCAAATGGATTGTATGACGCGTGAATAAACGTTGATGATCATGATCTAGGCACGAACGAGATGTACAATTCGAATTCATTGGTTCAAACACGTTCTCGTTGTGGTTTCGTGTGTCTCGTTTAAATATTCATGTTACTCCGGTAGACTCGAGTTAATTGAACTATTGGACGCTGTCTTCATCTCATTCCGTCGTCGTCGTCGCCGCAGTCGCGTTACGAGGAGATCGGTCAATTTCCCGATAAAGTTCACATGGATGTTCACATCCGCGTGCGATAAAACTTACGACTTTATCGATTTTCATATTTTATTATAGGTCATAAACATTCACTCGACACGTTAAGACTTTACCGATTCTCTGTTTTTTTTCTAGACACAAATTAAAAAAAAGAAGAGAGCGAGAGAGCGATTTTTCCATTTTTTCAATATATATATATATATATATATATATATATATATATATATATATCGAAATCATTAACGCTATCGAAGAAATAAATAAATAAAGTAATTATAGGGACAAGAAACATTATTTTTCATAGTTATGGAAATGTATGTCTTTTTGCGATTAATTTGTTTCATGCACGAAATTTTAATGAGATTAACAAGATCTTCACATTTCTTCCGAATCGATCGGTCCATTCACAATCAATCTATAAGCAGTAAACTCGCTTTAAAATCTCGAATTTCGCACTTTAATCAATACTGTCGCGTGTTGCACATGGCAGGGAATTCTTCCGATTACTATCGCACACTCGGCGAGTTTCGTCGTTGCTTTTTGAAATGGATATTGAAAAGAATACATTCACTTTTACTTAGGTGCTTTCGCGTACTTTAATGGAACGTATAAATTCATTAAATTTTGTTGGATTTTTCTATTTATTCTTTATTTCGAATTTTTTTGTGCTTATTGGTGAACGATAACCACGTCATATCGTAAACATTCGCTTTCTTTATAATCGATATTCCCATTGAGAGAGAAATTAATATTATTTTTAATACTTAACTAAATTAGGTAATTATCGCCTAGAGCCACTTTATTACGACAGAAAAATACGTGGAATGTAACCGGTAATTTCGAAAGAATTTTTCGAAAGGTAGTTTCTTGAAATTATAAGTACGATCTCTGTCTAATTCCTTCTTATGCTCTAAAATGTTTGGCTCGAGAGTTGCTTTAATATCTTGAGAATTGGACTTAATTAGTAAATTCTACTAATTAGCAGAATCGACATAGTTCTTTCAACCAATTTTTTTTATTTACTAACATTGATAAGATTTCGGAATCGGAACCAATTAAATTATACACATCGATGAAAATAAATGATTTCGCGATTTTTAAAATGCTTTCACATTTTGCATTCCATAACAATATCTTTGTCGCTACAACAATATGTCAGACCTAGAATGACCAATATTAATCTAAATTAATTTTCTTCAAATCAAGCATTGATAAAGTACCTCGCACTAATTTTATGTAAAAATAGATTTCGATTAAATCAGCTGATTTCTTCATATGTCGCTTATATGACTTGTTGAACAAAAGATGTAATAAGTGCAAAGATAAATAACAGACAATTACAGCCAGTCAAACTTGAGTTTTTCGTATTTGAGTGATTGTAAAGCAGTAACTATCTATTATTTAACTTTGAGCTTACTACATTTTTTTGTTTAGTAGATTATAAGCTACGATATATAAAAAAATCAGCTAATTTTATCAAGATTTAATTTCATCCAGAATTCCATATAAATTCAAAAACCTTACACTAATATCCTAAATAAAATTGAATCTTAGTAAAATCTGCTAGTTTTCTCGTATGTTATAGTTTTTGATCTACCAAACAAAAAATATAATATATTCAAAGCTAAATAATAGATAATTATTATATATTATTATACTGATTTACAACCAGTCAAACATGAAAAACTCGGGGTTTACGAGTTGTTTGACTGACTGTAACGTAGTAATTGTTTATTATTTATCTTTGCAGCTATTACATCTTTTGTTCAATCAGGTTACGAGCTACAACACACATATAAAAAAACCAGCTGATTTAAAACCAAAATCCATTTAAGATTAGTGCAGGGTACTTAAGCAGAATCAAAATGAATACAAACTTTCCGAAGCCGTTGATCAGTAGAGTTTTCTCGTAGAGCTTTCATTATCCGTCACAAGAAATTGAATTATCGCGTAATAATGTAAAATATACGCCATGGTACTTCGATCTCGCGCAATAAAGATGACTTCACCCTTTATCAAGAGAAAGAGGACCTTGACATTAGCCTCTAATCGAGCGCAAAATGTGTTCGCCGCGCATTATATCCTCTGGCATCTTACTTTATTATCCCATGAATAGACAGAGTTACGCACACACGTGTGAGAACGTATGTGATGAAAACCGCTAGCTTTTAAACAACAAGGTGCATTTCCCACCTACGTGCATATCCAGTCGTGTATATATGTATGCTGTTTACGGTAGACCCATTATTATAACGTGTTGTATATATTACTAGGCGTTAAAAATGGGTAACAACATAGAGATCGCACGTTATTTATGCGTTTTTATATATGGCCGGAAGCTCGTCGCTGATGGTCACGTAAGATTTCGAGAATGACCGACTTTTATGCTAACGCGCTCCTTCCGAAGAGTTTGCAATAGTATCGACATAGTCGTGTATATATGTATGTACTGTTGCAATATGAAAATTATGATTTCCTTCCGGTTTCTAAAACTCCAACCATATTTCGATACCTTCGACCTTGCGTAATCGCCGTCATTACATCTTAATTACGTCCAGCTGACGCATTTCTAAAAAGCAGCTGCGGTTATTGCAAGTTTATTTTATCGATTAAAATAAAAGCGAAACTGTACTGTCATTCATCACGGAGAGAATTTTCTTTTAGAATTTACCCTGAAAATTATGGTAATCGTACATATATAAAAATATTTAAATTAAATATAACATATTAAATCTAACAAAACGTATATTTAACTTAAATACTAATATATGTGCAATTAACAAAATAATAATTTAGTTAACAAATTTTTTTAGTGTGGGATAATATTGATATTGGAAGAATTTTATAAGAATTTCTCTGATTAATATTTACCACAATAAAAAATATTAATACGTACATAATAAAATTAATCGAACATATTTTTATTGTATATAGTAAATATTAATCAGAGAAACTCATAAAATTCTTCCAATATACCATATGGTCCCACGATTATATACAATAATTTTCAGGGTAAATTCTAAGAGAAAATTTTCTCTGTGTATATAGATTCTTCTTTCTCGATTCTGAGTCGAAATATCTATCAGAAAAAAATACTTTAAAGCAAATATATTTTTTATTGTGTTTTATATGTGAATTAGAGATAATACTAATCTATCTCTCCTATTGATATAAACTTTGCCCAAGATTTATCATTACGTAGAAGTATGCGGAAGGCACTTATCGAAACAGTATTAATATATTGACACTGTATACCTTGATAACGGTGAATCTGGTTCTTCGAGCATTGATATTTGCATTTGAAAAACATTTGAAGAAAAAAATAACGTTTACTGCCAATCCGGAACTTGAAGGGGAAGAACAGCTGCTGGCCTTTCCAGCGATATGCTTCGTTAACACCGTTG